GGTGACTTAGCATTTTAAAAGACTACCTAGTGGACTATACTTGACTTTATATTTCTATATATTTTATACCTATGCATTCAAAAACAAATCAGAAATCATATCTTCTTCACATGCTTCATGATCTAGCGCATGTCCATTATAAATATTTTCATAATTAAAATAACTTAACCCATCAAAAAATGGTTTCAAAACACTTAAAGAACTTACATCTCTAATCCCAATCAATGCTGGTTTTCTGAGGCCTTTAGATTCTGATAATTTAGATAAAAGTTCCGATTTTTCAGTTGTTAATGCAGTTGTTTCATAAATTTCATCTTTCAATGATAATTTATCAATCAAACTAATAATATTAACATTTTTATAAATTGCATTTATAGTATCAATGATGAAAATCCACTCTTGGAAATCTTCAAATTTCAAAACCAAAATCAAATCTAACAACTTTGAAGCTTGGAAAATACTATTTAAATTAATCTTGGAAATTTCATTTTTATCAGCATCTAATAATTTCAAGAAAAATTGTTGTAATGTAGTATAAATCATTGTCCAATAATCATAGAGATGAATTGGTGAAAATTTGAGTAAAACACTTCTAATAACAAGGAAAATCTCTGGCGAAGGATATAAACTTTGACCAATAATTAAATCCAATTTGGAGAATATTTCTTTTAATAAAACAATATGTTGATCTTGTTCACTAATCAATAACAAATATGTGATTCTCTTTAAAGCCATTGATTTAGCAATTTGTTCATTTTCTGACCAATTAAAAATATTTGCAGTACCACTTGATGTTAATTTGTTCAAATATTCAGAGATCTTATCACTAGAATCATTCTTTATCCAATTTTTCATAATCAAATTCCAATAACTTATATGTTCAACATCGAAAAATAATTGATCATTGAACACTTCTGATAATTGAAACTTTAAACTTTTAAAATCACTAAACTCTTTGGATAATTCACCTAATAGTTCTAGATTATGAATTGAAATATTTTTAGGAAAATTTCTTGTTTTTAAATTTGGTGTTATTAAATTAACCATGATGGTTGATACAGCAGCATTAAGTTTATCAGCTTCTGTAACAACAGCATTTAATTTTGGTACAATCCATTGAATAGATGTATAAAGTTCCTCTTGATTACCTCCTCCTGGTGCTTCTAAAGTAGCCGATGAAGTTAACATTGAGCTACTATTTTCCAGACCGTCAGTTTTTGTAGAATCTGAATCATTGATACTTGATGCTAAAGCATTACTGATTTCAATGTTTTTATAGTTCAAGGATGCAGGAAGTATCTTCACAAATAAATCACCGAGTTCCTTTTTAATTCTTTTTTGACTTCCAAATGTAGTTGTTTTCAATTTTTGAGCCAACACACAAGTAAACTTAACAATGTTGATTAAAACTTGTTTGTAAGAGTTTAAATCAGAAGCAACTTCTCTCAAAAAATTGATTGAATTATCATAAATATCCTCCATAGAGTCATTTTGTAAAGACAACAGATATAGCACCAGGAAATAACTAACATCAAATGAATTTGGTTTTTGTTGTTTATTTGTGTTTCTCAATGATATAGATAATATTTGAAATATATGTGGTAATGATAATTGTGGTCTTGTGACATCAAGAACATTCAAAAGCTTGAAAACCGAGGAAGTTTCATCACCACCATATATAGCGATTAAGCTTTTCAAAACTTCGTTGAATTCTAAACTGCATAATTTTTCTAACAAATTTTTGGATCTATGTTTTAATTTCAAAGATTGATATTTAACTGAAAGGTTTGGATTTGAATCAGCTTTTAATTTTAAGGTATAATCTGAAGTACTCCATATTTCATAACAAGTTCTTGTCGCCTCTTTGAAGCATGAATTAACCATTTGGCGGTTTTTAGATTCATCTGATAGATTATTATTCTTCGAGGAATCACCTAGAACACCTGATACAACACTTGAAAAGAACCCAGGGTCATTATTTCCAACTCTTGGACTATTAACTTCAATACTTAGCACATATGTTCTCACTAACGATAAAAGTTCTTGCAAAACACCCAATAGCAATGAGATTGAAACATCATCTTTGGATTCCGAGTCATTATAAAAGAATATATTGACTTTATTTATTATTGCCATAACTATTGCCTCAGCTGAGAAAAAGATCGCATCATCTTGATGTTTGAAAGAAGTAACCAACAATTCAGTCCATGATGATAATAGTTCAGATTTATTGAACTTGACAAAACTTGATAATAAGAATTCGAAGAATGGTGATTGTTGTTTATCAGCTTGAATTTTAAACACAGATACTTCTTTTCTAGTAACAACTGGCATCTTAATCAACTCTTTCAAATGATCCAATAAGACGATTGATATGGATTTAAAATCTTCACTTTCTGAATTATAAATGATGAAATCTTGTGAAAGTGCAAACGCTTTGGAAACAAATTGATCAAAATTCTTTTCACGACCATCTAACAACAATTCAACTAATTTAAAGACAACGCGGTTTGCATTAGCATCAAATGTACCAGTATCTAAGTATTTACCCAAAGCATATAATGTAAATTCCTTATATGTTGAAACGTCTTCATCTTTATATTCAACGGAGTTTATCACAGAGAGTTCTTCCGTGAATAATGGTAACATTCTTTTAGTATCAACCTTCAAAACATTTAACAAAATCGAGCAGTGATAAGTGAAAACCAGTTTATCATTAACCGATTCATTTAATTTTGAAGCAACCAGTTGAAATAATCTATTTATCAACCCGATATTAATATTACCCAAAATCCAATTTTGAACAATATCATAGTTTGGATGATTGGCATCCCTTAATTCATCTAAAATGATATGTAATGGTCTATCCAATAATGTTGATTCAGTAGTGTGAATCCAGATATAGTTGAACAAAGTCAATCTATCACCAAACTTAGGTAGATCTAAAAGGAAAGCAGAAACTGCAGCTTCAATATAGTTTGATGATATGTTGAGGGATAAATGGCTTAAAGCTTTCACGGTTTCAACTTGATAAGCATACCCTTTATTCAACAATAAAGAACACAATTGAAAAACTAATGATCTCAAAATCTCAATTTTAGAGAATGGTGCATCAAATTGTAATTTTGGGAAAAGCTTTGTAAGACTTAGTAAAGTATCACCTTCAAAATTTGAGCCTTTTATTATTTCAATAACTTGATCATTATGGAAGTTTAACTCTGGAATAGTATCAATAACATTATTTAAAAGTGCAATATAATCAAATTGATCATTCTTCTTTGAGTTTTCAACAGCAAGGTTAGTCACTATATTCAAAGTAAGTTTTGCTAGGTCAGCTGGATTGAATGGAAGTGCCAATGAATCATTTTTCTGGTAGTATTCATCAATTTTAACTGCTACTTCTTCATTTGTTAAATTAATAATTTCTGGATTTGAATGTTCAATGGGTAAATAAGCTCTCTGAGGAATAGTTCCGATACACAAATCCAATAATTTATACCAGCTTTCAGTTTTGACATTTATGATCAATGTTGCAATGAAAAATAAAGGAAATTGATGAACCAGCATCTCCTCATCTTGAACAGCGAAATTTTGAAGAATAAATATTAAGAAATCGATATTTTGATCATCCACAAGTTTAACTAACGTACTCCATATTGTCAATGTCTCAACAGCATCAAACAAGGCCGATGCACTTTTCAATAATTCGTTGAATTCATTTGCTGGTAATATCTTGGAGTCATAAACTGATTTTAATAATGGAACTAGCACTTGTGGTACGACTTGAGATCCAATTTCCCACCTATCCATAATTGCGAGGCAAATTTTGTAACCTATAAGTTTTTGAGTATAAGAAGGTTGATGACCATATTTCCCTTGGAAATATTTCAAAAGGCCATCAATCAAATGTTCAGATGCATTTTGTTGAAAAAAGTCAACAGGTTTAATGTCACCTCCCTCAGGACCTAAAAGCCATGACCAAATTCTTCTATTAATTGACATATCTTTCTTAAGAACAGCACCGATTGTACTTATAATCAAACTTTGGAGATCCTTTGCTGGAGAAATTTTTTGTAGTACTGTTGAATTAAGATTTAGCTTCTTAATCATTAAATCTAAAAAACCTCTTTGTATGAGAATGTTATCAGATTTCAATGTTGCAATGTACGACCTCACCAATAAGCCTGGTTCTGGTGTTATCAGTGCTAATTGTTCAGAGTTTAGTTTCTTTTTCAACTCTTCTTTATAGTAATCGGGCGTATCATCTTTTGAATCTTCAGGTGGTGGGATAATAACATTCAAATCTGGTAGTTTCTTATTGCACCAGACCAAACAACCTAATCTTCTTTCTTCACTGGTGATCATAATTAAAAATAGAGATTGCCAAAATAAGGAATCATCACCAAGCTCTGTTTTCAAACGTTCTATCAGCCCAATTGATGCATCGAAAAATTCACTTCTTTCATCATCTATTGAAGGTATCAAATATGATAGTATTGGCTTGATAAGATTTTTGAGTACACTTGGTGGTAATGTGAGCAAATGATTTTTATAGAGATCTATAACAACTGATTTAATACTAATGGATGCAAATTGCATAATTGGTAGAATACCCGGAATCCAAATATTAACATCTTTAGCAAGTGCATCAACACCCAATTCATTGAAAATGAAAACATAAACTTCAATTGTCTTTTGATGTACACCACTTGGTAAGTTGGGAGATAGACATTTTGATAATGTAGTGGAGATCTTTATATCATGCGGTATCCAGTGTGGTGTTGTATGTTTTTGTTGCAAAGCTTTCAATAATTTTGATAAAAATGAGATACAGTCAGCCCATTCTTCCACGGTATTGAAGAAGCCTAGCGCCTTCTCAACCGCAGAAGCATACTTCTTATCTTTTGAGTCTAGAGTTACCATTTCTTAGCGATTATTGCGCTTTAATTCGATTGTTTACTTTTGAACAAAGTGTCAAACGTCTACATAGTGTTTTTGGATTTTTGTCAAGAAGAATATTCGGTAAGAGCAACATAGCACATGATAATTATACAAATTATAATTTCTAAGTTTTAATTAAGTAACTATATAAGCTAGAAGATGATTCATTCTCTTGGGATGGTCTTTTTGAGGAAGTCGAATGCGTGTGATAGTTCTTCGTTGGCAACAGAGTGTGGTAAATTTGGATAAATATTGTAATTGTAGTTCTTGTACCCAAGATCTTTGAAAAATTGATGTGTTTCATCAGCATAACTCTTGTTAATGATTGGATCAATATCACCATGTCCTTGGAAAACTGGTGTCTCTATATTTGCTGGGTTGAATAATTCTTTAACTTTATCACCAACTGGCATGAAACCTGAAAAGATTAGGAAACCTGCAACTTTGAAATCAAACGTAGCCAAAGCACCTAATGCAAGAGCAGCACCTTGACTAAACCCACCAATGATTATTCTTTCAGGTTTAACTCCTAGATCAATTTGTTCTTTAACATAACTATTTAAGACTTTTAATGATTTGAGGTAACCATCAACATCTTTTCTACCACCAGAAGTACCAAATTGGTAAAGATCAAACCAACCTGGCATTTCATAACCTTGATTGGCTGTGATTGGAATAGTTGGTGCATTTGGAAAAACAAAATTGATGTGATCGAATTCATTGGAACCTCTAGCTAAATCAGCTAAGAATTTCCAACCATCACCTGAATCACCTAAACCGTGAACGATAATTACTGAAGCTGTTGGAACTTTTGTTCTTGATGATACTCTAACCGCGCTTAAAACCATTTTTTTTCCGCTTGAAAAGAAGTAAATCACAATAATAGCCACTAAGACTTGAAATAAAATGAATCTGATCACTTTGAAATATTTGAAATTGGCAGCTTGTAAGTTGTAACTAGTAAATTGTGTAGATTCAAAATCTTTTAGTTAACAGTGTGTATTTCAAGAAAATAAGTAGATGAGCGCGAATTTCGCTAAAACAGCCTAAATTATCAGAATGTTGCCAATATGTTCAATATTGAATCCACAAAGTTTGCAACATAAGCTCCTTTATTATAGTATTGTTCTGAAAAGTCACCAAATAAGTCTTTAATGTCACAATCACCACCAACATTGCCGCCAAAAACACCCGAACACTCAACAGGTCAAGAGATCAATCAACGACCACCCCCACCACAACAACAAGTTACCCAAGTCGATATTCCAGAAGAAATCCAATCATTACCTAAAGACCAATTGATCAAGTTGATACAATCAGTTGATGTACTAAAAGGGTATTTAATAACGTTGAATGAAAAAAATCTACAAGATAACACGGTTGTATTGGATGGAATAGTGAAGGATATTGAATCGTTTATTCAAAAATTACAACAATTACAAAAATCTAAAGATGATCTTAATAAACAATTACTATCACTTCAAGCTTTGACATCTGAATGGAATTCAAGAGAGGTAGATATGTATTCATCATTACAAAAATTCGGATCAAAAAACTTATATTCATTGCTTAGAACTAGTGTTTTGGAATCCAAGAAACTAACAGAATCAATAAGTCAATCATTCATACAAGACTCATTAGAAAAACATGATGAAGCATCCATTCAAAATTTCATTAAAAATTATAAAGCAGAAAGAAAATTATACTATTTAAGAACTGAAAAATTACATAGATTTAATGAAGAAAGAGTAGGAGGTTTATTATAATCATAATCATAATCTTTTGGAATCATATATATACACCATTTCATCCCAACCAGTTGTTGCAACCCAACCTGGATCACCCCATAAACTATAATCACCACCAATGACGAATTCCTTATGCATACCGAATATTTTTGATGTAGAGTTTTTTTGAAATCTATTGTTTAAGACTCCCCTTGTCCTTGGATCTGCTTGATCTTTCCATACACGACTTGTCATATCATAACTACAACTCAATAAGTCACCACCATCATGGGGACTCCATACCACTCTTCTAATTGCAAAATCATGTCCAATCAATTGATTTAATGGAGCTGGTCCTAACTTATTTTGATGTGGTGATTGGAAATCAGCTGTACCATCAATCATACGTAAATCCCATATCTTTATATTTTTATCAACACCAGCTGTAGCTATCACTGTTGGTCTATATTTATTCCAATCACAAGTTAATGTTTCTGCTCCTCCATGTCCTATAAAATCCAGTATATTAGGGTTTGGTGATCTTGTATCCCATACTTGAATATGTGAGTTTGCATTAGCACTAACTAGCATGCTTGGATTATGTGGTGAGAATACAGTTTGATAAACACAATTATTCTGAGCATGAGGTTTGACTGCATTGAACGTAGCTAACGATTGTTTTCTACTTGGAGTCCAAAGTTTTATAGTACCATCCCAACTTGAACTAACAAATGTTGATTTATCATTCATATTCCAATTGATTGAAAACACTTCTCTTCTATGCTCCTTCAGTTGAAGTATGGGGAATTGACTAACACCTATATCAAATATTTTTATGGAACCATCACCATTGGCAGTTGCAACATGATTTTCATGAACTTCAGACCAAGCAAGATCAAATAAACCATCTTGGGTATCAAAGAAGACATCATTTACTATCTGCCCATCTGGATTAATTGATAATATGTATAATCTCCCATTACCAACAAGACCATAATTTGAAGATGTCGCCACGGCTAATTTGTTATCATAAAATGGAGAGTACTTAACACCATACCCATTATAACCCTTTGTTCTAAAAGATAGCATGGTGCGACTTCAATGAAATATAAATATATGACTTAGATCTATATGATAGTGGACTCCAAAGCACAATTTCCTTTTGTTTTAACGTTCTTTATCGAAAATGATATTCAATTTCTTTGAATCCAACGACCTTTTCCTTTTAATCAGAATCCAAAGCTTCAAATCTGCGAAAAATTGCTCCAAATGCCATTTTGCGCATTTCATTGTTCATTGAACTTTTGATTAAAACATGATTTTTTCAAGATTTATTTTGCTTTAATCATACTTTTAAAGCAATATATCCCATTGTATATTGTAGAATTATATTATAGTGAGTTTTTTAGTCCATTTCCATATCAAAATTCTTCAAAAACATGATTTTATATAGATTCTTTTCGCCATTTGGCGTAATTTATCATCCGGGATACGCCAAAACGTCCAAATTGGGTAAGCCTGCGACTACCGAGATCCGATTTGTTTACGAAAAGCAAAATCAGCTTCAAATTTCAAAAGTAAACAAACAAAGGGTTTTAAAATTGAAAGAAATCAACTAGTGTTTTGTTAAGAAAATTTTGGTTCTTCTTGATACAAGATCAACTGATTGTTTGGGCTTAAGAGTCAGAAAGAGGTAAAACAAGAAAGAGGAAGAAAAGAACAAGATTACTACTAGCTTGATGTCAGTGGAAACTAGCACTTCTACAAGATCTAACTTGCTTTCAGCTGGTCAAACTGCTAGCCTCCATGATGACTTCTTTGGGGCTATTCCTTTACAATATACCTACCTCATCAAATCAGACCGCTCACGCTATTTATATGAATCAAGTACTGGCTTATGGTCTGATATAGATCCTTCAAATACTTTCATTTTATCTCAACTCACCGACAAGGCCAACACATCATATAAAATCATTGACAACTTCAACAGGATTAACTCAAATTTAGATCCACAACACGAGCAAGTATCAATCTGTGACTCAAGAGGAAATGAACATCTTTTAAATCTTAAAATAGCTCATAAAGGTGAAGCTATACATAAGAAGCACTCACAATTGTTGGAAAATTATCAAAAAGTTGATTTCAAAACTCTACTGGTAGATAAGGGTAAATTTAAAGGTATTTTCCAAGAAGGTAACATTGCTCCTGACTTCAAAATTTTGCTTGATGAATTGGCTAACTATGGAGGAGTTGAAATTTTGGTTAGTAAAGAAATTGAACACTTCAACGTGTCTTTGGCTTTTGAACCACCTAATGATTTAATTGATCAAAACATATACATTTACATCTTGGGTGATTCTGATGATACAACATTTGCTGAAACCAGATTGAGAATCTTACTTGATAATTACTTGGATCTTTTTGTTGATTCGGTTGATATTCCATTATCCCTACTTCCATTAGTTGGTGGTGTATCTTTTGGTGATTTTAGAGCTATTGCTAAAGAAACCGGTGTTAATATCTATCTGCCATCATTGTTGCCTGAACTTTATCACCATTCCAAGAAACGTAACTTAAACTCTGTTTATCTTTCAGGTTTAGAAGCACAAGTTTTGTTGGCCAAGAAATTGATGTTGGATATAATTGAAAAGAGAAAAACTAATATTATTTATAAAAATATTTCAATGTTAAAATATAAAAAAGATTCAACTTTGTTAAGCAAAAAAGATGATGTTAGTTCAGTGATGTATAAACATGGTGTGTTCATTCAATTGCCACCATTGGGATCAAAAGATACCACTGTCCATTTTCAAGGTTGCTCATCAGATTTGATCGAAAGAGCTATCGTTGATTTCACCAATTTCTCTAATGAAATCATTTATGCTAACTTATGGTTTCATAAAGATACAATCGAAAATAATTATCATACTCCTGCTGATTTGAATGTTAATGTTGAAGAATTACAAGATCTTGTTTCAAGAATCTCAATTGCATCAAACGTTACGATCTATATTAATGTTTTTAATGCTTCATTCCAGATCATTGGTTCTCAAGATGATATTTTGAAAGCTGTTAAATTATTCAGTAGCTATTCTAAACAGCTATACCTTGATTGTGAATGTGCTATTGATGCTAAAATTGAATTAGGCTTAGCATATCATGAATTCATTAGTGGTAAAAAAAATGGTAAAATTTCCAAAATTATGAACAATTTCAAGACATCAACAATCAACTTTGAGCCATTGAATGATTATAGTTTATTAGTTGACTTAAAATCTGTTGATTTTAATGATTTCATTAATGCTTATGATCAGTTACAAAATGAATTTCCATCAGAAGTTAGATTTTATATCCCTGAATCTTTCCATAGACAAATCATTGGAACTGGTGGTTCATTAATTCAATCAATTATGAGAAAATATAATGTGTTCATTAAATTTTCTAACAGCTATGATCTAAAAAATAACTTCAAAAGTCATGTGAGATATGATAATGTTATTGTCAGATGTCCTTTCAAAAATTCATCAAACATACCATTAGTCAAGAACGAATTAAATAATCTTTTGATTAATAATGAAAACACAACATTTTTTAATACATTTTTCAAAATTTCAAGAAATCAATTTCGTCTTTTTGATTTTGATAAAATTCAACAAATTGAAAAGAAAACTTCAACTTTTGTTAGATTTCCAAATACAGAACCGAATGATTTTCAACTTGTTGAAGTGTTAGGTACCGAAAATCATTCTGCTAATGCTACAAAATTGTTTGTCAATGAACTTGCTGAAAGCTATGAATTCAAAATTTCATTTTCTAAAAAATTCAATGATACCTTCACTGATTTAAATAAAGAATTTGTTGAAAAAATTAAAGTTCCATTCAAGATTCTGTATAATTTCGAAATTATGGGACTTGATAGAAAAACTACTAGCTTAGTTCCATACCATTCATTAATATTATCGTTCTTACCAGAGAGTGATTTGTTTTTGGAAGATGCAATTACCCATTTAACTGGCTTCTTACGTGAAAATGAATTTATGATCATTGATAGAGGAGAATTATCAAATGCAGATACCATTGTACAAGGCTCAGCATCAAGATATTCACAATTTAGTCAAAATTATAACAATGTTAAATCAGGAAACCCATTTAACAAACAACACGGTTCTGCAGGCCAAGTACATGCCAATTATGATACCAATTTTTCCAAATACCCTTTTCAACCACCATCTACCACCTTACCACTTCAATTACCCCAATCTCAACAACTATACCAATTACCTAATTCACAAGAAAGAATCATGGTTTCACAGCCAACAATTGTTCAACCATTAGGTGTTAATTTTAGTGAACAAAAAATATTAAATGCACAAAATCAAGCATTTGAAAAACGTCCAGCAACTCATAATGGTTATGATAACATTAATGTAAATTCAAAGCCAAATTTCTTTCAAAGAAGACCATTTTGAATTGCACCATAGAAAGTTCTACATATTTGTTTTGCCAATCGTACATCACAAACGTCTCATATTAGCATTTGCATCATCTACATCATCTACATCATATCAGTTGTTGAACTTTGTACTCTAGTTTTATTCTTATATTTCCTATGTTTCAATTTTTTTTCTCTCCATATATTTCTTCAGACTTCACTTTAATAGCTTTTGTATAAAATTTTCAGCTAAAATATACCCAATTTGTCATTCTTTTCAATTTCATTGTTTTTTTGTATTTTAGTATGTCACCTACATCAACATAATCGTCAACAGCACCACCTGAATTGGTTCGCGCAGCGTTTCATAATTTTTTTTTCTCAACTCGGTCTAACTGGTAGGCAAGGAAAAAAACAAACCGAAAACAAAAGAAGGTACGTACATCGTTTTGATCTGAGGTAAACAAAGTGAAAAATTGTCCATTATCCATCCCACAAAACCCCATTCTATATCTCATTTGATCACATTTACAAGTCACTACAGATTGTGGTAGTGCTTGCTCAATTCAGTTCTGCCCTTCAGGAGTTTTCTGCTACTTTCAAAGGACATCGATTAACCTATTGTTAAACTTCCCAACCTGATTGGTGATTTGAACCTTTAGAGAATTTTAATAAATATTTATCTCAACGGCCATACTATACAAAAACAATACAATCAATATTCATAGACCCATCAAAATCTAAAATGCAGAGACCACAGGATCCAGAATCAGGTGAAGAGGTACGCAAACGCCTAGTACAACAAAGTGATGCTAAATTCCACATAAGGAACAATAGACTTAGGTTTATGGCCATACTATATGTTTTGATATTTTTCTCATTTGCAGCATTACAAACAATAGCAATTGCATTTTTCACAAGAGGATTCCTACTATCGAGACAAGTGCTTGATAACCACTCAACTCTAACGGATCCTATATTTTTGGATCAAAGTGATAAATTACAAAACTTTGATAAAGCGGTGGTGGTTATAATTGATGCATTAAGATTTGATTTCACGGTTCCTGACAGTGAGAATGAGTTTTACTATAGAAATAATTTTTTGACACCATATAATTTGAATCAAAAATATCCTCAAAATTCGGTATTGTTGAAATTTATAGCAGACCCTCCAACAACAACACTTCAAAGGCTAAAGGGGTTGACAACTGGATCATTACCAACCTTTGTTGATGCAGGATCAAACTTTGATGGAGATGTTATACATGAAGACAATTTTATCAAACAATTATACTCGAATAATAGATCAATTGCCTTTGTGGGTGATGATACGTGGGAAGCTGTTTTCAGTCCATTCTTGAATACCTCTTATCCTTATGACTCTTTAAATGTCTGGGATCTACATACTGTTGATAATGGTGTTATTGAACATATGATACCTATGCTTGATGATCAAAAATCAAACAAATGGGATGTTTTGATAGGGCATACTTTAGGTGTTGATCATTGTGGTCATAGATATGGGCCTTCCCATTTTTCAATGAGAGATAAACAAAAACAAATGGATACTTTCATAAACGATATCATTGATCGAATTGATGATAAAACTTTATTGGTCGTTATGGGTGATCATGGTATGGATCGTACTGGTAATCATGGTGGTGATTCTCTTGATGAACTAGAAGCTGCACTTTGGTTGTATTCCAAGAAGAATTCATTTCATCAATTAAATGACAAATCAGTATATGATATTTCAAATGGTGGTAAAAATTATAGATCCGTCAATCAGATTGATCTTGTACCAACATTCTCTTTATTAATGGGTTTACCAATCCCTTTCAATAACTTGGGTAAACCAATTGAAGAAGCATTTGACTCTAAGGACACATTTAAACTAGCAAGCTATTTGACAATGGAACAAATTCAGCGCTATAGGTATCACTCGACATCACTGAAAGATGATGAACTTATAAACAATAAATACAAAGAACTTAAAAACATTTGGAATCAAGGTGATCCAAAAGGTATATTCGCTGAAAAGGTTTTAGAGTATGAGTATGAATCTCTAGAAAGATGTAAAGATTTATGGGCAAGATTTGATCTTTTAAGTATCAGCATAGGTATCATTTTGTTGGCATTTTCACTTGTGTTATTAGTTATCTACTCAAAATTAATCCCTTCAGTTGTGATAACTCAATTAACGGAAGAAATTGTTCCAGCTACAATTGCAATGGTCTGTATTTTCACTGTCATTTTTATAGCCATTTCAGTTATTCTGAAACCATCATTTTTGAGTCTTTTGTGGTTTTCGTTACTTGGTGCTGCTATTGGTATTATTTTTGGATTCTTGATCCCAATTCTAGATCGTTACTCAATCAAATGGTTATTCACATCACTACTAGATAAGTTTAGTGGTCTATGGTCTTTGATAGCTATAAGTTTTATGGTTCTTCATGCTGCTATTTTTGGATCAAACTCATTCACTATTTGGGAAGATAAAATAACCAGTTACTTTTTGATTACTTTTGGTTTTCTATCCGCTGTTAAATCATTAGATGCTCAAAAGAAAGTCGATAGGGTCATGGGTGTTTATCACTCAGTTCTATTCATGATTACCACCAGATTGGTCTCTTTGAGTACCATATGTCGTGAAGAACAAGGATCCCAATGTACCCCAACTTTCAAATTATCATGGTGGATGATCTTAGCGTTGTTTGTCAATGCATTTTTCATGCCATCTTATATTAGAGCGTTTTACAACATTACATCATCATATCATAGCGCTGCTCCATTATGGATTAACATGTTCAAAGTTGTGCTAGTTATGATTACAGTTTACTGGTCATTCGAATACTTAGAATTCAATCAAGCAGATTCCAGCTTTGAATTTATCAGAAATTTGGATCTTGAGTCCTTGCATTTTGTCAAGTATACATTAGCGAGAATCATTGCTGGTATTGCATTAATAGCTGCAAATGTTGGTTGGTCAAGAGGACCATTATGTGTGAAGCTCGAAATCAAGAATACTGAAACTTCATCAAGAGAAGCATGTATACTAGGATACCAAAACGTTTATGGATCACAATATTTCCTTTTAGTTATGAATTTTACTGCTGCTATCTTACTATTCACCAAACCGTTAGGCCAATTATCAATTTCGATATTGATATATCAAATCTTATCCTTGTTTGAACTTGTGGACATACTTGGTGTTAGAGCTAACCTGATTTCTCCTGTTGTTTTAGGGCTATTGGGTTATTTACATTTCTTCAGTACTGGTCATCAAGCTACAATTCCATCAATCCATTGGGAAGTTGGTTTCACATTAACTGAAAAGATTACATTTCCATTCACTCATTTGGCTATTGTATTAAATACATTTGGTCCATTCATCATTGTTGCACTTTCAGTTTCCTTGATTACTTTATGGAAAATCCCACCATCACAGAAACCAATTTCTCTATATTCAAGAATAATTGAAAATTGTGGAACTCTATTGATATATGAAACTTTAGTCGCCTTGAGTGCATTGATTTTTGCAACTGTATTCAGAAGACATTTGATGGTTTGGAAAATTTTTGCTCCAAGATTTATGTTTGCAGGTTTGGTTCAAATTGTTATCAATATAGTTTTGGTAACTACTACTATCGGTTTTAGTTGTGGAAGACTGATTCTTCAAATCAATAGAATCTTTGGAAAATAAGGAGACATGACCCCAAAAAAGACTACACCACTTGTATATTAGAACACAATCATTAATTACCATTTTATAGACTTAATCTTAATATAACGTATATGCATTTGAATTTCGTAAATATGATCCAAATCTCCTACTCCATACTATGATCAAATTGACTTAAAAAGTCTTGATCATCTAGCGTAGAATGAAGACCAAATCCCACATCATCAATCATATTAATGTCATCAGTTCCAAATGCTGGAGGTGCTTCCACATAGGGTATAGGCTCTGGATTATTTTGAACTGGATCCTCTTGGATGTATCCTTGATCAGATATAACCAAAGGGTTATTGACAGCACTTGCTTCTTGCTCTTTAGCTTTTTTAATCTCTTCCCAATAATTTGGTGGTGCTTCAGATGTATCTGTTTTAAGTTTTGGTATTGATTTAATGGTGTATGGTTCAAAACTTATTGGTTTATTAACTACCTTTTCAAAAGATTTTTCCACTGTTTCAACATTATGAGACACTGGGTTAACAAAGGACTCACTCAACTCATTGATAAATCCTCGTATCTTCCGATTATTATGAGGACCCTTATTTATATCTTGGGTAGCAGCTTTCACTTCTTCGAGCTCCTTTTCTAACTTTCCAGCTTTTTGACGCATTAACTCTATATTCCCAAAGTATAGTTCATCTTTAATCTCGTTGATGTTTTGTTTTGTTTGAAACTGCGTAAATGGTTTAGGTCTTATAATGCCGTTTGTATGAACCCATTTTTCAGTGACGTTTTCGATTAGTTCTTGGTTTAAAATAAATCTATGGGCTGCAGCTGAACGGAAGGACATCACGTCAGCTTCATCGTGTAACCCTCCAGCATCATCTTCCTTTTGTTTTTGGGCTTGTTGGGCCTGCTGTTGCTGCAATTGTTGTTGTTGTAATTGTTGTTGATACACCTTGTTACGGCGTCTTTGTGTAGCTGGTTTTACCATTATCCTGTTGTGGTTATTTTATTATTAAAAGACTTTAAGATTTCTATAAATTCTCAATGTTATTCTTTCGAGGATTCATACATGTTATCGGTTGTTTATACACTTTCACCACCGCGATTATTTTTCGAAAATAGTTCGCGAAGATCCGATGATTATATAATACATTATAAATACAATTAAAGAATTTGATAGTGTGTTTAATTTTTAGTTCACCTAAACAAAAAGTTCATATCATGCAACGTTCAAATTACCAGTGTTTGACCGATATGATATGATCACCAATTGCGTTCAACAATCGTTTCAAATCATGTCTAGATATATTCTCTCTAACCACCACAAGCTCAAGCGGAGTTTTACCGTTTAAATACTTCAACATTTTATGAAATAATGCAATAATATCAGTTGGTTGACCTTTGATACATTTACTGATCCATCTTCTTTCGACCGCTGTAGCCCTTTCTGGATCCAAAAGTATTGTGTCTTCTTCCTCTTCTTCTTCGATGTCAACTTCAGTGCCATTATAAGTGACTCTTTGTTCACTACTTCTGCTCTCGGTTTCACTTTTATCAATTTGGGCTGATTCACTATTTGGGTCTTTGCTGGTGTTATCAGTAGATAGATCCGTGAGCTTTAGTTTGGAGTGTGGCTCTTTTGAGATGCCTTCTTTTTCTAGGTCTTCCTCGACGGCTAATTTGATCCTATTAGATATTTTTAACCAAACGAAAGTCATCAACTGAGTGACATACCCATGTCGTATTAGCCATGCCAATGCTTCAAGATACAAATCTCTGTGATCTCTACTTGGGATAATTGCGGAGTACTGTCTTGGTTTAGAAGTTGAAATGAGCGATATGAATGATGGTAATGATGGTAATGATGGGAAATCATGTCTAAAGCTTTTCATGTCTTCATTAATATATTCAATAGGAGCCATAGGAGAGACAATGAAAACACTCTTAGCCTGTAATGGTATAATAGATCTAGCTCTTCTCCAGTATATTAAGTGATTGGCGAATGCTTTTACTTGGTTTATATCTAATTGGTTAAGCAATGCAAGTTTGTTCATGGACATCATTGGATTAATGTTTTTGATAAAAGTGGACAACGGACTCATTGGCTCTGTTTTAAGATCGGTTATAATTTTTTCTGGAGCATCCAATAACAATAATGCCATATGACCAACGTTTGAATCTAACTCTTCTTCATCGTATTGAGTTGTCGATGATAAGTATGACCCTGGTAGAACAGGTGTTGTTTTGGGCAATAACGAGCTGAACTGATTTTTCATTGGAATCTGAAGTGATATAACCTTGTTATTAATTTCCAAATTAGCAATATCTGAAGATGCAATTGAGTCAAAACATTGGGATAAAACCTTCGCAAGTGACGATTCAGTATTCAACTTTTGATATAGATCAAACACTGATAAATTTTCATTATTGTCTTTGATCATCAGTATTTTTTTGACCTGATCCCATACATAGTTGGATTTAGACTGCTCATATCTCAAGATAAGACTAAGTCTTGATACAACATAATGGAACATTTCATCAAGTCTATAATTGTATTCAACAAGTGATGGATTCATTACAAACACAACATGGAACATTTCCATTGAATTTGAATCACTGTCATCATTTTCGGTTTTGCTAAAATTTGATTTTTCATCTTGAATATTTTCAACTTCTGGTCCACTAGTAGCATCTTCAGTTTCAGATTCACCTTTTGTAGACCCACTCCTTGTATTATTGCCAGATGTATTTCCAGAGTGTTTAGATTTTTGGTCCCTTTTGGACTTATGATTTCTCCAAAGACCATCATCATTCTTATGAATTGGTAACCCTAAGAATGCCATATCATCAACTGTCAATTCGAACCTACTGTTGCATAATCTTTTAGGTGGTGATAAAAACTCACCTAGAAACTCGGCGTCAAACCCAAAAACTTTATCTAGCTGTTGCTGGGGATGAATAGCAGTTGCCAGTGAATTTGTTTCAGAGTTTGCAGTGGACTTATGAATACTATTTGATGAAATGGAACCTTTCTTTCTCTTTTGATTTTGGCGACGTTTTTTCTTTACTTCCCTTCTTTTATCTCTCTCATCTAACAAGTCTAACAACGTTTGTCCGGATGATTGGTTTTCTGTTGCATTGAATCTTGACATAAATGCATCTTTACCTTTATGTGAACTTGTTACTCGATCCTCTTCGTCACTTGAGTCTGATTCTGAAGAATCTGTTGTACTATCTTCAGAACTTAAAAGGTCATTGTTTGTTGTGAATGAGTTTGTATTGAAGCCAACTTCACTGGGTATAGGTGGGTAATGATAAACAAGCTGGGGACCATTGTGAGTTGAAATAGTTAATAATATACCTTGAAGACAAGGATTGGGTAGATAATAACTCATTTAGTGGAACTTGTTTGTCATTGATACTAGTTGTTTATAAGATTCAAGACTCGGAGAAGATAGTTTATAATTATTTACACTTTTTTTCGCGGTGTGATCAAGTAATAGGCTACGTCAAACAATTAATTAGAGTAAAATATGTTAATTCATTAAATCGTTATTATTATATATACAGGTGATTATAATTGATTATTCAACGGTAGCAATTGCTTCAAGATCAAAACTTTCCACTAGCTTCTTTTGGTCTAAAGATCTTTTCAGTAATTTACCGAAGAAAGCAGAAGCAACATCAGCATCTTTAATAGCTTTTAAAATCTTTTCTTTTCTTACAACATGTTTATCTAAAGATGTTTGAAAGCTATTTTGAACTTCTCTAGCTGGGTATTTCAATACTTTACGGCATTCTTTGGATATTCTGCTTGCATTTTGATGAGGATACTCTAATTCTTTAACTTGACGTTTAATCTTCTTTGCCAACTTTCTTGGTAAAGCTCTTGGAATATCAAGAATCAAGTATGTTAAAGAGACCAATCCGACACCAATTGAAACTGGTAAAACCAAATAACGCAATGTTTTGAATGAAAAGAACGAACCATAATGGAAAACACCTTTAATCAAAGAACCAGTTGTCAAAGCACCAGAAGCAGCATATAATCCAACAGAGTAAGCAGAATCTTTCCAGACTAAAGCCTGCTCTTTTATTTTAGAATCAAAGTTGAAAACGGTCAAGAAACTTTCGAAAGATGGATCAAAGAAATCAGAAATTTCAATATTGTCATTAAGATTTCTGCTAATGGTATCTTTCCGTCTGCTGAACATAAACTCGGCCTTGAATATCTTCTCGTTGTTATACTCTTCACCTAAAGCATCTTTACCATACTTTCTTATGGTTTCAATACCTTCACTGGTTTTGTTACGAGCAAATTCTTCACTTGCACTAACTGAATCAAGAATTTTCTTTGTGATTTCTCGTTGTGTATCAATCGTATAATCAACAAGATTCAAGATACCATAGTATGGGACTATTGGATGATCACCAACATTGTCAAGTGTGGTGTTGATATTATCCTTTGTGATGTCATAGACCAATTGAGAAGTTTTCTCTATAACACTTTCAATCTTCTCATTCACTTTCACGCTTTTAACCAAACTATCTTCATATGCAGGTGAGATTTCATTAAGTTTTGTAGTCATTTCATCCTTATCGTTCAAATACATTCTTTGGTTTATCGAAGATAATGTCTCAATGTCACTTAATAACTTGGTAATGTACGTTTTAGCAGGTTGTAATTTTGAAAGAGCTCTTTTTTGTAAAACGAAATCCCGTAAACTGCTTTCCAAATGATCGAAGTCCGGATGTATTCTATCATCTGGATTGTTGTCACCGTTTCCATCTCCATCTCCACTTCCACCAACACCAGGATCCTCGCCGTTATCATTTGGTAAATGATCAACAACGTCACCAGAAGAGACAAAATGAACAAAGTCTCTAGCATCTTTATGGGTATCAGGTGATAATCTTTGAACTTGATCTAGAATTCTTGTCATACACTTATTCTTGTCCTTGATATTGTCAAATCTATTAACTACAATGAAAATCAACTTTTTTTCATTGGCAGCTGCTGCGATAAATTCCTTTGCTGAAAGTGTAAAATGATTCTCTGCGCTAACAACAAAAACCACCAAATCAATCTCTTCCTGTCTTGAGAAGACTTCAGTAGTTTGATAAGAATCAAGATTTAAACCTGGTGCATCAATGAGGGCAATATCAACAACACCGTTTCTGAGTAAACTTTGATCTACTGTTCTTCTATCATTAACGTAAACTTTCAAAATAGAAAATTTATCACATTCAGACACCAAATCTTCAAGTTCTTTCAATGGATAGATCTTATATGTGCTTTCATCTTTGATATTGTAGGTGTTACCAATAGTAACAGCGTGTACTTCTTCTAGCCCACTGTTCTCTCTAGCATCAATAACTTCACAGAAGACAGATGTACATGGTTGTTGATCTTCGGGTAATACTTTTCTTCTTAACAAAGCATTACAGAATGTTGATTTCCCTGAGTTCAAATCACCAGTAACAAAAACTTTTGAAGATGTATCATCAATTCTTTCCTTTAGTGATAACAAATGTTTACTAATTTGAAAGATCTTTTCATCCAATAGTTGACCAATAGCAGATTTATCTAATTTGGATATTTGATTGTTATCTAACTTAATATTTAACTTTAAAATTTTCAACTCTGGAGAATCTTCATTAGACATTTCTTCAACTTGCTTCTGGATGGATTTAACTGATTGTATTGAATTCTTCCTGATCAATGCTAAATGTGCCTTTCTGCTGTTTAACAGCTCATCAGGTAAATCGTGTGATGGATAAAATAATGGTCTTTCTTTATTCTCAACTTGTAATTCACCCAAAATTTGAACAGTAGTTTGGATCGATCTGTCTAACGCAATTCTATTATTATTGTATTGAAGCTGTGATATTTGTGTCTTCAAATGATGATCATTTGATGGTGATCTATGATGATTTTGTGCGCCAACTTTTAAAAACTCATCACCATCAGCTATTGTGCTTCCTTCCAATACACCTTCATCTCTCATATATGTCAAATGAGCAGCCTGATCACCAAGCAATGTTCTAACATCCTGATTATCATCAATGTCTTCCTCTTCTTCAAGGCCTTTACCCTTGGGATCCTTGTACGTCCCACTCATTTTCTGTAATTAATTAACAGAAGAATATCCAAAAGAGCAACTGATTTGAAAAATTGTTAATTAGTAAATATAAATCGCCATCTTTCTAATTTTGTGTGGGATGCTTTTTGGAAAATGTTTGTTTTCATACCAAATACCACATTCCGACCACTTTACACGTGACTTGATGAGACCCCGTATTACCGCTTTAAACTTTTTAGCTTTGATTTTTATTATGGCATATAATTTTACACCGAAATTTTACTAACCATTGAAATAACTTTGAATGGATCACAAAAGAATCAAACTCGACGGTCAATCAAAGATGTCATTCAGAAAGAGAGGTGAAGTTTTAGGTGGGCCAAATCCACGAATTCCAAATGCTGTTCCAGGAAGAGGTGGTGCCCCAGTTACTGCACCAGGTATACCTGGTAGAGCTCCATTAGGTCCAAATGTTCCAGGAAGAGTTCCACCACCAAGAGACATAAGTGGTACACCATTACCACCAAGAGGTGCAGGTATCAATCCATTAAAAAGAACTGGGATGGAGCCGGATTTGTTAGCAAATCAAGTGCAAAACTTATCTGTTGAAGAAATTGTTAAACATCCAGGTGTTAGACCATCTTCCATCACATCACAAGCAACGATTTCCACTGGTAGTGCTGATTTAGATAAAATTTTGGGTCATCAAGGTCTCCCTGTTGGTAGCTCATATTTGCTTGAAGAAAGTGGTACCACTGATTTCTCAAGTGTTCTAATGAAATCATTTGCAAGTCAAGGTATTGTTCAAAATAGATTAGATCCAAAGAATCCAAATACTCATGTCATAGTTTTAAGTTCCAATCAAGCTTGGGGGAAAGAACTTCCTGGTGTTTACAAAGGTAGCAGTAGAGATATAAAGAGAAATAGAGTTATTCAAAATGAACAGAAACTTTCAGTTCAAAATTTATTAGACACAGGTGATGCACCAAAACCAAGGGCCTCTTCTTCTTCCAATAGTGAAAAGAAGGATAACGATTTGAGGATTGCATGGAGGTATGGTCTTAATGATCCAAAGAAGCAACAAGCTACACCACTAGATAATGAGACCTACAAAGATTTTAACCATCAATTTGATATAACAAGTCGTTTGGTACCTAGTCCAAATGCCAATGAAATCACATATATTCCATTAGGTACAAGCTTCAAGCCTGTAATTAAACAATTAGAAACTACAATTCAAAGACACAAAACTAAGATTATCAGACTTGTTATCCCATCATTTTTAAATCCATCAATGTATCCACCACCATTAGCAACATCACAAGAAGCATTACAATTTGTTCATTCCCTTAGATCTTTGACCAGAAAATATTCCAAAACCCTTGCCATTGCGATGTCAATCCCATTAGAACTATATCCTCGTGATTCATTATTGATTAAGCAAATTGAAAGCTTATCAGATGCTGTGTTCAATTTAGAACCATTTAACCAAGAAATGTTGAAGTTCTTAGAAAAAGCATACCAAAATCAACCTACTAAAGTTCAACATGGTCTTGTTCATGTCTACAAAGTACCACATTTAAGTGAAAAGGGACAAATGTTGATAATGAAGAGTGAATTTGCATTCAAGAATGGTAAAAAGAAGTTTGAAATTGAAGAATGGGGTATTCCTGTGGAAGACGAAGGAGAACCTCAACAGACTACACAGAACATTGATTTCTAATGAACAGATGTTACGATATGTAAAGGATTTCTTGTAGTATTACCCCCAACATATTTGTTGAATCTATGACTTTCCTCGATTTGGTTATATTGACGTGTCCGATACCAGATACATGACTGAGGAAAGGGAAAATTAAAACGGCCTCGTCTGAGAAGGAAGAGAGAAAAAATGTGATCGATCAGACCTGGAGTTATAAATTTCTATTTAAAAGGCCAGTAATCCTTTGTTCTGTTGATCTTACGCTTATTCGCATCATTCCTTCATTTCACCAGAGGCGCTGTGCTAAACTTATAATATAGACACATTTTTCCCGCTTTTGACGCTATTCACCAATATCCCTCCACATACCATCATCAAAATCCACCACGTTCGAATTCAAAAGCCTAAAATTCAAATAAAGTGAAATCACCATGAGTCAGAACAGTCAAGGCTCCTCTGATCATATACAAAACCGCTTTCGACATTTCATTAGGAGACCAGAAAATACCCCATTATCTAGAGGTGATATACAATTTGAATTTCTTAAACATTTATTCACAGATGAAAATAGAATCTTCACTGATCCTTTTCCCAAATCAAAATTTCAAATACCTAAAGCTTCAAAAGATCATAAGCTCACATTTGGTGAATTTTATAGAAAAACTTTAGCACATCATTTGGGTCCCAAAAAATCAATGTCTCAGAAGTTAATCGATGATACACATGAATCACGATCATATGCCATACTGTTCTTTTTATTAAATATCAACTGTTTGAGTGGAATTATTACTTTCTTTCATGCCTCCAATGCAGCACAAAGAACATTTCATACAATACCTTGTCTACAAGTTTATGGTAAACATAAAGCAGATGTAATCATATTTCCAGAATTAAATGCTATGAGAACTCTCTTAAATATTACTACAAAAGCAAATAAAGAGTGGTACTCAATGAATAATGTTGAAAGTCATAAAAAGATGCCTGTTGGGTCAATCTCAAACTTCCTAATGTCGCTTCTTGGCTCAGAAGATCACCTCAATAATGTGTATTTTAAAAAAGAAAATTACAAATTATATGATATATTCAAAAACAAGTCATTTGATCCTAAATCTCGGGTTAAATTATTTTTATGGATTACATATAGATATATTGAAACTGATTCGAAAGAACACAATAAGGAAACTAATCCATTTGGTCCACTTCCTCCAAAGTTAAGAAAAGCTGAATATACATATGATATAGATACCCCTGAAGAATTAAAGTTTGGAGAAGACAGTATGAAGGCTAGGCTTGAATATTTGAAAGATATGGGTTACGGTACAGTAAAGAAACCTAAATCATCTGTTAAAAAATCCACAGTTGGTACATCCCCAAAACGACCTCCGGGAAGGCCCCCTAAGAATTCACCTGGGAGACCAAGAAAAGTGAGATACATTATAGATGATGATGATGATGAAGAGGAAGAAATAGAAGAGGAAAGTGATGTTTCTGATGATAGTGGTGATGGATTTGAGGAATGGGATGAGGATCAAATTGAGGAAGATGAAGATGATGAGGAAGATGATGAAGATGATGAAGACGAGTATCACGAAGATCAATATGAGGAGAAAGATAAAGAAAGAGATGGTGCTGGTGCTGGTGATGGTGATGATGATAATCCAACTGAGGAAGAGCCAATGGGGGTAGAAGGTACAGAAGAAGTTGAAGCACCAAAGAAACCAAAGAAACCAATACATGTAATTGCTAGAGCCAAAATAAAACGTACAGACAAATCACATTCAAAGTACAAAGTCATTAAGAAAATACCAATAGAAGAAGATAATGATACCCAAAAACCTAAAAGAAGAAAGATCGAGGTTCAAGTTCAACCAAGAGTACCTGTCAAACAATTGAGAAAACTGCCAAATCCTAAATACCCACTAGTTGATCCTTCTACAGCAATTAATGAATCATTGAGTAACCTTTATAAAGGTTTTGTTGAACTTTATGGTGAAAATCCTATTGGTGTTTAGAGTTTAATCGCATTAAATCAAAGAGAAAAAAAATGAAAGCATTGCAAAATTATTGCTAATTAAAGCATATTATATCTACAGAACGATATAATTAATATCATGAGAAACGTATCACACCTATTATTAGCTAACGTATATTGAATTAATATGAATATTTATGATAAGCTAGCTGGTCAGTCGAGTTTATTTAATTTTAATGAAGTTGCATATATGATTATGATTATTAGTATAAGAACTAATTGTAGTATGTATACATGATACAGCTTTAGAGTCAAGTGACTTATTTAAGATATACCTTATAGTATATTATACTCAGATGAATCCCATAACCATATCACCATTCGCATTTTTCCGGAAACCGCTAATCTTGTACTACATGATTCTATACGTCAACTTAATCAGACCATGCCCAAACCCTTGTTATAAGTGGTTGGGTTTAAAAGGAGTTAAGAAATTATGAAGAAAAAACGTTGAAGTATCTACAAATTAAGTTCAAACCTTGATCAGATCGTTTAAACACTAGGGTATAAGGGAAAAAATAATTTTACATCACGTCGTTGTAACTATATGGTATTAAAGTTTAGTTTAATAACGTCAAACTCACGAGTCACAAAGTCCAGTGTACCCCAAGCTTGGTACAGTAAAGACAGCCAACCGTCTAGACTCTAGACATCATCATCAAGTATATATTCAACAGGTTAATATCAAATGCGAAAGTCGCACATGTAAGCCCAATGAAGCGGTCTGAAAAAAGCAGCTTTGCTATCCCACGAAATCAATTTGAGGCATGAAACTTGAAAGCCCACGTAAATTCCTATCTAATCAGAGCCTACTCAGATAGAGAATTATAGAATCAAGGTACAATTTTTGTTGTAAAATTAAAAAAGACCAACCAGGCGGCTAGCATTTCCGAGTGAGTTATATAGATTTTGTTATGCCATCTCAATAATGACACGTTAATTCTGCCAAATATATACGCGATAATTTCAACAAAGAACTAGATCAATTACACAACTCATCAATTCGGTTTTAAGTGACCTGGTATAAAGGGCTGAATCTAAGGTAATCATATTAGGTTTATCTATTCGATCAGTAGAGCACATACACAGTACCAATTAAGTTATAAGGAAAGCGTTAATAAATCGATAAAATATAGTAAAAGACAGAGCTACTACTTGATTATATTTGAACCTTCTTTGAGTGGCTTCGGAAAAACATCTCCCATACAAAAATCGTAATCTCTGTCAATTTTTCACTGTGCCAAAATGCGCGCGTTGGAAAAAAAGAAAGGATCAGCTTAAAAGTTGAAACAATACACAGCTCAAAAGACATGGAGTATGGGATGAAAGGAGCCAGTTTTAGCCATTCATAAAGTAGACTCACTCGACTGAAGTAATTTTGGCACATAATGAAGCACTTAACTCCAACACAAATCTGATGAGTTTTGTTTGTGCTTTGTGTATTTGCGTAGAGCGTTAAATTTGTTGGTGTTTAGCGCGGTTCGCGGTTTTAGTTTATAGTTCATAAACCGTTTCGGTTATAAAAAGAATTTATATAAACTTCTATATGCATTAAAATCCGATTTAGATATGGAACATTACTATGGACTATGGCATAAAATTAATAAAGATTACACAAAGATGTAATGAAAATTCTCGCAAGATGCTGCTAGTACTACTAAATACAATATGACGTGGAACTGTTAGCCGGTGGTAAGAACTAGCTGTCAAAGAAGTGAAAGTATAAATAAACATGAATATCCTCATCTATCACAAACAGAAGTCCTAAAGTATTACCGTTGATTTTGATTTTTGATCTTAAGACCATTAATATATTATTCATATTCATTTTAAACACACATACACACATATAAAATCAAAATGCATTTCACAAGAACGCTATTCAATCAAGTAGCTTCAAAAGCTTCAAGACAATTACCAGTTCAAAAAAGAGTTCAAATGGCTTATGATTTACATATTCCAAATAAAACAGTTAATCCAAATTTAAACATTAGATCACATGAACCAATTGTTTTCGTTCATGGTATTTTTGGTTCCAAGAAAAATTATAGATTTGATTGTCAAAAAATTGCAAATGTCACACATACACCAGTTTATACTGTTGATTTAAGAAATCATGGTCAAAGTATACATGCTTTACCATTTGATTATGAAACTTTAGCACAAGATGTTGCCGATTTCTGTGAAGACCATGGATTAAAGAAAGTTAACTTGATTGGTTATTCATTAGGTGCCAAAATTTGTATGTTAACAATGTTACAAAATCCAGATTTAATTAGAAGTGGTGTTATTATTGATAATTCACCAATTGAACAACCTCATATTGAAATTTTCTTACAAATGTTTGTCAAATCAATGATTCATGTTTTGAATAGTACTAAAATTGAAGCAAATGATAGTGATTGGAAAAGAAAAGCTGATGATGCAATGAAGAGATATATCCCAGATGGTGGTATTAGAAAATATCTTTTAGCTAATTTAATTAATAAAGTTCCAAAAGGATATAAATCACCAGTTATTGATTATGATGATGGTTTTATTCATTTCCAAAATCCAGTTAAACATATGACAGAAGTTGCAGTTAAAAATGTTTCAGCATGGCCAACTGAAAAAGTTGCAGGTAAAACATTTGAAGGTCCAATTAGATTTATTAAAGGTACAAAATCTGCATTTATTGATGATGCTGGTAAAAAAGCCATTGCAGGTTATTTCCCAAATCATTCTATCAGTGAAATCAATGCAACACATTTCATTTTAAATGAAAGACCATTAGAATACGTTAGAGTTATTTGTGATTTTATCAAGACTGAAAGATTTAGATCATTACAAGAACATTTAAGAAATGTTGAACATTTTTCACCATCAGAAATTGAAGCCAAACAAGCTGCTAAACATGCTCAACAAATTGAAGAATTAAGAAAAGTTACATCAACTTCTGAATCTTCCATCCCACACAGTACTCAATCATCTGAACAAGCTTTTACTGAAAACATTGATTTAGCTAGACAAGAAAGAGAACATCAAAAATCAGTTAGTGCTTAAACTATATATTAAATATTCAATCCAACACAGCATATGGTATCATGATTAGTTAATTTTCTGTAGAACATATGACCTGGGTCAAATATTCAAGGACTCCTAGATAACAAGCCAATACAAAACCAAACAAATATAATCATAAGCAACGTTTTTGGATTTAAAGTTTGCTCAACTTTGACGTAGTTTAAAAAAAAATTACTTATCAACTCTGCTGCGCAAACCACTTAATTTAGCAGGAAATTTAAACTTCACGTACTCAAAAATGAACAAAAATTGACCAGAATTTTTTTGAAACTATGCTCAAGATTTGGAGTAAAAAAGAAACAATTTAGCATGAATTACATTTTGTGTTGGGTGATGGTTCAAAAATGATTAGGGATACAGAATACAAAGGTACAGGTCTACAATGGAACGGGAGGTAACAGCCTACTCAGCAACTACAGCTCACAATGCCCAAATGACCTTCTAAATTGCTACGCGAAATCTCAGTGCTCTATGCTCTGTACAAATCTGGCGCTGATTTCAATTTTTGTACCAAAATTTTAAAAATTGAAGAAATCTAGAAAAAAATAATTAGTAGAAATTACGGTAAGAGGCACATTTTATCAGAGCAGCGTTACGTAACTTTGTGTTAGGGGACACAGACATATAGATATGGCCATTTTTAAACATTTATTTTTAATGATTGTTGCTTAAAAGTATATAAAGATGGAAAAATCCATCATTTTTGTGACAAGATATTGTTTCTTATTGTTTAACAAAGTTTTAACAATCATTTAAAGATGTTTGCAACCAAAATATTGAGAAACGCTCAATCCATTAAAAATGAATTACCACATCGTGAAGTTGTGAAAATGGCTTATGATTTACACAAACCAAGATCAACCGCCATACGGAATTTAAATGAAAACCATGAAGAACCAATCTTATTTATGCATGGTATATTTGGTTCCAAAAAATCTTATGTTCAAGATTCAAAATTAATATCAAGCGCTACACATACTCCAGTTTATACAATTGATTTAAGAAATCATGGTGAAAGTGCACATGCTCAACCATTTGATTATGCTACATTAGCCGCTGATGTTAAAGAATTTTGTGATTCTCATAAATTGGATAAAGTTAAACTAGTTGGTTACTCATTAGGTGCAAAAGTTTCAATGTTGACAGCTTTACAATATCCAGAATTGGTTAAATCTGCAGTTATTATTGATAATGCCCCAATCCCACAACCACAAATTCAATTATTTATGAAACAATATATCAAAGCTATGAAAACCGTCTTGAATGAAGCTAATATAAGTGCTGATGATAAAGATTGGAAAAATAAAGCATCTGCAGCAATGAAAAGATTTTTACCAAATGGTGTTATTAGAAAAAACTTGTTAGCAAATTTAGTTAATAAGCCGCCAAAGGATTTCGATTCACCAGTTATTGATTTTGGTGATGGACAAATTCATTTTTTGAATCCTATTGAACAAATGGAAGAAATGGCCGTTGAAGATGTCACAGATTGGCCAACTGAATTAACAAAAGATTTGGTATTTGAAGGTCCTGTTAAATTCATTAGAGGTTTAAAATCACCATTTATAACTGATGAAGGTTATGAAGCTATTCAAAAACATTTCCCAAATAACGAATTCCATGATTTAAACTCTTCGCATGATATCTTGGATCAAAGACCAACTGAATATGTTAAAATTATTAATGATTTCTTCAACATCCATAGATATGAATCTGCCCCTGATAGCACAATTTTGGGCCATAAAGATCATCCACAAACTCAAGCTAGAAGAAGTCATTTGTAATGATTTGGTTCCATAATGATTTCCGTTAGATTACTGCTGGGTCAGTAACTTGATTTCAAATTGATTCCGTGTTTTGCTCCGTTTTTTTTGTTTTGATTTTTGCTTTATATACATAACTTTAGACTTCAAAAATTATACGTTTTTCTTTAATATACTACTGGGTTGATCTCATATTCACATTTATTTACATGTAAGTTTTATATACAATTTTCTCTATTTCAACTTGCTAATATGGTACTGTTCCAAAACTTCATTTGATACATCACTTGGACTTTCGACAACAGGATCAACACCATTTTGAGTCTTTGGGAATGCAATGACATCTCTTATACTTGGACTTTCAATTAACATTGCACATAACCTATCAAATCCAATTGCAAAACCTGCGTGAGGTGGACATCCTAAACTTAAAGCTTTTAATAAATGACCAAACAACTCATCTGGTTTGGAAATTTTTAAAATTTCTGTAAAGATATATCTTTGAATTTCAACATCATGAACTCTTCTTGATCCACCACCTAATTCAACTCCATTTAAAACTAAATCATAATGTTCACCTTTAGCTTTTAACGGATCAGTTTCCAAAAATTCATAATCTTCCGGATTGACCATTGTGAAAGGATGATGTGTTGATTCTAATTTTTCATAATCATAAATTGGATATTGTGTCTTTACTGATGTTGATTCTTCAGATGGGTTGAATAATGGGAATTCTTCAATCCATGCACCAATAAATTTGTTATTTGATCTTTTCCACTTATCAGGAAATTCTGAGATTGAAAGTTGTCTAAAACGACCTAATGGTGTTGGATTTTCATATGTTAATCTTGAACGAGTTGATCCAGCAATTATATCACCAACTTGTAAGTTTAATTTCTGTTGTAAACCTTCAAGATCATGAATATTAGCGATAGATGACATTTTGGTATACCAATCATTGATATCAGATTCTGCCTTGATTGGGACAATTATTGGTTTTCTATTTCTGTATTCATTCGAGTCAAATAATGATTTTGGTAGTTTGGGTTTAGAGTTCTGTTCGAATGCATTCTTCAATACACAAACTTCAAATACCGGGAATTTATCATCTTCGATAGCTTTAGCGAAATCACTTAGATCTTGTATTTCCACTGTTGATCTAAGATCTGGTTTGTCAATACCGTATCTTGATAGAACTTCATTATAACTTAGATGGATAAAATCACCATTGACAATATCACCCTTCTTGTTGATAGTAACAATCTCTTCAGTGCCAACTTCCTTCCACACTTTTTTAACAGAACTTTCAACGATTTTTTGTACATCTTGAGCATTAGCAAATGACATTTCTAAATCAACTTGTGTAAATTCAGGTTGTCTATCAGCTCTAAGATCTTCATCTCTAAAACATTTAGCAATTTGGAAATAATTTTTTACACCACTAGCCATTAACAATTGTTTATATTGTTGTGGTGATTGTGGTAAAGCATAAAATGATGATTCTTTTCTAGTAGGAACTAAGAATTCCCTTGCACCTTCTGGTGTTGACTTGAATAATAATGGTGTTTCAACTTCTGTAAATGATAAACTATTCAAATTATCTCTAATGATTTGTGATGCTTTTGCACGAGATTTCAACGCATTTTGGAAAAATGGTAATCTCAGTTGAAGATATCTATGCTGTTGTGGAAATGAATTTGGACTACTTTTCAAAGATTCCAATTGAGACGCTAGAATATCACTTGAGTTAAGTAGGGTATAATCTTGAATCTTCAAATCCCATCTAATACCATCAGTTTCATTTCTTGAAGGTCTATTCTCAATTATACCTTTAATGGAAACACAGTCTTCCACTTGGGATGATCTTAATTTAGAAGCAAATTCAGGATCAGTTGTAACAATCTGTGTAAAGTTTCCTTCAAAATCCCTTAATGTTGCAAATGCTATATTTTTACTAATTTTTTTCGGTTTCTTATCGATCCATCCAGATAATGTTACTTCTTTACCCCAGTAGCGTTCGACATCATTGCTTATAGACTGTATTGTATGTGTATGTTTTGGAAAATCAACTGAATCAATGGTTAATATGTGCTTTCTGTATAGAATTTAATATGCTAACACTTACACTTGGGTATTATGGCCGACTTTGGCGGTAACTTGGAAAACGCCCTTGCAGCGCTTGAAAATGATCTATAGCAAGTGCTTCTCAAGCCAGTGGCCCTGAACCTATTAGTAGCACACCTTAGCATTCTGAAAACTTTTGAAATATCACCACCCAGTAGAATCCTGATGTTTTGAATCAATCATATGTTATTCCAAAATATAATAATTTTATAAAAGTTCGATCGGAGCACGTAAATGAAAGAAAAAGCATTAACGAATCTACAATACAAATTTGAGCTTGTTATCCAAATCGTTTTAGAAATATGAAAAATTATCATTATCATTATAATTACTTATGCTGTTGTGATCATTAATCTGCCTCTACTCTATCGCTATCATTCCCTTTGAAATCATCACTTAGTTCAAAAACTTTGATAGTCCCATCTAATGACACAGCGATAAGAATTGTGCCTAAGACATCTATTTGTAGAGCAGGTGATGAAGAGACGTTGATAGTACTCAGTACATTCTTTGATTGCAGGTCCCAAACGTTGACATCACCACTTTCTGAACCTGATGCGCTAGAATATAAATGTTAGTATATGAAATTTAAAAGGAAACGATCATTTGAATACTCACATTAATGGATCTTTTGATGCTGTTATGAATCTTGTACCACATGTAAATTTTTCTGAGATTCCTGATCCCCCTTGGTAAGTCTTCACCACTCTATTATTCATGTAATCCCATAATCTGACTGTATTATCTAAGCTTGTAGCCAATAAATAATTTCCATTTGGTGAGAATCTAACATATGACACTGGAAATGATGAGCCACCTTTATCATAAATCAGGGTTTTCAAACATTGACCAGATTCAGTATCAAATAATCTAATTAAACCATCATAACTTGCACTTGCGATAATAGTACCATCCCAACTTAAATCAACAGATGCGATAGGATCTGAATGTGCACTCAATGTTTTCAGGCATTTCCCACTTTGTGCGTCCCATACTCTTATTGCTTCATCTGCACTCCCTGTAACCAATAAATTGCCTTTATAATTGAACTCAACACAAGTAACATGGAACGTATGACCTTCCATAACATTAATACATTCACCATATTCTATGTCCCATATTCTTGCGCTCATATCATCCGAAACAGACGCTATATGTTTTGAGTCTCTTGACCATGCTATATCTGAAATCCCTCTTGAATGTCCACCTAAGTATCGTATGAATGAACCAGTTTTAAAATCAAATATATGAATATTGGCATCTGATGAAGCTGTCGCGAAATATATTCCATTCGGGCTGATCTTTATGGTTGTTGTTTCTTTAGCATGTTTTGAGGTCGTGAAGTATTTGAGTGTATAGAGCTCTCCTTGGTTTTGAGACTCGCTCATATCTTTTTTGAATGGTGAAATGTTAATAATTAAAAAGAAAGTTCATCTGATTGTTTTGATATTGAGTTCAGTTTTCATAAAGATTTAGATTTTTTTGTCTCCGGGCACTAAAAACCAAGTTTTTAACAAAAATCAAAATCAAAACGCCACCAACAAAACTGACAAACTCATAAAGTATTTCATCATTCAATTCAACCAACTTAATCAGAAAACAAAGAAAATCACACAATGGTATGTTGCTCTAGAGCTCAATATGTCTATCCATGGACTGTAAACCAACTAACCATTTTTTTTAGAGTCTTAAATTTATTCCTGAATCATCACAACCAAATGCTGTTGATAGCACAAAATTCGGTCAAAGTGCACCATCAGCTCCAGGTTTACAAGATATCTTAAGATCTGAAGAAGGTCCGTTATCAATAAGCTCCAAAATCAACAACAGACACCCATTAGAAAACAGAATTCAAAATTGGGAACAAACTCAACATGATTTGAAATTAGAACAATATAGACGTATATTCGGTGCTGCTGAACCAATCAAAAGAACTATGGAATTGAAAATTGTCGAAAGTACTGATTTCACTCCAAGTGCTTTAGGAAACAATTCAAACATACATAGAGATATCTTGTTGAATAAAGACACATCAATTGATTGGGAAGATATCTATTCCGGTATGTTTTATTATTTATTTGGTATTATTGAATTGTCTTACTAACACATAATTACAGGTCAAGAAAATGCTTTCAACAAAGATTTCCACACTGACTTAGAAAGAAAAATGGGTATATAAACAGGTACGAAATGCTAGATGATTGATTTTTTAATGTTCAGATAATGATTCTAAAGTAGTAAAGATTTCCGGATTTTTGAACTCAGGTGAATAGGGACAACGACCAATTATTGATATTTTAATATTAAATATAAAAATATTATGGATCCCCATGAACCATGAAATAACGAGTAGATTGATGTTCAAACTGTCAGCTTCCCATATAAAATTTACCCTGCGATCTTTTGTTTCTATAATAGTTAATTTTGAAAGTCGCCCATGTAGAAAATGACAGAATTTTTGAATTTTTTTCGCGCGCCATCGAATTACCAAAAAAATTATTGGGAACTTCGAAAAATTGAAAATTTTTATTGCAAGTACAAATATAAAGGCCTGAACAAGTTACAATTATAGCTTATTTTTGAAAATATTTCAAAGAACGCATAAACATATAGTCGCTATATCAAGCATTTTAACTATCAAGCATTGCACATAACAAACAAAATAATATCATGTCTCAATCTCCCTCATTAAACTTTGGTCCAGCATGGTAAGTTCAAATTTGTGTTTTGTGTGATCTGGTTTGATTCTGAGATCTTTATCAAGATCCTTCCACCAAACTGATTATACCAGTGATTTCAATGAACCCAATACTAACAATGTAATTAGGATGCGTCCAACTCCTTCAAGGGGCGGAAGTCAAGAAGCTAGTGCACCATCAACATCTAAAACCACAAAAACATGGGATCAAGATCAACAATATATTCCAAATACATTCAGTGATTCTTCATTTCAGCAACCACAATCAAATTTCGCCACTAACCCTGAACCAGCTACTTCAAACAGTCGAGTATACACTATTGATGAATTGTTAGCTGTTTGGTCACAAATTCAAGAGAAAATCAGCAATGGCGAATCTGTTGAATCATATCGTTCACTGCAACCAATTAAGGAACTTATTGAACAAATTGATGGTGATAGAACTTTCCAGGGTACTTTATCCAAGAAAGATGATCCACAAGTGGTTGAGATCAATGAAAAGCTTAATGATTTTTCCAGGTGGGCTAAGAATGAATCGACAACTAGTTCTACTAATCAGGTTCCTACATCTTCAATCCCTGGTATAAATACTAGCAGATTAAACGATAATGTATTAACAGGGAGTCCATTCTTGAACAATTCATTACTGAGTGCTGGTACTGATCAATCTTTGAATTCTCCTTATGGTAACGGTGGAGCTTCAGTATTTGGTCAACCAACGTTTAACAACTTGGTGCAACCAGCTCAGATCAATTGGTATTATTTGGATCCAACTAATAATCAACAAGGTCCATTTGATGGTATTTCAATGCATTCATGGTTCATTGCTGGGTATTTAAGTCTGAACTTGAACATTAGAAGAGAAGAAGAATTTAGTTATTACCCACTGCAACAATTGATGTCATCTACTAATAATCAATTTTCTCCATTCTTGACACCATTACCAAACTTAGCACCACAATCTGCATCATTCTCTAATTCATTAAATTTTGACCAACAATTGCCTGATTTATTCAATCAAAGCTTATCCTTACAACAACCTCAGGCTCAAACAGGGTACGGAAATTTACAAAATGGTATTCAACCAAACTGGACAAAACAGCTACAAGCACAACAGCTACAAGCATCTACTTCTGGTCGTAACTCACCTTGGGTTACTCAGCCAGATCTGTCTCAAGATGCTGTTTCTGCTCAAAATTTCAGAATCGGTGGACAATCACCATTTGTCAATCAATCATTCACAAATCAAAATGCATCAACTTCTTTATCTACTGCTCCAGTCGCTGATACCACTGATGCTACAACTTCTTCTGTCCCTTCCCAAGATGAAGATATTTTGAACCAAATCAACAATAAAGTTTTAGACAGCGTTTTGAAAGACGAATCACCAGCTTCAAAAGAACAAACTGCTCCAAAATCTGAAGTTAAACCTCAACAATCCACTTCAAGAAAAGAACAATCAAAGGCTAAAGATTCTATTCCTTCTAAGACAATTTCATCTGCTCCACAAGTCGCTTCATCAACCACATCAGCAGCAGCTGTTGCTACTCCCGTTCAAAAGCAAGCAGCTAAGACTTCTAACGGTCAGCAACCAACCGCAGAAGAATCTTCAAAAGCTGTAAAAGCAGAACAAACGAAGTCCTCTGCACCAAAATTAGCACCATGGGCTAATAAATCTGTTTCAAATGCACCACAATTAACTTTGGAACAAATTCAAAGATTAGAAGCTGAAGAATCTGCTAAACAAACAAAAGCTAAAGTTAAACAAGATAAATTATTAGCTGCTCAATTGTTAGCAAACACTGAGAAATCAATTAAAGATTCAGAAGCTCCAAAGACAATCTTACCAACTACCTCAAGTTGGGGTACTCCAACAAAAGCATCAGCTCCTCCAGCTAAAACTTTATTAGACATTCAACGTGAAGAAGAAGCTGCTGCTTCTGCTGCCGCTGCCGCTGCTGCCGCTGCTGTTAGTGCTTCAAATGGTTCCTCATCTGCATCAACAACACCATTGAAAAAACCAGCCGCTGCTAATAAGAACTCATTTGCATCAATCGCAACTTCTTCAGTTCCATCAACTAATGCTTGGACTACTGTTAGTTCAAATAGAAAACCAGTTGTGAAGACCCAAGCACCAAAGATCACATCAACTGTTAAGCCAGTTACACCAGAGATTTTACGTAGTGTATCTGCTAATACTGCTGCTCAACTTCAACCAACAAGTCAAGTTTATAAAACTGTTTCACCAAGACAAGAATTTTTGAACTGGGTTCGTACTTCAATGAAATTAAACAAAGGTGTTAATAAAGATGAAGTCTTACAAGTTTTATTGATGTTACCAGTTGGTTCAGAATCATCAGAAATCGTTGCTGATACTATTTATTCAAACAGTTCTACTATGGATGGTAGAAGATTTGCTCAAGACTTCATGAAACGTCGTAAAGCTGTTGAAGATCAATCTCAAGATGGTTTATCATGGGATGAAGCCTTGCGTATCAGTGCTGAAAATGATGATGATGGATGGGATTTCCAAGTTGTTGGTAAAAAGAAGAAGGGTAAAAACTAATGAACTCTAGAGTAAAAAAATGTATTTATAAAATGTCTAATAAAGATTAAAAACACTACACTGCATAATAATTTAAGAAAAGCATGATTATTTTGATCTTGAATGTAGAAGATAAAATTCATAAGATTTGATTCATTTCATAAGAACGAATGTAGATGTTATACAGTTTATCACGATTAATTGTAGTTGAATAAACTTTATTTTTCTTTATTTGGGAATTCTAAAATACCATCTTTAGAAATTTTAATTTCCCATTGGTCTAGTAAATCCAATTTTCTATCTTCAATAGCGCTATATCTTCTTCTCAATGCTTCATTGAAGCAAATTTCTTGTAATAAAGGAACAAATTTTGGAATCCAACCAGCTTTATATTTTTCAGTTTCTGCTACAATTTCTTGAACTTCTAACTCTTCTAATTTTGTAGCAGTTTGATATCTTTCATAAAGATCATCACCAATTGAACCTTTTTGATATAATGCTGTGATAAATGGTTGAACTTCTTTAAGTTTGATTGTTCTTCTAATAGATTCAGCACCTCTTCTTAATAAAGCTGCTTTTAATACTTTTTCATTTGGTTTTGGGTCACTATCTCTTAATTCAAAATGTAATTCTTTAGGTAAGTTTCTTTTGAAGAATGGTTGTCTATTATATAATGCATTTATCTTATTCTTTCTGTAATTGATTGAGAATACAACTAGAGCCGTAAGCACAACGGTAACATATATGATTGGAGTGAAGACAGAGATCTTAGAGATCACTTGTTCTGTTTGTTCTGTGGTTTGATTGTCAGCCATATTGGATAGAACTTTTTTGTATGGAACTTGATCACAATTGTTGTGTATCCTAAACTGAATTTACACAGAGTTTGTCATTTATTTATTTGTACACGTCTGTTTTTGATTTTCTTTCAACTTTTTGACGAACTATTTTGGGTGCGCGAACCAGTGATATTTTGACCCGCGAAAATCGAAGGCCATCTTTAAACAAAGTTGATGGCAAATGATACAACTAATGATTTGTTTAAAACCAGATTTATCAGTATCAAAGCGGTGAAAGATGAGCAGTATTGTAAGTGAAGGTGTTTGTTGGTAAAAGGAGGACAATTGACTAACTTTTCGTGCCAGATTTTAAGATTTAGATCCAAAGATGGGATGTTCAGAGTCTCAGCTAATAGTTCAGCGGACTTTTTGAATGTTATTGAAGAATTATCACCAAAATTCCCAGATGCTGATGTTAGCTCTTTATCAATCTCAGATAAACCAGCAGGTCCATTTAGATCAATTGGAACTTTAGCTGGTAGCACACCACAAGAACTAGGCTTCAAAAATGGTGAAATGCTATTCATTTCATATGAAAGTAAGATTACAGATCAATCACAAGAACAACAACAAAATTCCATACCAATAGAACCATCACAACAACAGCAACAATCACAAGGATTCGTTTCCATTCCAAAAATAGAGGATCCAAAGAAAGTTGAAGAATTACCTGTTGATAAATTATTAGAGAAAGAAGATGGTTTAATACCAAGAAAAAGGGGAACATTTTGTAGACATAATGATAAAGGTATGTGTGAATATTGTTCACCTTTACCGCCATATGATAAAGGATATAGAGAAGAAAATCAAATCAAACATGCATCATTTCATTCACATTTGAAAGAAGTTAATGAAGCTGTTAATAAAGGTACTGGATCTTCATATATTGCACCATTAACAGAATCAAATTTTACCATTAATAAACAATGTATTGGAGGTCATGAACCTTGGCCAAAAGGTATTTGTTCCAAATGTCAACCATCAGCTATCACATTACAACAACAAGAATTCCGTATGGTGGATCACGTTGAATTTGCAAATTTCGAAATTGTTAATTCATTTATTGAAAGTTGGAGAAGAACTGGTACTCAACGTATAGGGTTCTTGTATGGTACATATCAAAAATATGATAAAGTTCCATTAGGTATTAAAGCTGTTGTTGAAGCCATTTATGAACCTACTCAACATGATGAAAATGATGGGTTGACTTTAGGTTTACCTTGGGAAGATGAAGAAAGAATTGATAATTTGGCAAAAAGTGCTGGTCTGTATAAAATTGGTGTGATATTTTCTGATTTGATTGATGCAGGTAATGGTGATGGTTCTGTTATTTGTAAAAGACATAAAGATTCATATTTCTTATCATCATTAGAAGTTATCTTTGCAGCTAAATTACAATCTAAATATCCAAATTATACTCAATTTTCACAATCTGGTAAATTCTCTTCAAAATTTGTTACATGTGTTGTATCTGGTAATTTACAAGGAGAAATTGATATTGCTTCATATCAAGTATCTGAAGGTGCTGAAGGTTTAGTTAAAGCTGACATTTTGACCGGTTCAACACATCCATCTTTTGCATACATTAATGAGACAAATGATGATCGATATGTTCCAGATATTTTCTATACCAAGATGAATGAATATAAATTACAAGTTAAATCAAATGCTAAACCGGCATTTCCAGTTGATTATTTATTGGTCACACTTTCACATGGTTTCCCACAGGAACCGAATCCAGTCTTCAAATCAAATAAGTTCCCAATTGAAAATCGCCAAGCCGCTGGTATTTCCCAGGACTTTTTAGAAATTAAAAAACAATTGAAAATTGATAGTTTTGATACAAACGATGTGATTAATTCCATTTCAGATTTCCATTTATTGGCTTATTTATTCTCTTTAGACATTTTATCACCATCTGAGCAAAAATTGGTTGTTAAGATTGCAGTGGAACATAGATTAGAAGATGCTTATAGATTACTTGAACAACCAGGATGGCAAACACTTTTGACCATCATCAGGGAAAGTACATAGTTTAACTTTACACTATTGTAAGGCAAAAGTGGATGTGTTTTTTGTTTAGAATGTAACTTAAACGGCAAGAATCACCTCGATTTTTGTGTCAAATCTCACACAATTACACCATAAATGCATTGTAGATTTCGTTAAAAGCCTGAAATCCCACAGTATTCTTGGATCTTGGATGACCAAAGTAGGCGTATTTCCCTTTTCGATAGTTTTTCTCTAGAAGCTTCGAGATCATGGGCGAAGAGTTCCGGGTAGAGTTCGCGGAATTTTTTTTTTTTACTGAAGATTTTTTTTTCATTTATAATGATGGATCATGGCAAAAAGCAGATTTGTGTTGAAACCTTTTAACAAAAGATTTGTTTGAATAAAAAGAAGGAAGTTTATTTTGATCAATTCTTTTGAAGGATTCATATAAATAACATACATTAAAAAATGAGTACTCCATTTGGTTTAGATTTCGGTAACCACAACTCTGTTGTCGCTGTTGCCAAAAACAGAGGTATTGACGTTGTCGTCAATGAAGTTTCTAACCGTTCAACACCATCATTAATTGGTTTTGGTTACAAGAACCGTTTCATTGGTGAAACTGGTAAATCACAACAAACATCAAACATCAAAAACACCGTTGATAACTTGAAAAGAATCATTGGTTTAGATTACAACCACCCAGATGTTGCTAAAGAAGCTGAATTCTTTTCAACTGAATTAGTTGATATCGATGGTAAAGTTGGTGCTAAAGTTAAATTTTTAGGTAAAACTGAAGAATTCACTTCAATTCAATTAGCCGCCATGTACTTTAACAAATTAAAAGATCAAGTCGCTAAAGAATCAAAAAGTAAATTAGAAGATGTCGTTGTCGCTGTCCCAATCTACTACACTCAACAACAACGTCATGCTGTTGCTGATGCTGCTAGAGTCGCTGGTTTAAACCCAGTCAGAATTGTCAATGATATCACTGCCGCTGCTGTTGGTTACGGTGTTTTCAAAACTGATTTCCCAGAAGACAAAGCTTTAAACATTGCTTTCGTTGATATCGGTCACTCAGCTTATGGTGTTTCTATTGCAGCTTTAAAGAAAGGTGAATTGAAAATCTTAGGTTCAGGTTCAGATAAACACTTTGGTGGTAGAGATTTCGATTTCGCCATCGCTAACCATTTTGCTGATGAATTAGATGCTAAATACAAAGTCAAAGTTAGAGAAAATCCAAAATCATTCTCACGTATCTTAGCTTCAGCTGAAAGAATCAAGAAAATTTTATCAGCTAACACCCAAGCTCCATTCAGTGTTGAATCAGTTATCAATGATATTGATTTCTCATCATCATTAACCAGAGAAAAATTAGAAGAATTGGTTGCTCCATTATTAGAACGTGTCAATGTTCCAGTTGAAACCGCTTTGAAAAACGCTGGTTTGAAACCAGAAGATATTGACTTCGTTGAAGTTATTGGTGGTGGTTCAAGAGTTCCATCTTTGAAAGAAAGTATCTCAGAAGCTTTCGGTAAACCATTATCATTCCACTTAAACCAAGATGAAGCTATCGCTAAAGGTGCTACTTTCATCTGTGCTATTCATTCACCAACTTTAAGAGTTCGTCCATTCAAATTCACAGATGTTAACCCAGATTCAGTTTCTTACTACTGGGATCAACAAGTTGAAGATGATGATGATCACTTAGAAGTTTTCCCAGCTGGTTCTCCATTCCCATCAACCAAAGTCATCACTTTAGAACGTACTGGTGACTTCAAAATTGAAGCTAAATACACAAACCCATCAGAATTACCAGCCGGTGTTGCTACTGATATTGCTCAATGGGAAATCAAAGGTGTTAAACCAGCCGAAGGTCAACAAACCGTCACTGTTAAAGCTAAATTAAGAAACAACGAATCAGGTATCTACAGTGTTGAATCAGCTTACACCGTTGAAGAAATTGAAGTTGATGAAGAAATCCCATATGAAGGTGAAGGTGAAAAACCAGAAGATTATGAACCAAAATACAAAAAAGTTAAACAACTTGTTAAGAAAGATGATTTAACCATCGTTACCCATGATGCTTCATTACCAGAAAAAACTTTGAATGATTTATTAGAAAAAGAAGGTCAATTAACTTCTCAAGATGATTTAGTCTTCAAAATTCAAAACAAGAGAAATGAAATTGAAGAATACATTTACGATTTCAGAGGTAAATTAGATGACATATATGAAAAATTCGTTTCAGAACAAGAAAAATCTGATTTATCTTCTTTATTATTAAAAGCTGAAGATTGGTTATATGATAATGAAGATGCTTCATTAGGTATCTACACTGCTAAATACGAAGAATTAGCTTCAAAAGGTAACTTGATTAAAGGTAGATACTTACAAGCTGAAAATGAAAAACAAGAAGCTGCTAGAGCTAAAAAAGAAGCTGAAGAATACCAAAAATTCTCTCAAAAATTAAAAGAACAACAACCAGCTGAAGAAAAGAAAGAAGAATCAAAAGATGCTGAAGGTGATTTAGATCTTGATTAGATTTAAATTATCAATAAGTGATGAAATTCCCATGGGATCTAAAAAAAATGTTAAAAAATACCATAATGTATATCAATTATAAAGTATAAACTTGAGTCATTAATTTCATTTGTTTTCTTTCGTATTTGCTTAATTATATTTCAATTCAGGCCTTTGGGAATTCTTAGAAAGTTTTTAATATACAATTTGTTACACAGAAATTGATCTCGTATCTTATTAATTTAGTAACGTTTTTTTAACGATTTCTCAAATTTCTAGCGCTAATATGTTTAATCGCGGCGGGGGCGCGATAACGCGATAACCTATATGATTCATAGATTAATTTAAACGGAGAACTTGTTCATCCTTCTTGTTACTTCGTTCAGGTGAAGTCAAGAGAAGCAAGGTATTCCTTAAAACTCAGCTTTAATATCTATCAAAACATCGATAGTAATGAGCAGAGACATAGTAGTGGTCGGCGCAGGTGTGATTGGCTTATCAGCTGCTCTGGCGTTAAGTGAAGAAGGTTATAAAGTAAAAATCATTGCTAAACATCTTCCAACAGATCCCTTGAATTCACAATATACCTCTCAATGGGCAGGTGCTCATTTCAGACCATATCCTAGTAAATCTGATAAGGATTATGAAGAATCAAAGTTGGCTAGAAAGACTTTAAAACGTTTCAAGAGAGTAGCTGTTGAAGAACCTTGGTCGTCTATAAAATTTATAGAAGGTATTGATTATTTAGAAACCCAGGGGCTTTACGGTGTGAAATCAAGAGGTTATTTTGAAGAATTAACTAATATGAAAGAAATTTCAAAGGACAAACTCCCAAAGAATGTCTCGTTTGGTGCTAAATATGACACTTGGATAGTTAATTCACCATTATACATCCAGTATTTACAAAGAAAACTGACTTTCGAATATGGTGTTCAATTTGAAAGACAAGAGATTGGGTCATTAAAACAAGTTTCACAATCGAATCCTGGATCTATTGTTGTTAATGCTACTGGGTTAGGTGTTCAGTATAACGGTGGATTAGATCCTAACTCTTTTGTGATTAGAGGTCAAACTTTATTAGTCAGAGCACCTAAAGGAAATCCATATGAAAACAAAACAATCACTCATCAATCATCAGATGGTTCGTGGACATTCTTGATTCCAAGACCTTTAGATGGTGGTTTGATCGTTGGTGGTACCAAGCAAGTTGGTGATTATCAAACAACTCCAAAAATTGAAGATACAAAAGCTATAACCAGTAGGGCCAAAGTTCTCTTCCCGGAAGTGTTCATTGATGGTGAGCTTGATATCAGAAATATAAATGTAGGGTTCAGACCTGCTAGAAAAGGTGGTATAAGAATTGAGTCTGAGCAGATTGATAATCAACAACTAGTTCATGTTTATGGGTTTGGTGGAATGGGTTATGAAACATCGTGGGGTGCAGCAGAAGAAGTTTTGAAACTTGTAAAGTTATTAAGTCGTGATTCAAAACTTTGATCGTTGAAAATTTACAAATCTTTTAATTTTGAGTATTAAAGAATAACTATATTACTCTATATAACTAATGTTACATATGATTTGGATAAGAAAAAACAAAAATGAAAATCAACCAATAAATATTTTATAATGATCTGTATTCTTTGTGGAATATATTATTATCAATAAAACAAGTTGTAGAACAAATAAACAAACAGAATACAAATTTATGCAAGTACTCAAAAATGAAAGAAATAAAATGATTGGAAAAGTTCAAACTTTTCAATGTTTTGGGTGACCTTTAACTTCTTTTGACCAACCAGGAATATCATCACCGGTACCACGTAATGGTCTTTCTAGTACAACATTTTCTAAACCCATAGCATCTGATAACCATTGATGATTAACCATACCACCAGCATCAGCCCTTTTTTCAGGATTGACACAAAGCATTGGTAATAAGAAATCAGCGATATCATGAGCATCAGATTCCTTATATTTATATTTATCAATCAATACGTCTCTTAATCCCCATGGTTTCAGTTTAGAAATATTTCTCAATTCACCTCTTGAATTGAAAAACTCTCTAGTATATTTCCCATCTTTCAAGACATTTGATGGTATTTTACCTAATAATTCAATGATTTGTGCAATATGGTCATCATCTTTGGTATAACTATGACCTTGAACTGGATCGAAAAGATAATCACCAGTTAATAATTCAAAAATCATACATGCTAAGGACCAAACATCAGCCGAACAACCCCATTTAGCACCTAATAAAACTTCTGGAGAACGATATTGTCTAGTTTGAATATCATCAGTAAAATGCTCATCATACCAACACGCATTACCTAAATCTGCAATTTTAACTCTGATCAAATTTTCATCCAAAATTTCAGGTGATTCCTCTGGTAAACTCTGTATAGCATTTTCTGCAGAGATAGACATTGATGACAGTGAGTTTGTAACACCTTCAGGCTTCCCATTACGTGATTTACTTGGTGATTCTTGTGAGAATGAATTTTCAAAATACTTCCCACTGCTTATAGGTGATGGTAAAGGTTGTGATCCTGTAATTAATGTTTGACGTCTTGATCGTCTTCCATTTCTTGATGGTGTTGAAGTTCCACTATTGGAACCAGAATGTGGTGGAACACTTGTACTTGACACTCTTGATCGTCTTCTTTCTTCTCTTTTCTTATCTTTTTCCTCTCTCTCTAAGGTCTCAACCATCTTCACTATATGTTCAACATCACCAATCTCTATCAAAACATTTTCAGGTTTAAGATCTGTATGAATAACACCAGTTTCTCTGTGCAAATAATCTAACGCAAGTAACATTTGCTTTGCAATTTGTTTGACATAAATAACAGGTATACCTCTATGTTTATATTTTCTAATAAGACTCAATAAATTTTCACCTAATACTTCGAAAACCATTATAACATGAGCACCATTAGGTCCTTCATGAGTAAAAGAATCCAAGAATGCTATAACATGCTTTTTCCCTCTATGTACACAACTATTATAACTTATTCTTCTTAACAATTTGATTTCATCAATTGCTGTTTCAGTGTAGTGAGAAGCTGAACGAACAATTTTGATGGCAACATGTTGATTCTTCTCATTATCTTTTGCAAGCCAAACAGTACTAAAATGACCCCATCCCAGTTTTCGTACTAAAATATATCTTCCATCTTTATATTCTTCACCAATAAAAGCTGGATGGTAACCACCTCTTTTATAATCTTCTTGGTTTTCTTCATTTTCCAATTTTTTAGGATCAATTTCCTCTTCTTCACTATCATCATCAGAATTGAATTCACCAGCGCCTTGATCATTATTGTGGAAAACATCATCAATTCCAATAGACGTATTCAAAGGATGCGTTACAGGTTTCACTGTCTTTATTGATTCATTATCAGCGGCGTTTTGTAATGCTATTGATAGCTTTGACTTTGTAGGTATGCCATTATTTATCGAAGCATTACCATCTTCTTTAATTGGATGTGGTGAGAAAAGGCGGCTAGCATCTGATGATCCGCCCATTGTACTTTAAGTTATCTTATCTCTATGAATGTGACTAGTATCAAACTGTGATATCTCTCGTTTAAAGCCTTTCTTCTCTATGATGTTTGATCCAGGAACGGACGTTGGGTATGTCGAAAACGTTGAAACACCCCCAGGCTAATTTTTTGATCAACACTTTTTTTGACCTATTTCAACCAAAACTCTGCGCAAAAAAAAGCAGCACTCTATAAATCACTGTGGGTGTGGTTCCCTTCTAGCTCTCCAATAACAGGCTCTGTATGGTCTGTGATACAATGTGACTCGCCGAAAACCTTGTGTAATTCTCACGCTGTGGATTCCAAGCCAAACAGACTGTTTTTGTTTGGGTAAAAAAATGTGAGTGTAATCTGTAAATGTGTTACGTAAGCCATAATATTCCGGATTTCAAAATTCATGTTTTCTTTTCAGATAACAATAAGAAGAAACAAGTTTAAAGCATTTTGGCTAAAGAAAGGCGCTGGAAGGGCTAAAGTTGTAATTGAAAGGAAATGGATTTGGAACATGTGCTATTTGGACTTAGTCCATTTGTTAATGATTGTGAAGAGAAGAAGCTGAACGTGGACAACGTATACAGAGACAGTTATCTCAAGCTGTTGGACCAATTGGCAGTATTACTAAGAAACCCAGAAACTAGAAATCATGAATTAATACATTCAAATTTAAACAAATTCATCGGTGCTGGTGATTATTTGATATTGAATCTTGATAACACTGGATATGAAGAATTATTAATGGAATTGATCAGAGTTTTAGCCAATGCTATAGCAGATAATGTGGTGAATAGAGAACTGTTGGCCTCAAATACTCAATTTATCAAGAATTTAGCAGATCATTTAGAAGAACATCCAGAAGAAGAATCATTGAATGAAAGAATATTGATCTTACTCAAGAATTTGGTTATTGATAGTCCAGATTCTGCTAAAGAAATTTCATTTATTTCACAACAAGTTATTGATTATATCTCAATTACTAAGAATGATATATTTGCAGCTGTGGATTTATTAACAGATTTAGTAAAATGTATGAATTATAAAGCAGACCCGCAAGTCATTGAGTCATTGAGCATACGTTTATACAAAGTGCTGGAAAATCAATCAAACTTTGATGATGAAGATGAATTTAGTGAATTAGCTGTTAGTTTATCAACAATTTTGGAAGACATCACCGTTAATCCAAAGTTTAACTTTAATGATGAAGTAATTGAACAAATCTTACAAGCTAGATTTGCTGATACATTGAGATTGTTGGCAAAGCTTGAATTTCAAAATAAATTAATGGCTCGTAGAAGAATATTTGCATCAATAGGGAATATATCTGCTAATCTTTCCACCTCAAACAAATCTTTGAGAGAAGTTTCAATCCAAATAATCAAAGATCAGAACGAACAAAATGGTTATATCGTATCTGCTGCATCAACAATATTAGGGAATTCAATATCATCTGCTGCTGATAGAAATGAAGTATTGGATCAAGAACCTCAATTGGTTGATTTCCTATTACTTAAATATAATTGTTTGATAGATCCAATTCAATTTCAAGGTATTCTTCACCTTCTCAAAACTTTGATGAGTATAGATACTGTGGGCTCATTATTTGCTGAAAAGAACTTTAAGATTTTCGTATTATTAATTGAAGCTACTGTGAGAAATAGTAAATATTACACAAACTTCACTTCTTTACTAGTTGCATTTTTGAAGAAAACATTTGTTTTGATGAATAAATCAAATGTAACAAAGATTATTGAAAGTGATATTCCACAAAATATCATAGCTGCAGATTCAAATGTTGAATTGAATACGATTTTGCTTTTATTATTAAACAAAGTTGTCATTTATTTACCAAATGCTGATATAAAGCCAATCACAACAAAAGTATTAACTTTCAAGGATAACATACCTGCATCTTACTTATTTGAAGTTACAAAAACTATTGGTGTGTTATTACAACATAAACCAGATTTCACTTTGGAGAATCATACATCAAGTTTATTAACCTTACTCACAACTGTGAACTCTATTGATTCAAAATCAACAGATAATTCAGCTAAATCCGTGCTAAACAATGGGAGATATATTGCAGGTTCTCTATTAACAATTCATAAAACTAAACCGATTGATGCAGATCTTTTCGCTATAGCCGATAAAGTTTTAAGAAAATAGACTATCCATTTAATTAATGACTATATATATATGATTGTTTCCTGTAGTATTGAAATACGGAGGCCTCGACGTCTTGAGTCTTGAATGATTAATCTTATTTGTAATCCGTATAAATCGTAAGTTGTAGTCACTGCTTGTATCTTGTGATTGAGCTTAATAGCATTTTTAACTATCTTTTCGATAATTGGAGCATTCATGGCGCTTTTTAAATTAGCATATTTAAATTTCGAAGTATCACAACAGCTCTAAATTAATATCTGTTCAAAGGTTTCAATTTCATTCCTATATATGGTACTATATTATATATTTATAAAGGTATATAAATCGGTACACCCACGTAAAATCGTGATTATCACGTGAAGAAACTCTTGAAGCGAATTATTTCTTTATTTTTGTATTGTATAATAATTATTTTAATATGGGAAACTAGATATTTTAAGGTAAATTATTTAACAATCATAATTTTACTTTCAAAATTTGGGTTTAAATTTTGGGACTTTTTTAATATTTTTAATTTTGAGGTTAAATTGAAATTTATGAGGTTACATTTATTTACAAAAGTTAAAACTTTAATAATGGAAAAAAATTTCTATTATATATATATATATAAAATCAATATTATAAATTAGTAATCAACTTATGAAAGGTATTTCAAGTCAAAGTTTTCGATAAAATACAATAATATCTATGAAGGACGTCAATAATAATATTTAATATTAATAATAATATAATTATAGAACGCATTCGCGTATTTTAAAGGCAACATTTTCGCACTCACCGAGTGTTTAAACTTTAAACAGATAACTGCGTTCTTTCTTTCACTCTTAAATACTTTATTGACATCAAATTTCAATTCACTAAAGTCAAATCATAAATTATATTCAAGATTGTTGTGTAGTCATATGCTTATCAAATATTCAAAAGAGTGTAAAATATGACAAAAAAGAAGATTCTACCAGATCAAGAATGTGAACTATTAGGACCGGTATCTATATTAATTCAATCATTATTAGGGTTGATAGCTGTTTCATCATTGCTTTTGAAAAGATCTTATGAACATCCAAGAAGACCATGGAGAGTATGGTTCTTTGATGTATCTAAACAAGTGTTTGGTGCTTTAGGTATTCATTTATTGAACTTGACGGTATCATTATTAAAATCTAGAAGATTGCTATTAGCGCTTTCAGATAATGGCGGTGATGATGATGGCGAAACAGGTAATCAATGTGATTGGTATTTTTTAAACTTATTAATGGACACAACAATAGGGGTCCCAATATTATGGTTTTGCTTGTTCTTTATTTATCAGGTCTGTGAAATCCTTGGAATTAAAGATATAGAGAGTGGTAATTATGGTAAACCACCAAGAATTGTCCCATATTTGAAACAATTGACTATATTTTTTCTTGCAGTAGTGCTGATGAAAGGAATAATATACTTGTTGCTTTACATTCCAATCTTCATCATGTATGCTGATTGGGTATTAAGTTGGACAGATGGATTTCCAAATCTACAAATATTTTTAGTTATGCTGGTATTCCCAACTTTATTGAATTGTTTCCAATACTATGTTATAGATAATATCATTAAGTTCCCTACAAATTTATGATACTTTAGAGTTGATTCATGATAGTTTCATTATATTTAATATTCGTTAGTTTCTCTTTAATGACCATTTATTTTTTTGTTTTTCAATGAAGGTGCTGATAATGTAGATATCGAGGAGCTAACTTTAATTAGTTCAGACCCTTTCAAGTTGATATTTGTTGTATTTAAGTTTTTCATAAATTCGTAAACTTCGACATTACTTTTTAAATTCAATAAATTCTTTTCAAAAACCTTGAATAATGCAACTGAAATCTTGAACATTTCAGTGTATCCATTTAACATCATAACATCCCAGATTCTAAAGACAATATGTATGGGTAAACTATCACTGAATAATGAAATAAACCAATTGAAACATATAGGTTCAATTTCCACATCTATATTGGTCAAATGATCACTCAACCTTGGTAAATTCTCCACAAATATATTTCTGAATAATGCCAAATCATTTTTAACATTAACCAAATTGAAAAAATCAGATGGTAATATATTATCAACCAGTCCAACAAATGCCCAAAAAGCATCTTCTTCATTTGAAAAGACCAAAAGAATATTAGCAGCAATAAAATTCATACCTTGACAATAACCTATATTTGGAAATTTTCTACTATAAGCAATCAATATGTTTTTCAATTTTTTCAATCCAGGTCCATTATCTTTGAAGAAAATGTTGAAAGGCATAGTTCTATAGAGATCTAATTCGATTTGGGATTCTGCTTCTTCATTTGATTTTGATTCATGAACAAGCTTATAATATTCTGAGGGGGTCATTAAATTTTCAGATCCTGTTAATTCAGACCATATTTTGGCCCTATATTTCATTGGGATCCCATTTGAAACAAGTTTTGAAAATTCTTTATGTAGATGTTTAAACTTTGATAAATTCTCTCCATTAATTGCCAATAAATCACCAGTATTATTATCATTACTCAACAAAGAGATTTTCTTAATGAATTCATCCCATTGTCTGTTATTTTGATCTTGTGACTTATCATAATCACTCGCAATTTCTAATAATCTTGAAGTGAATGATTTATCAATTGGGCTTTTAGTAGAGGTCTCCAGTTTGGAAGGTGGATCTGCCTTTTTAGATTTTCGATCATATATGAATCCAAATTTATCTATATATCCTCTATCATCTTCTGTATGAGTTTGATAAGTTGGAGGTTTAACATCAGTGGGATCGAAGTTTTCCATTTCCATGGGCACTAGTTTTTTATTGTTTGTACTATTGTTTATAATAACATCATGAACTGGCTGAGGAACATGATTCAAAAATCTATGGGAAACAACGTTCAATATTGAGTTTGATTGAATTTGGGATGATATTGAAGCACTTGATGTGTTATTTCTCAGTTCATTCGATGATGGTATAGGTGGTGATGAGAATGAATGTGGTCTTGTTTTATTTGCTTTCTCTTGTGGTTCTTTCTTTGTGGAGTTATCAGTTGTACCTCTATTTGGGGTCCTAGTCAATGTATTTGAAGCAATGGATGCCGATGAAGATGCTCTCAATTGTGGTACATCGTCGAAATGTTCATTCATTGCGTCATTAATCAAGTCTTTGAGAAAATATGTATCATTGATATCAACACTGTTAACTGAACTTTTTTCCATTCTATCTTTCAAAATCAATTCCACTTCACTTGTTGATAATCCCATTTCGTTCAATAATTTGATCAAAGAGTTTTCTCTCGTGGAATTTTGTTTCCTTATTAACGATATTTCAGCTTCTCTTTGAGCTAGATCAGTTGCAAGTTGTCGAACTAAGCTTACCGCTCCATATCTTTTTACCAAATGTTCAATGGATTTGTTTGATGAAGAATGTAAGTTACCAGGGATCATGGAAGGATTCAAATAATTTGATTCAAAAAGACCTCTTGAAGGTGACGATGAACTTGTTCTGTCTATGCTTTCCATGGATAATGTGGAGTGTAAGGGGGCGTTCAACGATGCCAAAGCTTCATCGTTGTCATGTTCATTATGATCAGAGTACAATGGACCTAAGTTTTCTGGTATTGAGTTTTTGGTGCTTCTGTTAGCATTAGACAGACTCTTTGTCCTACTCAACGATATTCTTTGGTATTGGTTATGATGGTTTTGATGTTGTTGATTTGGCTGCTGAAAGGGTTCATTGGTACCCCGGCTATTGGAGGACATCGTGTAACAGGAATCCTGGTGAAAATGCTCAGCTGAACGATCAAAAAGCCTCTGTGTGATATGCTGATGGAATGATTCCGTTTAAAATGTGACATGTTCTTTGTTTTCGTGTTGATTGTTCAAATTAGCTAATTCACGATATTTTGTTTTCCTGTCAAAAAACCGATAGCAAAAATTGTGATCTCAAGACAAAAACCAATTTTGGACAGGAAATCAACCACTTAAAAAGAAAGACTAGAGATACTTATAGTACTATAGACATCTAGAGTATTCTGTTATATATCAGAATATCAAATTTATCAACTTAGAAACCCAAAATTACAAGTTATCGTCTTTGCCGCTGTTCTTAGAAAGATCAATTGTCACTTCACCACTTTAAAATAAACCATTAGATGCCATCCAAAGGGCCAACTTCGAATGAATCAAAGACTACCAAGACAGACAAAGAGGAAACCATTATGACTTCAATTACATCCGCGTTTACACCCATACCCACAAGCCATTCAAGACGTTCAGTGCCCCTAGTTTCAACAACAAGTCCATTAATCACATCAATCCTATACAAGATTTTTCCAATATTAATCATTTTCAACACTACACTAGATTTTATAACTTGGACATCGCATGATCCATTCATGAACTTTATCTATCATTCAATGCTTTATTTGCTTATTTTTTATTATGACGTTACGATATATTTCTTCTTTGTTCCAATACTTACGGTGCTTGTGATCTCATCAATTAATCATTATGTGAATTCTGTTTATATACATGTCAACGAGGAAGAGCCAACGCTTGAAGAAATTGTTGATACTTTGGATAACTTCACAACTAGAGTGGATATATTATTGGAACCTTTTAGAGCTGTTCAGATATCGTATTTGAAACTTTTAAATTTTCTATTCATGATTACACCAGTACATTTAGTGTTGATGAAATATTTTTTACAACCAAAGACATTTCTTTTGTCAATAACAATTATGATCACAACATTTCATTCTCTGTGGTTTCAAGCCACTCTGAAGATATTATGGAGAAGTCTGTTTGTCAGAAACATTTTCAGTTTTTTCATTGGTACTAATACGGCACATTTTTACAACAATTATAGAATATTGAATGAAACTAAAATATCTAATGATAAGAATGGTAAAATTATACAATTTCAAATCATTGAAAATCAAAGAAGATGGGTTGGACTTGGATGGTCTGATAAATTGTTACCTTATGAAAGAGCCAATTTCACTAATGAAGCTTTACAAGAAACATCATCACCAGATTCCTTCCTGTTCCCTTTCAACTCCAAACAATGGCAATGGCTGGAAGAGAAGTGGAATATTGATCTGAAATTCTGTGATAATAAAAATAAAGACGGATGGAAATACTTTGATAATTATTGGCAAAGTGGTCAAACATCAGATTCCATTACTTCTTACACAAGATCCAGAAAATGGACCAGAAAAGCTGTGCTTATATCTGAGAAGACAAAGAGTACCTCTAAATAACATGAGACCATCCATTTTGCAAAAACCATCTCACTTTTAACGAATAAATAAATACAAATTTCCCCAGATTTTGTATGTCTTTATTTGTAGCTATGCTTCTCTAACCAGATCATTTTCTTTAATAAGCAATGACGTCAGCTTCATTAAAAAAAAATCCGAAGTCGGTAATTGTAAATTGTTAAAGGGCTAAAAAACAAACTTGAAATCTTAACATTTTATACTTCTATAACATTAAAATAGTGAGATTTAGATCAGATTTATAGAGATAGACAAGTCATATACTATCAGAAGCTTTAAAATGATACTGTACCGTGGATTATGCCTAAGGGGTTCAGGTGGTTTCATACCTAGAAGATTCATATCGAACCCAAAGAGTAAGTAATTTATTTATATTTGCTTTCATGATCAAATTTCTTTAAACAATAGATACTAATATGATTAAAAGTGAAATTAAATACAAATTCATCTCAAGAATCAAATCAAACATTAACATTTGAAGGTAATACAAATCTTGTTGGCACACCTGAAGAAAGAATGAAGAATGTTTTCGGTGGTAGAATTAAAGGTGATGCACGTCAATCATCATCAAGAAAATTAGCAGGCCAACCAAGAATGATTGCAGGTGTTTTAGTACCAGATAGACCAACAGAACCAGATAATTGTTGTATGTCAGGGTGTGTGAATTGTGTATGGGAACAATATAATGATGATTTAAAAGATTGGAGAACATTAAGAAATGAAGCTGCTCAAAATATAAATAAAACTGATCAAATATGGCCAGAAGATTTCCATCCTCCTTTAGTTGCATTAGATATGAAAAATGTTCCTCAAGATTTGAAAAAGACCAAAATCAAAATGAGTCAACCAAAGAAAAAACTTTCAAGTTCAGCATATTTTCCTACAAAATCTACTGGAGTTAAACCAGGTGCTCAACATGCTAGAAAAGTGGCAAAAGAGTTGGTAGAAGATGAGTCTGATAAAGATGATTGGGAGAACGTTCCTGTTAGTTTTAGAGTTTTTGCTGAAACTGAAAAAAAGATGAAGGCCAAAAAGGCAGAGAGACTACGTAAATTAGAGGAGGAAAAGAAAGCAAAAGAACTTAATAAGGCACAAGAGACTCAAAGTAATCAGAACAATAAAACCAATGGGCCAAATGTATCAGCTACACAAGAGTAGTTTTCACTGATCATATTCATGCATTGTCATAAATTAAAATTGTATTTAATATTTAAATAATTATATATTCGCATATCAGCATCATTTCATAGTTAATTCCATATTTATTTATATTCAAATGATAGTTTACAATGAACTATGTAGAGAGAATTCAAGCTCGAGGTGATATGAGTTTATTATATTATGTTCTGTATATTGGAAATATAAACGTTATATAGTACGGGTGAATTAGCAATATTGAAAAAAAATAGATATCAAAAAGGAATAAAGCCATAATGTATAATGAAAATTAATGAATTAAAAGAAAAAGATTTAAAGAAACTCAGCATATAACCGAAAAATTTCTTTAAAGTGGAAAACAGCGATCAGATAGCATAAGAAACAACCAACATTATCAAACTCCAAATACCATAAGTTGGAACATAGATATTCATCACACCATCGCCACTAGATGAGCTTGATCCAGCAGTTGAAGACTCTTCACTAGTAGAAGCAGCAGCTTGGACACTTGAAGAAGAAGATGGTTCAGCTTTTGAAGAAACCACAACACCTGATTGGGTATTGATTTCATTTGAAGCTTCAAATCTAACAGTAGCACTTTCAACTTCATTACTTGAATGATCGTATATAGTATAGTTTGATTTCTTGGCTTCAACATCATCCAAAAGTTTACCCACGTTATCAGTATCAACACCATTTTCAATTAAGTCTGCAATTTCTTTTGGTTGTTCAGGGATAGTAAAGTTAGCACCAAATGATGGATAAATGTCCGTGACAATATCAGCATTACAAGTAACGATATCAGCTTCTTCAACATCATCTTCTAAAATAGTTGGCAGTGATGAATTTGCGAATTCATTTTTTAAGTTATCAAAATCCTCTTTATATGTAATGGAACCATCGTCATTCAAGTCAACAACACCATAATGTGATGGTTCTTCAGTATACTCATAAACCAAACCACCGGAGAAAGTGTTAACTAATCCACCAAAAAGACCATCACTAACTTCATCAAATGTTCTTGGTAAGTTTTTATTACAACCAAATTCTGAGAAAAACAATGGTAATGTAGTGTTACTTAAAGTACTATTCAAATTTTCAAAACCTGAATTAGCCCAGTTGGAGGTACCAGAACACCATTCATAAGAGTTCAACCCAAAGAAATCAGATCTTGATGAATCATCTTCATCCCCATCGATAAAACATTGTAAATACTCAAAAGTAGCTCTTCTCAAAGTGACACTATCAGCTGCGGAGTAACCAACAGGAATAGTTCTGTTAGAATGTTTAGCAATATATTGCTTCATATCTCTTTGAACAGCTCTGATGTAGTTTGGTGAAATTTCTGCGTAATTACTCTCATCATTAATAACTTCGTTACCTGAGAAGAAACCTAAAACATTTGGATAATTCTTGAAAGCTTCGATAAATTTGAAAACCCTTGAAAGATAACCAGAATTATAACTTGAAGCAGGGTCTGCTCTATTCAACGAAGCACCTTGTTCACCAGAGTTCACATCTAAAATCAAGTAAATCCCAGCGTTGTTGAAGATAGTCATACATTCGTCATGATTTGAATCTGGATTCAAAGAATAAATTCTTAAAGTGTTGATGCCAAGCTGTTGGAAAGCATAAGCATCTCTATAGCACGTATCTGGATCTGAAAGAGCATCTTCACCTGATGAGGAATCATAACCTGAAGAACCACCTGGTTGATAATCAATCCCTTTGATGAAAAACACTTCACCTTGAGTAGAAGCATCACTATTAGGTTTGATGAAACGTTTCCCTTTAACTGTAATTGGGATTAAAGCATCAGTTGAGCTGAATAGCATTAAAGCTGGAATCAAAAAACTTGCAATGATCTTCATATTGATGTTGTTATTGTTTGTTGTTGTGAACCTATCAAAAGATCTTCAAGATATGAAAAAGGGTCCTGGGCAAATGAAAAAAAACGAGTGATAAGTAGCTCTTAGTCTGCTATAGTTTGATAAACGAATGACTTTGGTAGGAGAAATATATAGCTTATGACTGGATTCTTTGGTTTCAACCTTTCAAGTTCATGAGTTGAAGATTAAAATGAAACCGGGGGGTTTCAAAACGAATAATTTATATGGCTTCTGTACACCAAAACAAACATTATGCAGCCGAATATTCGCTACCACAATAAAAATTTAAAAGCGTGTCTGACCGTGTCGCTTATATTGTAACACGCGCGAAGTCTCGAGTCTCGAAGCGAGACTAATTTTTCAAAAAGAAAAAACCACGGATCAATTCAAATTTCATGGATTTTTTAAAAAAAACAGCGGAAAAAGCCAGGGAAAACCAAGGTCGATGGGAGGAGCTCAGTGGTTAAGAAATCCAATCACCACCTGGGAACATGTGATGTTTGGATGTAATTGCCATCGACCCATAAAGTACACAAATTGAAGTATAGCTAACGCTGTAGCAATGATGAAGTATTGAAACTTGTAAATATACTTTTCCACAGTAGAATTTATCATGTGATTTCTTTTTTCTGGAGCTAGATTGTCATTTGGAATCTACCCAAAAAATCCATCCAAAGGGTGGTGATTGGATTTATCAAGCTGGTGATCGGATTAAATATTTGGTGATTGGATTGTTATGCTGGTGATCGGATTGAAAAAGAGATGGTGACTGGATTTTTACCTTGAATATAATGGTGTCCGGGTTTTAAAACCCGGAAAAAAAGTAAAAAAATATGGTCCCTAGCAGGATCGAACTGCTGATCTTGGCGTTATTAGCACCACGCCTTAACCAACTGGGCCAAGGGACCTTCTAAGAAACCACGCCTTAACCAACTGGACCAGGTTTTCTTTTTCTTGTTTTCCGTAAAATTTCCCCTTCGCCATATTCGGCCTCATGCTTATGTAAGCACAATTTTTCCGTAAATTTTGGTGGAATGTCTTCAAAATGTTAAAGATATTTCTGGGGATGATATAGCTATAGTCTGTTACTAATTATGATATTAATGTCTTGTACATTACAAAATGTTAAAATAGCCATGTCAACATAATTAGAAATACTATCCAGCATAGAAAGTCATCATACTGAAAATTAATTGAGGTATCATAAGTTGAACATTGTTTGAAAGTACAACTATATCATATGATCAATATTATTAGAGATCTATCAATCAACTAAATTATTAACAAACATATATTAATACTGCCTATAAAATCTTTAGTCAAAACAGTATTAGTAGTGTTAAATCAAGTGCTATCAAGCTTCAACTATTCATATATATATATTCAAGAATGAAAGCTGTGATCATGTCAAATTTTTGTTATGAAGAAAAATCTACTGCTATTATTTGGACAGTTATTGTTTAAAGTGTCGAAGTTAATGTCAAGTCAAATATTGTCAGATCTAGAGTTTTATTCAGACCTTTAAGTTAAGCTATTAAGAAATTATTAGAAAAGTAAATATTATGCTGTTAGATTATCAATTTTAATTGGGTAAAATTGCTCGGAAATTTTATTGAATTACAGATCTAATCCATTGAAAAAGTGCTATATCATGAAAATATCGAATGCTGGAGATGGCATAGACTCATGATTTCTATGGTGAAAAGTAGATAAACAGATTATACGAAAAGAAATGAGAAAAACCTTCCTTGAAATATAGTTACCATTACATTCAAGTTTATCCAGGCCGGTCTAGTGGTTACTGAATCATATGTGTTTCTATGCACTAGGCTTATTATCAGGCATATACATGAGAGTATTTAAAGAAGGCTACCCATTAATAATGATGATCAAATTTGATTTAACTGTCTGTATGATGCTCATGTTGAAAAGGTTCAAGCATTCTTTTTTGAAGTACTATATGAGCATATCTCATCAAAAGACTCCATTCACCAAGTTATAATATCAAATATATAAGAAAATTGAATAAATCATCAATTAAATAATTATTAATATCAATAATAATTTTGTTCAAATTACACAAATTTAGACTGTTGTTTCAAAAAATGAGATCTTGGTACTATTGATATTATTATCGCTAGTATAAAACTAGTCAAATATAATTATATGTTCAAAATATGTATTTTTTAACTCAAATATGAATATAATATATTATATCTCGTGAAGTTATGAATTATTTGCCAAATTGCTGTTCAGTCAAGAATTGAAAAAGTTTATACTATTAAAGGGATCATACCAAGCTATTATTATGATCAATTTCATGCAGTCCTTTAATATCTCACTGAATTAGAAAATTTTATTGGTTATTTCACGTAACAGGTTAGTCATAAATACACAATTGTTATTTCTACAAAGAATATTTATGATTAGTTATAAATCCAATATATTCAATATTATCATTATCATCAGTACATCAAGTTTTTATTATAAAAATTCAGCTAGAGATTTATAAATTAGCCTTTAAAGTTATAGAGGTTTCATTGATTCAAACGATCAGGCTCATTATTATCAAATACTATTACATCGTCATTATACTGTTAAATCAAGAATCCAAATTAAAAGTTAAGTTAAAAGGAGATATTATATAATTTGCTATTATCCGCAATTATACAACACAACAACACTCATCAATTTACTTCAGCAATTATTATTAACATGTTTCTGAAAGTTCAATTGAACACCTCGAACTTCATCGATACCGATCTTACACATATCCATCAAAGCTCAGAAGACTGATCAATTTTTAAAGAGAAAATATTTTAGCATAGCTATTTTGTTGCGAAGGTGCCGGTTGGAATGCTCTATATTGTGACTATTCGCTAATTGCATTTATGGTTTATGCAATAGCTCATCATACTACTTCTTCTATATCAATTATAATCATGCAGTATGCTAAATATTTACTTTCATGGAAACCATTGTTTTATTAAAGATACTAATGCAGCACATCTAATTACAATTCTATCATTAGTTCTCATTATACATGCTCAGATATTTTATAGGTGAATGATCTCATGCAGGGATCATGCAACCATGTTAGTGGAATGCAAGTTGTGAATACTGGTATATAAATATATGTCCAATTTATTGATGTTCAGGAGCCAGCGAGCTGAAGATACTCTATTGGATTATCATCGTTAAATCGTTTATGAAAATTTTCAGATTGAACAGCAGTCGAAACGAAGACTACGTTCCATATACCCAGTTTTAGATCTCAAATATCTACTAGAATAGTGAGCATTTCATTAAATCCATTGCCAATAAATATTAGTGAACAATCAATCATTCAAATTATATATAATTGGCTCATCAATTGAAGGTGACTTGTCTGAACAACTATATGCCATGGTTGATACTTTAATAGTGCAGCACATTAATGATTACACAGTACGATAGCTAATAATACATGTATACAATTATATTGACAATTCGATGTAATTAGCGAATAATGCCTAGCTTATATAATATGATATGATCATATAAGTCCACTAAACCTATCATATTGCGCAGCTAGTATTTGAATCATGATCATAATCCATCGTCCTGAAAGTCAATTAAGATGGTCAAATGAGTCCAGCTTTCAAGTCCATTAATTCTAGATATAAACGTAAGTGAACTCATTCAACGGACTTGAGATGTTTGAGTGAAAGCAATGGGCGGCTCGATCAATGGTCGACTCGATAGATGGACTCGTGAGGTCTGATGTAGAATCAAAGCTGAAGTTAAAGTCCCGCTTTTTAGTCCATCGATTTCAAATCAGGGTGGTGATCGGATTTACTAAAGTGGTGATTGGATTTATTCAAATGGTGATTGGGTTTATAAAAGTGGTGATTGGATTGTTAGGCTGGTGATCGGATTAAAATAGTGATGGTGATTGGATTTCTCTCAAATTTCTAGGTGTCTGGATGTTTAGCGAAGAGAAGCAAAAAAATTAATGGTCCCTAGCAGGATCGAACTGCTGATCTTGGCGTTATTAGCACCACGCCTTAACCAACTGGGCCAAGGGACCTCTTAGAAACCACGCCTCAACCAACTGGACCAGGTTTTCTTTTTCTTGTTTTTCTGTTGTTCCCAAGCTTCCCACTCTGCTGAGTGCTTATGTAAGCACAAATTTTGCGTAAAATCTGGGAATTTTGGAACGTTTTTGAAAGTCTTTTATTATTAAAGTTTTAAACTTTTATATGGTTCCAACTTTAAATTGGTACCAGATTAGTGAGATTTATTTAACGGAGCTTATAAGAACTATTAATATTTGGTTTGTGGCCTTCTGTTAATCCAAGTGAACATAATTACTGGTAGAAAGGTTTACGTGATTGATAATTGATATAACGATTGTGAGATTGTGTCAAGTTGAAGATTAACGGTGATCATTCTTTTAATCTATCTCGGTCCATCAATATTAGAAAACAACAGTACCACATATTTTTATCAAATAAGCTGGAATATAATACTTAATTTTGATTTTTTGATCCAGTGGTAACCAAAGTTATATTTCCTTTCCATAAGTGTGGAATTTATATTTCCAACCCACAGGGTCTTTTTTTTCTTTTAAGAGATTGACGGGATCTGATCGTTTTGAATAACGTGTGTTGTTTACTTCTCAACGACGTTTCAATAAACTATTACTCTATACATATTTCAATTCACTAATTCATCAATTATTGAACATCACTTATCATTGCTCTTATGGGATTAGGTATAAAAGAACCAATAACTTTTGATGGTGAGATAACAGGTACATTCAAATTATTATCATCATCAAATGATTCAAACAACAATTCAGAAGATGAATCAACTTTTAAAAAGACAAAAAACGGTATAATTCTAAATCCTCAACCTCATGATAATCCAAATGATCCATTGAATTGGTCAATTTTGAAAAGAGATGTTGCATTATTAGTTTTGGGTTGGCATTGTTTTGTTGGTGGTGGTCAATCATCTTTATTAGCCGCAGGTTTAACACAATTAGGTGATGAATTTAATGAAAGTTCATCTACTTTAGCTTATTTAGTTGGTGGGTTTATGTTATCAATGGGATTTGGTGCAATTTTTGCCTCACCAACTGCAATTTTAATTGGTAAAAGATTTGTTTATATTTTTGGTATTATATTATTTTTAGCTGGTTCAATATGGGGTGCTCTTGCACAAAGTTTTGGTTCAATGATGGGTGCTCGTGTACTTATGGGTATTGGTATTTCACCTGTGGAATCATTACCATCTGCTACAATTGCAGAAATTTATTTTGCACATGAAAGAGCATATAGAATTGGAATTTATACATTATTATTATTAGGTGGTAAAAATTTAGTTCCAATGTTTAGTGCTTTTGTTTTCCAAAAATTAGATAGACATTGGTTATTTTGGATAATTACAATAATTTCAGGTATTAATTTGATTTTACATTTTTTATTTGTTCCAGAGACTTTTTGGAGTAGAGCTCCTATACCAAATAAAAGATCATTAAATGAGACAAAAGCTGCAAGAAATGCTTTATTACAACAAAGATTATCAAATGAAGCATTGTATGATGATCCTGAACATAATTCACAATTGAAAGAACTTGAAAGTGAATTAACTTCACATGAAACCACAAATAATTATCAAACAGCTTTACACAAGAAAAAATCTTATTTAAATGGATTAAACTTATTTAGTGGTATACATTCTAAGACTAAATGGTGGAAAGTATTTTTAAGACCATTTGGATTATTTTTATATCCACATATTTGTTTTGGTGCACTATTGTATGCATTTGCAGTTGTTTGGTTAATTATGATTTCAGAAGTTATATCAGAAATTTTCACAAATCCACCATATGGTTATTCAAAATTAAGTGTTGGATTATTTTATATATCACCATTTATTGGAGGATCACTTGGTTCTGCAGTTGCAGGTAAACTTTCAGATATTATGGTTAGATATCTTGTTAAGAAAAACAATGGTATTTATGAACCAGAACTTAGATTATTAATGGTTTTACCTAGTGTTTTAGCAACTTGTATTGGGCTTATTGGATTTGGCTGGTCATCAGAAGTTAATCATGTATGGACTGGTCCAATTATATTATTTGGAGTTTTAGCATTTGGTTCATCATTAGCATCAACAACTTCTATAACATTTGCTGTTGATTCATACAAAATGTTTGCAAGTGAAACACTTGTTACATTAAATGCTACAAAGAATATTTTTGGGTTTTTATTTTCATTATTTAATAATGAATTTAATCATAAAGAAGGTTATAAGCATGGGTTTGTTGTTTATGGATGTATTGAAATATTTATTGGGTTATTTGCCATTCCATTGTATATTTATGGTAAAAGAATTAGGAAATGGACAGATGAAAAGGGGTTAATGAGATCATTATATGATAAAAACTCTGAACATGTTGATTAATAAAAGTTTGTTTGATTTGTTATAAGTATGCTGTAGTTCAAACAATCATATTGTTCCCGGTGTCGTATTATCTCTGAATATATAATTGTAATATATACCCCTATTCGCCCTATAGTATTCTTAATCTGCCAATGAATTCCATATATGCCACTGCTCTTTGTCCTTTGTTCTTTGTTTCATAAATATATAATACATGCACATATTGCTAATGCAATGAGTATAACCACTCATACTATAATATAAAGTTAAGATTAGAGCTGCACATTACCAAACTCTATTGCAACTAAAAATCATCAAAATCCAGAATCAATTACATAACCATTGTTAATCAATACATCCTTTAAGCTATAAAGATGATGCTCTTTATCACTATCTTCAACTTCCGTGAAACCCACCGGTGTTACTCTGATTCTCCTAAGATTCCCTTATCACTTATCTATTTTTTTTGTGACATGTGGAGTATGGAGCTTATATAGGATCTCCGACGGCGATAACAATCCCAGTTTAACCGCTTTTACTATGTGTTTGCCACCAAATTGCCACCAAAATGTACTTGTCTGAAAGCCGTCGGATATACTATATAGTTGTTTACCACACTGGGCGGTTAACAAGATGGAGTTTGTTTGTGGTTGCCATTACAATCTTAAAACCAAAATAATTAAAAATATAAATAAGGACAATTGTTCTCTCTTTCCAGGAGTTTTTGAATTTCTTAAACAATGTATCAATTTGTCAAGCGGTATAGTTCATATTAACTGTTTCAATTCGTAAGAAGTCGAAGTGGTTCACTGTTTATCAAGTACTCGTTATCGTTATCCTCTATATCAATTTTGTGTCAAACTATCAAACTATTATAAGAACAATAATCATGGCACCAGCTGCTTTACTACAACAACAAACAATAACGGACCATGGCTATAATAGCGCCAATGGTTCTAACCACATCCATGAACTCAAGTTGAAAAATGAAATTCCACTAGATAAAGATGTCGTCTTAACAACATTTACAAATGGAGTTGGTATCAACCCTTTACCTTTGAATTGGAGTTCCTCTGACCCATTAGTTAGAGGGCCAATTGTTGCTTCAAGATATAAGAGCGGTTTACTCAAACATAATGCTATTGGTGCTCATTCAGGCTCTTATTGTATCTACCATGCTTTAGCTGTCGGTTCCAAACAATTGAATCCAAATTATGATGCTGATTATACAAATGCTCAACCTGCATTCAAGATTAAACAACAACCACAATGGAGTAATCGTGAAAAAATTGTTTCAATGGATCCTTTTGGTCATTTAACTCCTTGGTTATATTCTAAAGTTGGTCAAGATGAAGATGTTGAAATCAAACCAACCATTTCTGTTACAAAAGCTCATATGCAATTATTGGAAATGAAAGAAGCTGTTGATCAAGGTCGTTTGAAAATTGATGGTCAAGTTGTGATCAATTCAAATGGTGATTTAAACGTCTCTAAAGTTGCTGTGGAACCTGTTTGGTATTTACCAGGTGTTGCTAAAAGATTTGGTATTAGTGAAAATGAGTTACGTAAAGCTTTATTTGAAGATACAAATGGAATGTATCCAGAATTAATTACAAGACCTGATATCAAAGTATTTTTAGCCCCAATTGGTGGATTAACTGTTTATATCTTTGGTAATCCAGAAGATATTTCAAATCCTGACAAAAAATTAGCTTTAAGAGTTCATGATGAATGTAATGGTTCAGATGTTTTCGGTTCAGATATTTGTACTTGTCGTCCATATTTAACTTTTGGTATTGAAGAAGCCGCAAAAGAAGCTCAAAATGGCGGTGTAGGTGCTGTTATCTATTTTAGAAAAGAAGGACGTGCATTAGGTGAAGTTACTAAATATTTGGTTTATAATGCAAGAAAAAGAGGTGGTGATACTGCAGCTGAATATTTCCATAGAACAGAATGTATTGCAGGTGTTAGAGATATGAGATTTCAACAATTGATGCCAGATGTTTTACATTGGTTAGGTATAACAAAGATTGATCGTATGCTTTCAATGTCAAATATGAAACATGATGCTATAGTGGATCAAGGTATTCCAATCTTGGAAAGAATTCCAATTCCTGATGAATTAATTCCACCAGATTCAAGAGTTGAAATTGATGCAAAGATTAATTCTGGTTATTTTACAAATGGTAAAGTATTAAATCAAGATGAATTAAAAGAAGTTAAAGGTAGAGATTGGAATGATGTTGAGTAATTAGCACATCTTAAGTTTCATTCTTATAGTTTAGGAGTTTAAATGCATATTTAGTTGATCTTATTGCATATATAGGGAGTTTAGTGGTTTTCATTTCTGACAGGTAATGCATCTGTATAGTATTTTTCAATTGTTATATTTAAATTCAAACCATCATACTATAGACAGTAATGTAGCATTACATATTCAAATATCATATATAGTAATCATAATCATTTACATCATAATATACAAAAACACAAATTGTAATTCTATCATAAAAAAACAAGACATGAAGATTCATCTTTAAGCGCGCGGTTAGTTTTTTTTAATTAACAATACCACCTTTTTCTTCATATTCTAATTCTTCATCAGGAACATCTTCAATAGTAACTTTTCTTTTTGGTTTTTTCAAAGTTTCATCATTATCTTTTGGAATTTTAACAGTTAATAAACCATTCAAATATTTAGCTTTAATTTTTTCATCATCAATTTTTGGTAAAGTTGGGAATTTAACTCTTCTTTCAATTGAACCTGATCTAATTTCTGAATGTTTTAAATCTTTATCATCAAATGGTACGATATTATTAACATCACCTTGAATTATAATTTCATTTGTTGTTGGATGGAAATCAATATTTAAATCTTTTAATGAAACTCCTGGAATTGCTAAAACAACATTATATTCATCTTTTGAATCATAAATATTAACTGATGGTGTATATGGTAATTTTGGATTCTTAACATTACGATTTGAAACTTCAATTTTTGGTTTTGGATCCTTAGAAACTTTATTTGTATGATGTCTAACTAATGGATTTGAAATTGGAGTATTAATAATTGGTTTAGAACCTTTGGTATCAGTTGGACCTGAAACTGATTGTTTGGCACCTGATGGTGTAGTATCAGGAGTTTGATTTGCTCCATTATGATTACCAGGGAAAAATGATGGTGGAGGTTGAACAGAACTTGATTTTGCAGAGAAATTTATAGTACCAGTACCAGTACCTTCTTCATCATCATCTTCAATATCATCAGGTTGTTCAGATTCTTCTTTAATATCAGGTTGAGTAGATTCAAATTGATCTTTACCTTCTAATTTAGCAATATCACCTTTTAATGCTTCTAAAATTGCAACTTCAGAAGGATGTCTATCTAATCTACCAACAAATTCACCTTCTTTAGCTTGTAATTCTTTTCTTAAAGCAGCAGCAATTTCAGCATCTAAATCAGCACCTGCATCACTTTGTCTTCTTGCAGCTGGACCACCACGATTATTCAAAAAACTCAAAATATCAGTAACAGATTGTCTTTGATTTTGTTGAGATAAATTGGCATTTGAATCTCTTGCTGCTCTTGGATTTTGACCTTGAGATTGTTGAACTGATTGTCTTGACTGTTGAGATGGGAAACCTTGAGGTAATGGATATCCGCCACCAAATGGGAAAGGACTACCACCACCAAATTGAGGGCCAAATGGTGAATAATAATCTCTATAAGGATAATAACCATAATCATCTTCTTCATCTTCTTCATCATATGGTGAATAAAATGCAAATTGTTGAGGAGTTTGTTGACGATAATATTGAGGTCTTTGTTGACCACCAAATTGACCTGAACGATAAGCTTGACTTTGTTCAGATTCTGGGTTTGCTAAAGCATAAAGGATTTCAGCTAATGGGTTGCTCATGATGATGATGATGTATTCTTTCTAATATATCTATCTTGTATCTTCAATTGAAAATTGTATAAGTAATACTTTCTATACTTGTGAAACTCAAACATGATTGAAATTGAAAATAATTTTGGATCTCCAGGGGTATTTATAAAATTCTAATTTCTATATACAAATTAAACTTTTTGGTTGCCAATTCCAATTTTTTTTGCCCCATAGTTTATGCAGTGCGTGTTCTTACCGGGAATGGAACGTTCCAGTAAAAAATGGCATCATTTATAGCCTTTTGAACGGGAATTTAGGCAGGGATTTCTAGGGGGAAAGTGTATGTTTACAGAGGGATTGAGTACTCTAGACAGGAATTGATTAATACAATGCTATCACCATTCTATTCCCTGTTCAATTGGCTTTAAAATGGTGGTAAAATGAGTTATATTCCCCGAATGATATCATAGTTTCTGGGAAGATCAACTCTCCACGAAATAAAGTTGCTCTTGATTAGGCGTAGAAACAGACGTCAAATTAATCAAACACCACAATTTATGTGGTTTATGATAACTTTAGTACTGACAGTATGCTTTATATGCTTCATAAAGTGCTATAATATCATTTAAATTTAGTTATTTCCATCTTTTCGATCGAAATTCCCATGATTTATACCTCCCATAGTTAAGCTTTGGATCACCTGACGCGTCACGTTTTTCCGCGATCCATGATTTTTTACTGATTTTTTTTTTCTTTGATGAATTTAATGAAAAAAATTAAGCTAAAATGTAAAGATTTTATACTAGTAGTTGATAACATTTTATCTTTGATTTGTTCTTCATTAATTAGCTCAAGATGTCAGGTTACAATCAAAATAACTTATCTAATGATTTTGCAAATCAATCATTGAACGATAACCAAAACCAAGGTCAAGGTCAAGGTCAAGGTCAAAGACGTTATAATCCTAACGCTGCATCATCTTTCCAACCAAATTTCAACTCACAACCTTTTGTTCCAGGTCAAGCCGGTGGTTATGGTCAATATGGTGCTCAAGGTCAAGCTGGTGGATATGGTCAATATCAACAACAAGGTTACAATCAATACCAACAAGGTGGTTACAACAATTATAACAATTATAACAATAACAATAACCAATACCAAGGTGGATACAATAATTATAACAATAACCGTGGTGGATACAACAACTATAACAACTACAATAACTACAACAATAACTATAATCAACAATCTCAACCTCAACAAAAAACTGGTATGTCATTAGAAGATTATCAAAAACAATCAACTCCATCTGATTTAAATAAAAAACCAGCTGTTAAGAAAACTTTAAAATTAGCTTCAAGTTCTGGTATTAAGTTAGCTAATGCTTCAAAAGCTCCAGAAAAGAAAGAAGAAGCTCCAAAACCAAAAGAAGAATCAAAAGAAGCTTCTCCAGCTCCAGCTGCTGCCGTTGAAAAAAAAGAAGAAACTCCAATTGAAACTCCAGCTAAAGAAGCTTCTCCAGCTCCAGCTCCAGCTGTTGAAAAGAAAGAAGAAACTCCAGCATCTGACAAAAAAGAAGATTCACCAGCCCCAGCACTAAAGAAAGCTGAAACTAAAGAATCAACTCCAAAACCATCAACTGCAGTTTCAAAAGCTGATATTGCTAAAGAACAAGAAGAAGAAATTGATGAATCCGTTGTCAATGATATGTATGATGGTAAAGATCATGTTTCAATCATCTTTATGGGTCATGTTGATGCAGGTAAATCCACCATGGGTGGTAACTTATTATTTTTAACTGGTACTGTTGATAAACGTACTGTGGAAAAATATGAAAGAGAAGCTAAAGATGCTGGTAGACAAGGTTGGTATTTATCATGGATTATGGATACCAATAAAGAAGAAAGAAGTGATGGTAAAACCATTGAAGTTGGTAGATCATATTTTGAAACTGATAAAAGACGTTATACTATCTTGGATGCTCCAGGTCATAAAATGTATGTTTCTGAAATGATTGGTGGTGCTTCTCAAGCTGATGTTGGTATCTTGGTTATCTCTGCAAGAAAAGGTGAATATGAAACTGGTTTCGAAAAAGGTGGTCAAACAAGAGAACATGCTTTATTAGCTAAAACTCAAGGTGTTAATAAATTGATTGTTGTTGTTAACAAGATGGATGATCCAACTGTTGGTTGGTCAAAAGAAAGATATGATGAATGTACAACTAAATTAGCTGCTTACTTGAAAGGTATTGGTTATAATGTTAAAACAGATGTTCAATTCATGCCAGTTTCTGGTTATACTGGTGATGGTTTGAAAGAACGTGTTAATAAAAAAGATTGTCCATGGTATGATGGTCCAGCATTATTAGAATATTTAGATAATATGCAACATTTAAACAGATATATTAATGCTCCATTCATGTTACCAATCTCAAGTAAAATGAAAGATTTAGGTACTATTGTTGAAGGTAAAATTGAATCAGGTCATGTTAAAAAGAATCAACCATTAATTTTAATGCCAAATAAAACCACTGTTGAAGTTTTAACTATTTATAATGAAACTGAAAATGAAGTTAATGCAGCTTATTGTGGTGAACAAGTTCGTTTGAAATTAAAAGGTGTTGAAGAAGAAGATATTTCTAATGGGTTTGTTTTATCAAGTCCAAAAGCTCCAGTCAAGACAATTTCTAAATTTGAAGCACAAATTGCCATTGTGGAATTAAAATCTATTTTATCAACTGGTTTCTCATGTGTTATGCATGTTCATACTGCCATTGAAGAAGTTACTTTCAAACAATTATTACATAAATTAGAAAAAGGTACAAATAGAAAATCTAAAAAACCACCTGCATTTGCTAAAAAAGGTATGAAAATTATTGCTGTTTTAGAAACTGAAGCTCCAGTTTGTGTGGAAACTTATCAAGATTATCAACAATTAGGTAGATTCACTTTAAGAGATCAAGGTCAAACCATTGCTATTGGTAAAATCACTAAATTATTAGAATAGATTGATCAAAATTGATCTATGTTAATATAAAGATTTTTCTGATTTGGTTTCTTGTTTTTTCATTCATATTTGTTTTCATATAATATTGTTAATTTACGTCTTCATTTAATTATGGGTTGGTTTTGTAGTTAATATTAGTCATCTCGTTCATTAAAAAATCTATATATAAGCGCCTTGAGTTTAATCAGGCTATATCATTATAGAAGTTGATCTAATGCATCAATTAAATTTTCAATACCTTGTATTATATTTTCATCAGGTCCTTTTCCTGGTGTGAATTTTGAATGAGCAAAATCAATAAGAGTCATTGAACTTAAAGAAGATGGTTTATATTCTTCATCTTCATCATCTTCTTCGTCATCTTCATCAGTCAAATCTTGATCAAATAATGGATCTATATTATCTAATTCTTCCCATCTTTTAGGATCATTTTCATAAATGAATAACAAACTACCAGATCGTATTCTAACTTCATATGATAATAGACAATTGTATAATAATTGTAATCTAGTGTAAAAATTTCTAAGTAAAATATCTTGTTGATCTTTAGATAATTTGTTATGACGGAAATATATTTTGAAATTCTCCACAACATTATCTGGTGTCAATTCTCTACCAAACCATTTATCAAATATTAAATACCCATCATCTGTTTTCGTAACATGTTCTCTTGATTTTTCACTAAACTTGGATAGATCTGGAATGTGTTCATGATAAAGTTTTTGACCGCATACTCTATAATTTAAAGATCCAGATGTAGTTGATTTACTAACATTTTGTAATCTTTCCTTCTTCTCATCAGGTGTTCTCTCATCGTGTAACACAGCGCCTAGTTTGATATCAATAATTGAAGGGTTTTTATAGCCATGTAACAAGTTTTTAATCACCAAATATGGTTTTTCATCATTAGATTTCTTACCATCCTGAGTGTTTTTGATATCTAATTGTTTTAAATCATCACTAATTTGTGTCGTTTCTTCAACTTTTTTAGTGATCCCAGACTCTAAGGTACCAAAGAATACCGGTATATAGTCAACTAAACGATCACCTTCTTGTAGAAACTTTTCTTGATCAGTTGAATTCTCAGCAGCTTCTTCCTCTTCCAATCCCAAATCATGTACCTGCGTATAAAACTCGATCTCCTGTGCTGTTGAAGGCTTGATGAACAAGGTCCCAGACTCATCAACTAGGATCCCATCATGACCAGCGGCCTGGTGCTCTAGCTTGGTGAAGCCTTCCATTTGTCTATCTTTTCCAATTGCCACCCTTTGTAGACAGTAGAACCCTTTCCAGCACCCTTTGATCTCCTTCCGATTAAGATCAGGTCCCTTTAGATCCCTTCAAAGGCCAGCCAGCGCCAGCTGCTGCCAAAATTTAAAACGTTTCACAGCCTTTTTTCGCGCATTTTTCGCACTTTGGTTTTTTGTGTTTTGAATTTCTGAACACGGAACTTGAAGGAAACTTCACGTCTTTTGAAGAATACAACAGCTCTCAAGGTCGGTCGTGGTCATAGGTCTTTAAGTGTTTGAAGTGTTTGTGTCAGGATGAGTAACTACAACCAAGGAGGCGTAAGTATTACGGGCTTTCCCGGTGGTGTCTTTCGGTGAAGATTTTGGTGGTGTGGAAGATGAGGTTCTGGGACAAAATGGAAATATGATGGAATGTGATTTCAGTGAGATACATGGTTCCAGAATTTGGAAGATTGAATGGTATAGTGATATGTTTTCAACATGAGCATCAAAGTGATGTGTCTTTTTGACTGCTATTTCCATAGATTTTAGGTGTTTTTTTCCAATCATTTCAGAAGGGTATTCATCTCATCTCGATCCAATATCTCTATTTATAGATTTCAAATACTAACTTTATGATATAGTACAATAACAATAATTATGGTTATGATAACTCAAATCCATATCAAGAAAACTACGAGTTAAACAATTACCAAAATACAAATTCAACTGGTGGTGCTGATGATTTCGTTCAATTTATGAATCAAATTTCAGATATCAACAATGATTTAGATAACTATAGTCAATTGATTGAACTAATTGAATTCAACCAAAAGAAAATCTTGAACGAAATCAATGAAGAACAAGAATTAGCCACAAGAAAACAATTGGATGGTTTAATCGCTCAAGCTTCCTCTTTACAACAAACTTTAAAAGCCAAAATTAAAGATGCTCAATATAAAGCTGGTAAAGATTCAGCTAAAAAAGCTCAAGCTGAAAACTCAAGACAAAGATTTTTAAAATTAATTCAAGATTATAGAGTTGTTGAAGCTAATTACAGAGATCAAAATAAAAAACAAGCTGCAAGACAATATAGAATTGTTCAACCAGAAGCTACTGATGCTGAAGTTGATAATGCCATTAGTGATGTTGGTGGTCAACAAATCTTTTCTCAAGCCATCTTAAATGCCACAAGACAAGGTGAAGCTAAAACTGCATTAGCTGAAGTTCAAAGTAGACATAGAGAATTACAAAGATTAGAGAAAACTATGGCTGAATTAACTCAATTATTCCATGATATGGAAGAATTAGTTGCTGAACAAAACGTCCAAGTTGAAAATGTCAACACTGAAGTTGAAGGTGCTCAAAAAGATATTGAATTAGGTGTTGGTCATACAAACAAAGCTGTTGATAGTGCTAGAAAAGCAAGAAAGAAGAAGTGTTGGTGTATCATTATCTTAATCATTGTTATTATCATTGCTGCTGCTGCAATTGCAGGTGGTATTGCAGGTAAATTTGCCCCAAAGAATAATTAAGATGATTAAATATGAATAGAAAACAATGGTTGAAACCATTTGTATGAGGGGGGTTCAAAGTAAGAAGACAAAACGAAGAGGAAAAAGACATATGGACATGTTGCTGTATTTTTATATCATAGAAAGATTTAATTGATCAACTTATTTTCTTTTTATACTATTCTTTATATATACTTGACTTAATACTAAAGATTAAAAGAACAAGTTATATAATTTACCATTTTAATAATATTTTTATATTGAAACAATGAATTTTTTGTAGTCCACAAGAACAAAATATCAAATGAAATGAGTTTAAATTAACAGCTATACAAATTATATATCTTATAGAGTTTGAAATATAGGCCAGTGATTTAGTCCTGAGCAATTGACACGGTTAAAAAGTTCAATCAGGGTGGAGAAGTCCTATAACGAATAAACGAGATTCCTATCAACTTATTCAACCCGAAGGTCTAATAAAGTATCAATTAAAACTCTCGTTATTTTTTCTTCCAGTTCGAAAAGTGTTCTAATAAACCATGAACCGATAAACAGGACGAACCCATTTATGGAGTAAACTAGAAGGCATACGATCTGGGTTTGTTTTCAATTCAAAATGAAGAAAACTTAAACTATCTCTGATTTGATATCTCCAGATTCCAGAAGTTCAGGGATAGTTCAATGTTCTTCTGTAGTTAATAATGTTAGTTCATATGAAAACTTCCTTGTTATTGTTTTTGAAGAAATGTAGAAGTTTTAAAAAAGTTTAAATGAAAAGTTTTTCTTATGGACGATGAGTCGCGAATTAATTTAATTTATGTGGATTACATAATACGTTGGTATAAGGATGACTCATCATAATAGAGTTAGGGCTAAACAATAACAAATATTTGAATTAAACCATATAAAGTAGAACATTTGATCAAAAAAGTAGATTAACTAACTGAGAGCCATGCTTATTTATCATAGTTTTCAGGTAGGGCACCAAAACGGCGTAAAATAGACTCAATTCTATCCATACCTTTAACTAAATTCTCAAGTTCTGGACCATAAGAAATTCTAATATATGAATACATCTCACTATCACTTAATTCTCTGAAAGATAATGGATTCAAATCAAAGAAAATACCAGGAACCACAATAACATCTTCATGTAAAGCTTCATGGAAAAATCCTAAACAATTTGATAATTTCCCTGGTAAATGACTTAAATCAACCCATATATAGAAAGTTGAATTTGGTTTGATATTAAAGTGAAATCCCATTTTAATCAATCTATCTAAACAGTAATCTCTCTTGTGTTTAAAATGTCTTTGTAATGCAATTGTTTCATTATGAACTAAAGTTGGATCTAAAAATGGAATAGCAGCTTCTTGAAATGGATAATTAGTACCACCATCAAGATAAGAACCAGCAGAACTTAAAGCATTGATATATTCTTTTGGTCCAACAATCCATGAAACTCTCCATCCTGGTAATCTGAAAAATTTGGTTAAACCATCAATAATCAATACAGGATCTTTATTAACATCTTCAACTTCACTTGCAGAACTTATAGCTTCACCTTCTTCACCATCATAATAATATCTTGAATAAAATTCATCCATGATTAATAAACATTTACTTCTACACAAATCATGTAATTCTTTTAATTCATCTTTCCCTATGGATTGACCTGTTGGATTTCTTGGATTTGAAGTTAAAATTGCTGAAACACCTCTATTTAATTCACCTTTAATAATTTTCAAATCAATTTTATAACCATCAGTTTCATATAAAGGTACAGGAATTGGAGCAAAATTTTTGAATAATGATAACATTTCAGCATAAGCAGTATAATCTGGTAAAAAGAATGATAAGAAAGCATCCCCTAAAACAGCAGCAATTCTTGTTAAAGCAGCTCTGCCACCTGGTGCAACATTGACATTTTCCCAAGTATATTTTGATTCTTTACCTTGTCTATAATGTTCATTATATAAATTTGCAATAGCTTGTCTTAAAGGTTTAATACCAGATGTTGGACCATATTCACGAGATTCAATTGAAATATTCATTGATTTTGGCCTATCAAAACATCCTGGAATATCACCTGTTTCTGGCATACCTTGACCTAAATTGACCCAATTTGGATTTGGGAAACCACGTTCATTTGCACGATCAGTACACCAAATAACACCAGTAGCTGCATTTTGCTTATTCAAAGCTGGGAAATGAACATCAGGATGAAGTAAAGGACCTGGTGTTGGAATTGGTGAATGGGTTCTTTCGACATCACCATTTTTATATAATTCATCTTTAAAATTACTTAATGGAGTTTTCTTTGGCAATTTTGGTGATTCTGGCGGTATTGAACTTTGTGGAGTTAATGATGGAGTATGATTAATTGAATTTAAAAATTCTTGATTGAAAATATGTGATGATGAACTCTTGATTGAGTCTGGTAAAGTTTGTTCTAATTTAGCAAATTCTTGTTCGTCTTCACTCATGATTTCTATAATTTATGTTATTATTTAGAAATTTTTGAGTAATAAATAAACCAACAAAAAAAAACAACTGAAGGAAAAAGCGCTTAATTTATAAAAATTTGAAATAAAAACAATTACTTCTATGACTTGACGTTCCTTAAGTTACTCATCAGCACTTAATTTTTTTAGTATGGAGTCAAAAAGATTTTCAAAACCCGGTTTATCCAACATCGGCATCTCCATTAAAGCTTCAAAAATTAAATCAAATTTTAAATTCAACAATTATAAGTTGACTACAATTAAATATTTGTGTAATCAGATTGTAAGTATCATATTCGTTTCATTCGTTAGAGATAATATATATATATATGTAAGCATCAAAATTTATCATTCATTTCAATAAAAATTTGTTTCAACATAAGTACCATTTCTTAGTAAAGTCTTTGCAGCACCGGGTAGAATTTCAACTTGAATAGTTTCAAATGGATAACTTTCACCATCAACACTTAAATAACCATGTTGCTGCTTTGGAGTTAATCTATATGCTATTATTTTAGAATGTTGAACTTCTGGTTGTAAAACATGAGAACCTTGATCTAATGATAATAAAGTTGGTGCCATACGTGCTATACTTGTACGAGCATCTGTTATAACTAAATCAAAAGTACCATCATTTGGTAAAGCTGCAGGGAAAAATTGAACATCTTTTGCAATATATGGCATTTTACCTGTATAGAAAATACCTAAATTTTCTGAAAGATCTTTATCAATCTCTTCCCAATCATCAGGTATTGGACCATTTGGATCATATTTTAAATTATAAGTATCTTCAGTTATTTGGATATCTTTTGTTGAAACAATAGTGGAATGTTCATCAAAATGTTGTCTTAATTCATTTTTCGATTTTGCAGCATATTTAACAGATATATCACATGGATATCTTGATCTTGATAAAACTTTATAAGCAACACCTAATTCAAATCTTGAAGGACCTAACCATCTAAGTGCTTCAGTACCAATATCAGAATCTGCTATAACACCGACAGTTTGACTTAAGAATGAAACATAAGTTTTATCACCTTGTGTACAAGCCATTAAATCTAAATTTACCGTACTTGATTTCAATAATGATAGAGCGGCAAAACTTGGATTATTTGTACCATGACATGATTCACTCATTGCATTACCTGAACCACATGGTAATTGAGTTATTGTAATCTTATTGAAAGCTTCAGCTCTATCAGATCTTTGATAAAATCCATTCAAGACTTCATGTGGGACACCATCACCTGAAGCACATGCAATTATATCATATTTATCAATATTCAAAGTGCGTGCAATATCTGTAGCATGTTGATAATATTGAGTATGTCTAACTTCAACAGAAGCTTGAGCACCAATTAATACAGGTTTTGATTGAGTTAAGAATGAATTTATAGCTTTACCTTTCCCACCATGTGGATTAACAAGAACTAATATTGATTTTCTTGGTTTTGTTCCTTGATAACTTAATCTCCAAATTTCTTGTACAACATCATCATGACCTAAAGTATCTATTGATAATATTATTGGAGTTGGTACAAGAGTTTTACCCTTTTGTCTAACAAATACCACTTCGACATCAGGTTCATCACTAGTCACAGTGGAACTTCCAGCTTCTAATAAAGATTCATTATTTTCATTTATATATCGAACACTCAATATATCAACAAATGGAATATGTTTTGGACCTGAAGATTTCACCGTACCATTCGAGTTTGATGAAGAGCAACTTAAGCAAGATGAAAATGAAGCGTTATCATGTTGATTGTAATAGAATGAAGATTGATCTTTAATGATGATACCTGTATCACCAATGATGGCTCTTGGGGGGTTTACTGATACTGTATCCATCAGTTTAATTCTTTGAGAGTCAAAACTCGGCATGATGAAAAGGGCAAAAAAGAGTTCAAATAAGTGTATGGATGGGTTGAAGTATGTCTTTATATCAAAATGATAAAGTTGTGAAACGTTTTCTTGATACCAGTTTCGCCAACAAGACTTTAACTAAAATGTGTTGTAATGTGTTCCAAACAAGAGAATAAGTTTGTAAAGACTTAAAATATTTCAACAGCCTTTAAAGGAATCCACTATTTTACTACTTCTTAAATTTTTTTTCCAGCAGCTGGTTTGTTTTGTTTTGTTTTGTCTTTTGCCTTTGTTTTGTTTGAAAAAAGTTACAATTGATTTACATTTTTTTGCAATTTACAAGTTATCTTTAAATTCTCGTTTATGCCGGTACAAAGTTACGAGTTGATGATTAAGTTAGGCGTGTGTTACGTAATGCAGAAGGGGTGACCCTGTTGTGGAGATACACGGAAAGTTTGGGTTTTGTATGGCGGACTTGAACAAAGTTGGCTGTGAAGTTCTGGAATTGGAAGAGTTTGTATCAACTTTGGGAAGTTTGTGAAGTCTAAAAGGTAGTTGGATGCCATGTCAATGCTTCAATGGGTCTGTGATTGGAATATACAGGAGTTGACTCTGTGATAAACTAATAATATTAACCTATAATCTACAGTGTCAAAATGCATATCATGTCCAAACTTTGTATATTCAAGCTCATCATGATGAGACGTCTCTAGTTAAAAGTTGAACAGCTAGCTGAATTTATACTAACAATTCAGTTCTATGTAACTTAATGATATTTGCATAACTCATCGATTGATTTGATAACTACGATATCTGAATGTACAATGTACATGTGTTATATAAAAGTCCTTAAATAATCATAGCGCACTATTAACCATTCACCCAGATAAACCTAGTATCCATAAACACCTTCTCGTAAGTAAAGCTCTTGATGCCGACGTCACCTCTATATATGTCAAGCAGGAGTACTGGCAACACAACTCATATACTTATACGCTTTGGTGTCTAGACTTATAGCACACATCTATTAATATTTATAGTACTACTGTGTACACCTTTAATATCCTCGCATGCTTGTTATAAAAGGTTCTCAAGCTAGCTTCAAAGTATAAATCTTATATTTATGAAGCTCTACAGCTCAAAATATGTAAATAAATATAAAGTTTTATACGTATATGTAAGTCAGGCGCATATAATAATAATTTAGTTTGGATTGGATTGGCAGTGAAGATAAGTCGTAGTAGTAAGTATAACAGCTGTCAAAGATAACCGTTTTATCAGCCATCAGCTTCAATTTTTCAAATATCAATAATGATTGCTTCAATTAATTAATTTCTTATAATCTTCTTCATTCAATGGACACCCAGGCGTACCTAAAATTTGTCTCAATTGGGCTTCATCCAAGCCTTTAGTCAAAACATGAATATGTGACAAGTCCTTAATACTTTGTAATGCACTCCAATTTCTAAACCATACAATATTATCTCTAGATAAACCCAAGTTTTGAACAAATGTCTTATCAATGTATAAGTCAATCAAATCTCTGGTGTATTTACTTATATCACCTTTATCACTATCAGCATCATTTTCAATATGTACTTTAGTCCAAACTATCAAATGAACAATATCTGGAGTGAAATGATAAGGAAATCTATTCAAGATAATACATATATCATCTGCAGAGTTCAGCAATTTGGGAGAACTAGGTTTTAAATAAGTTTCCAGTATTTGATAATTAGAGTCAACTTTTGCCCAATGAAGATCATCACCTAATAATATAGCAGTCCTTGATATACCTCTCCTAGATAAATCATCCTTGAAATCCCTATATTGTTGCATACATGATTTAGATCTCTTCAACAACTCTAGCCTATTGGTTTCTAAATATCAGTCAAAATGGTTAGTATATCAATAATATTCTTATCTTGAAAAATAATCAGTTTGGAATCTCCATGAGCAATCAACAATAAACACTTCAAAAGGATCTGCACATGAAGCAAACAAGCGAAAACGTCTGCAATGCACTTTTAAAAGTTTGAACAGTTGCAACTTGCAGTAATTGGATTCTTGAAATCCCGCTTGGGCGCTATATGATAATGAAATGAAACACATACCAATAATCTCTTTAACATCTTTCCAATTCAATGGTGGATCATTTGAATCTATGATCACTTGATCACTTTGAGTCATTTTGTTTAACTTACTTGATATTCCTTTTGAACAACGCTATTTTGCTAATTTGTGTTGACTAAATTATCAAAAAAGTAATAACGTTAATTTTTAAGAAGACCGTTTTCCTGTTTTTGTGAAGCAAAAAATTCAAACAAGACCCTCGTGCAGATTCCAGTTTTTCCGATCATGTCGGTTTTAGTGCGTGTAATTTATCCGGGGTATCAAAATTTCATATAGCTTAAGCTTACATACTCTTCGAAAGAGTTTGAATAAATTGGAACTCCATAGAAATACTATTAGAAAAGCTGTTGGATGTATATCTACCCAGTTCATCTGCAGTTCATTCGCCGTGGAATCTTCTACACATGGGATCGAAAATTATTAATCATATGAGATCTACTCCACAAGAGTTCATGTATCAATTTGAACAGCTCGTTTCATTTACAAGAACTTCTTTGCTTTGAAATAGTACTTATATTATATATAAACACTTTACTTTCACGTAAGTTTCAGATCTTAAAATGAAATTCTTCTATCATGGAAGTTACTACGATAAGAAGCTATGATATATACGTATCTATATGCCAATTTATACCTATAAAGAGATACAGTGAGTTAGCAATCCATCAACTTCTAAAAACTCTTCTTCAAACTAGCAATTTCATCTTTGCTTAAAACCACGCCGGGTGTTCCTATAATTTTTGAGAAATGTTTAGTATCAAGATCTTTTATCAAGACATGAATATGTGATAATTCTTTAACACTTTGAATAGCTGGAAAATTTCTAAACCAAATAACTTGATCTTTTGATAAACCTAAAGCTTCAACAAAACTTTTGTAAACATAGGTATTTATAATCTCTTTAGTTAAATCATCAACATCACCAATATCTGAATTTGGATCGCTTTCAATTATAACTTTTGACCAAACAACAAAATGTGTTATAGAATCTTCAAAATTATATGGGAAATCATTGGTTATAATTTTCACATCTTTTTCATATGTGAATAACTCATTTGATTTGGGAGTTAATGCAAAGCTACCATCTTTGTTTACCCATTGAAGTCTTTCTCTTATAATTTCATTCACCACTGTGGAGCCATTTGCTTTCACTTTTAGTTTGAATTCACCATATCTAGCTGTTTCACTGAAATTTCTATAGAGTTCTGCTAATGCATTTGTTTCTTGTATATCTTGTTAGCGCTGATTCAACACTTCTAATGATCTCTTAGCTGTGACATACCTATAATCTCTTTGGATCTTTCCCATGTTATTATCTCATCACTTATTATCATCTTGATGTGATCTTTCGATTAACGTTCCTCTTGATCGATTGTAGTTATTGGAAATTTTGTTTTGATTTATAATATGCTATTTTTGGCCGATTTTTACGCGAGCGCGTTTTGATGGTATGAGTTAATCAACTCAACTGAAGCTGTACATCCGGTCTATAATATACGCATACCTTTTCTTTATGACAAGTACATTGGTATGTAGTAGAAAATATTGAAGATAGAGCTACACGTATTAATTGTATAAGCGCAGAATAAATATTATATTAAATTAGTTGGATCCCTGATTGAATCAAGTCGATCAATACCCCAGATTAACTTTCAAAGCATAACAAACAGTTATGGCTAAAGTTATAGCCAAAATTGGATATTGCATCATTAAGAAAATGGCCAAACAATCCATTTGAATATGATCTCCTTCTAATGGTGTATAAAAGGCAGTAAAATAAACTTGTGCAGTAGCGCTTGGAACTGCCCAACTTATAATCAATATAAATCTTGAAACATCATCTTCAATCCAACCAGCAGAATAAAGTCGATTTGTCCAAAGTACTCCCAATATTGGCATTATAACAAGCCTTGCTAAAGTTAAAAATAATGAAGTTTTCCAAAAACCTTTTGGGATTTCATGGATTTCTAATCTTGCAATTGTACCACCTAATAATAATAGCCCCATGGGTATTGAAGCAACTCCGATATATGAGGTGAAATCCATAATGAAATTTAATGGTGGTAATTTATCAGGTGCACTATGGATCTCAATACTATTATTAACAAATAAGGCTCTTAACCATGGAATCATAGTCACAGTAATTGAAATAATTAAAACCACAGAGGCGGGTCTTCCTAAATTGACAATCATGTAGTCAAACCAATATAAGTTATACTTTTCAATGAATTGACGATACCTTGTTGGTGTTCTTTCTGATTCATCGTCTTCAATATCTAAATTTAATCCAATTTCTTGAGTTTTAGATACAGTTTTAGCAAGATCAAGATGTTGAGATCTAATTCTATCAGCTTCACTATATTCATCAATTAATGACTTCATATTTTGTGGTTTTCTCTTACTTCTTGAAGAATACCCTGATTCATTTGAGCGAATTCTATCAATTGAATACCCTGATACTGCAGAACTTCTTCTTCTCCTACTAATATTTTGAGTACTCCTTATATTACTTCTACCACTTCTATTTGTAGCATATGATCTTTCTGAAATAGCGTCACTATCATTATCCTCTTCCTCTTCATCGGTGTTTTTATGAACCAATGGTCTAACTTTAAAATCTTCATCTTTTTCAGTAGGAGTTTCATTTTTACTTAATTGATCAACATCACCATTTCCCACGTTATTCTCTTCATCTTTCTTTTTTTCAGGTTCTCTAAAATCTAAACCAACAATTTGAAACATTCCCATATTCATCATTAAAAATTGTTGACATGCTAAAAATACACAGCTTAATGCCACACCTTTATCAGCATCTTTTGAATCAAATACTATACCAGTACCCATACTTTGGATATAAGCGATTGGTAAGTCTGAAATATTTGCAAATATACCACCAAATATTAAACCCCAAACCCATTTTTTAGGAACTGGAGTTATAAAACTTGCCAAAGCAGCTAATGCGCCACCAGTTCCAAATATAACAATTGCACTTAATACAACAACCCCAATTTCTTTGATTTGACTTCCGGATAAATTTGTAACAATTTTATTGAAACTTAAACAGGGAAGTAAAGCATTAACAACCATATTTGAAATACCTCGACTAGTTTCCATAGTCAAGATATTATTCTTCACTAATAACCAACCAAGGAAAACAATCAAATAAATCTTCACAATAGGCTTTACAGCTATGAAAATGATGGCCCCTATGGAAATGCTATCCGACATTTTAAAATAACTGTTGATATTTTACTTGGAGATACCTTATAGCAATACTCATTAGATCAAAATGCTTGATTAGTCTCATATAAAGATGAATAAAATGCTTATGGAAGAGAAAAAAAAATGGACACTTTATCATGATTATATAAGCCAAGAATTTTGTGTCTCTTATCGAGAAAAATCAAATTGTGGTGGAGTCGGAACAATCAAGAACAATATCATAGTTAATATGAATGAGTTAATAGCCCAGGATCATATCATATCCAAAGTTTCTTATATTCGACTCTGGGGTATAAAGGATTGATGGATATGTGATAATAATCATGTATAAAAATACCTGGACTCATTGAATCCATCACCAGTAGTACCTGAATGTTTCGGTTTACTTGAAGAGCTAGCTCTGCGTATGTTTCTTCTGGTGCATGATCATTGATAGAGTTCAGGTATGACCTAGTTATTGGTATCGATTATGGATTGAATTGATTAAATGAATTACCTAGAATTACAATTAGTAAACTTTTGCATTAAGCTATTTCAAATCAGCTGTAATATATATTCATGGTGAATTGTGATCAACATATTATTAAATTAATTAAAATTTGGAAAATGAGACCGAGCAGCCACTAGTGTATATTATGATATTGATTAATTATATATTGATCAATTGAAATTAATTAATTATAATATATATAATAAAATTTAATCAATCATGCAAGTTAATCTCTGTACCTGTATATCCAATTTTGCTGATCTATTATCAATATTTTACAATATACATGGGATTAATTTTAACAGCTAGTCGATTCGTATAATATTTATATATATAGACTAGAGCGCTACATATAGCTAATTTTGGAAGTTATATATATTATAAAGCCATAGCTGTTATATTTGAGTTATATACATGTCTTAATCTTTTACTGTAATCTCATTCGGAGCATATTTTGAAAAGGTATCCTCTACTGAAAGCTCATCATTAAGTGGTAAATATGCAAATTCTGGATTAAAGTCGAAGCCCAACTCCTTATATACCTCTTCAAAATCAGTAAATGATATAGATTTCAGATTTTGTAACTGGTTTTTCTCACTTGAAAGCACCTTCAGAATATTCTCCCATAAATTATCTTTGCTTTCTTGGAAAATATTTGAACCCATTAAACCACCATCGGAAAATTCATCATCAGTCCAAATACTAAGATGAAAAGGATATTTTATGGAACAAACTCGAGAAAGCATTGCCAAATCATTAAAATCTTCGTAATATTCATCTCCTCGCTCATAATAATTACTCGTGTCATAATATTCTGAATACTCTGGCTCATCATCCGAATCTAAGGAAACCTCTATGCCTAATCCAAGGTCATCATATCTTAAATGTAATAGCAAAACACCTCTGAAATCCAACAAAAGCTCATTTCGTGGATGGGCTTCATAGCCATTTATAATAGAGAAAAAATATGTAGTCTCCCAAAAAAACTCTTCTGGTAGTTTGAACATCCATTTGTTCGTAGAAATATCACCAACGATACATAAAATATCTGGTGTTATCAAGTGTTGAAGTGATGGGACGTAATGCCATAAGTTGATAATATCTCTGGGGTTCATTAACCTGAGAGTTTTCTGTATCAATTCATCTGGTAGGTCAAGGAACGTCCTCATCGCAGGTTCTAGTTGAATGTAGATCGAGATCCAATTCGACTAGAAGCTAAATGTCCAAAAATGGTAAGATTTATTTCGATTGATCTAGCTATATTCGCGAGAAATGAACAAACAATTCCTTCTTCAATCAACCATATGAGACTTTAATTAAAAAACTCTATCGAACATTTTCTACAGGTCACTTTGTTGAACGTCCATTAATTTATTTTGATCAAGTTCAGCTACGTCCTTGGATATGACCGTATCTCGTAGTTAAGTAACTGTGGCTCGTGAGTCGTGAGACGCGATTCGCTACGCGTTACGTGTTTTCCAAGATAAGTCAATCTTGTGCTGAGTTTTTTCTTCCATCATACAAAGAATGATTATTATTCATAATACGATAGCTGTCACATTGATCACTTTTTAATGCCTTTTAGATTCAAACTTCAAAGTTCATACTGATACGCTTTGTTCATCAACAGCTCTTATCAGAAACAATTGCTTTGATTATCGCCAGGGTCTGGCCCTTAACAAGTGTTTTAGCGCCAGGGTTCCAACTTCCTCGATCAGCCGCTGATAAGAAATTTTAAACCCCAATTATATACAGTGAATAGTGTACACTGTACACCCATATCAGGAAAATTTTCAACAAGGTGGTCGAAATCAGTCATAGTGGGTTGAAGGATTAAGATGGATAAACTTCAACTTTTGACTTTCTATTGTTACATTTTTCAAGACTTACTGGTTAGTCTTTAATATTATGGAGATCAAACGTTCGACAAGTGATTCAATAAGTGAATCACAACCAGTTGATTCATTTTCAAAAGACATTGAAGCTGTTGAAGTTCAAAGTTATAAAGAAAACGAAGATGAAAATAGTAATAATGATGATGATAACTCGGTGTTTGGACATGATCGTAACAGATTAAAACAAGGTCTTGAACAACGTCATCTTCAAATGTTAGCTTTGGTTGGTGTTTTCGGTACTGGTATTTTTTTATCAAGTGGTGGTATATATGCAACTGCTGGACCTTGTGGTATGTTTCTAGCATATATTATCATAGCTCTAGTTGTTGGTATGAATCAAATTTCATTAGCTGAATGTGCTGCATTGATGCCAACTTCTGCTGCTACTGTTCGTCATTTAGAACAATTCATTGATCCAGCTTGGGGGTTTACTTATGGTTGGGTTAGTGTTTGGAGTTCTTCAATGCCAAATGAAATATCTGCTACTGCTGTTATTGTGTCATATTGGACTGATTTATCTCAGGGTATTTGGATTACAATTTTCATTATTGTTATATATGCTTCAAATTCTTATTCAATTAGATTTTATGGAGAATTAGAATTTGTCTTTGCAATGATTAAAGTCTTATTATTATTAGGATTAGTCATTGTTTCAATTGTCATTACTTCTGGTGGTGGACCAAGTGGGAAATCAATTGGATTCCAATATTGGAGAGATCCAGGTCCATTTAATGAATATTTAACACCTGGTAACTTGGGTAAATTTGCTGGCTTCTGGAAAGCTTTAAATGGTTGTGTCTACTCATATGGTGGTGTTCAATCTGTCCCTGCATTAGCTGCTGAAGTTAAATTTCCAAGAAGAACCGTCTACACTGCATGTAAAAGAATTTTTTATAGAGTTTCTATAATAATGATTGTTATAGTGTTTTGTTTAACTTTGATTGTTGCTTCAAATGATGAAAGAATTGCAAATTCTACAGGAAATGCTAAATCATCACCATTTGTTATTGCTATGAAAAATGCAAATATTAAAGTTTTGGATCATGTTGTCAATGCTGCAGTATTAACATCGGCTTTCAGTGCAGCTAATCTACAATTGGTTTATGGTTCAAGAAATTTATTCGCATTAGCTGTTAAGAATCAAGCACCTAAAATCTTCTTAAAAACTACAAAAAGAGGAATCCCATGGGTTGGTGTTACATTTTGTGCATGTTTTATGCCTTTAGCTTATATGAATTTATCAACTAGTTCGGCGAATGTCTTCAATTGGTTTCAATCTATTGTTTCAGCTAAACTATTACTTAATTGGATCTTAATCTCTGCAAATCATATTCATATGAGTCGAGCAATGAAGGCCCAAGGTATACCAAGATCAAGATTACCTCATTCTATGAGATTCACACCACAATTTGCATGGATTTCAGGTGTTGCATCAGTGATCTTGTTATTAACAGGTGGGTTTGTTAATTTTGTCAAGGGGAAATTCTTAATAAGTTCATTGTTTAGTGCATATTTTATAATACCATTAGCTTTAGGATTATATTTCGGTTGGAAATTCTTCAAAGGTACAAGATATTTGAGACCTCATGAAGTTGAATTGGAAGCATTGTTTAAAGATGTTGAAGAAAACCCTGAACCACCATTAGAACCTCTTAGAGGATGGAAGATTTTGACATTATTATGGTCTTGATGGTCGATAAATAAACAGCTAAGATCTAAACATGAACAACATGCACATTAATTAATTACCTGTATTATATATTAGAGCATATTGTTAATCAGTATATATATATCACATTTGGATCATTAATTGAACCTAATACAAAATGATTATATACACATGATCTGTAGATAATTGAAGGGCTCGTATCTACGTAAAAATAAATTTAACTAATGCTACTTGGCCCAGCAGATGAATGTTGATGTACGATTGGCGCGAGATCCCGCGAGATCTCAACGGTTTCGAGATGTTGTTATTTATAGGCTTACGAAGACAAAATACTACCATTGAGGCAATAAAACATCCCTGGTTCAACAAGGAACGTAACATGTCAGTCTTGAGTGATATATAAATATTCTAGGCTGATTTTTAAGAATCTTTGAATCAAATTCAAGCAGCAAAACTGAATTGAAATTTGAGTCACGTGATACGTTAATTGGCAGACTGGCTATCAGAAACAAACAAAAACTCAAGAAAGCCACGAATAGTTTAGTGGTTATACACTAGGACTCCTTAGTTGTTTAGTGGCTAAGGGAAGGAGTGGTTTGTGTCGCATTAGTGGTTTAGCGGTAAAATTCAAAGTTGCCATCTTTGAGCCCCCGGTTCGACTCCGGGCTAATGCAAGCTTTCTTTTTTGCTTCTTTTGAGCCCTTTTTTTGGTGTTTTAAATGGTTTTGAACCCATAATATGTTGTGAATTTTCAATCCAGATATATATCGATCTTAAACTTTGTGTCCGACTCCTAGTTTAACCTTAAATTTTGTAAAGTTTAAAGTTTATACCTTTTCTTTTAGTTACGTAGTCTCCGACGCGATTATAATATTTCGCGAGTCCCAAAACTTCCGAATTTTTCTAGAAGTCTCCTCCCAGATAATTTTTAGCTAGTTCTGGTTTTGCCAACGCCGATTTCAGAATAATTTCAGCTTGATTTAGTGAGGATTTCTATAATAGGGGCACAGCTGGCATATATAATTTCTCACTTTGGGAATTCGAGTAATTACGTGTTGTTGAAGATTGGACGATAAACAAGATCAACACGGATTGTAATCTGTCTAATGTATATAATTGAACAATTGGCACGCCAACTTAACCTTTATGAGATAGTATGGCTTTTTAGTTTTAACTTTTCACAAAGTAGTATAAAGATTGACGAATTAGAATCATCGATTTCATCGTGCATATATCAATCTTTAAAGTATATGCGAATTTCACCTGAAGCATCTAGGAAGGAAACCAGACGACATGGATATAAAAGCTATCAATTCCCTTTACATTTGTTGAACGTTCACATTATTTTGCCACATCTATTATGGATTTTTAAATCATTCAATTCAATTCTAAATTATAACAAAATGGGTTTATTAGATAACGTCAAAAACGCTGTTGGTGAAGAAAACTTCAACAAAGCTCAATCTGCTTTATCAGGTTCAGGTTCAGGTAAAGATGGTGAATCAACTGATTACGTTAAGAAAGCTGAAGGTTACATTGGTGAAGATAGATTAAAAGATATCAAATCAAAAGTTGGTGAAGATAACTTCAAAAAAGGTGAAGATTATGTTAGATCCCAATTTGGTGGTAACTCTTCTGAAAAGAAAGAAGAATCAAAATAAACTTAATTACGTGATTTTTATTTGATTTCTTTAATTCGGTATTTAAATTTTTAATAAGACATTGATTGTTGATTTTGTTACTCAGTTCAGCTTTAAATAGGACTTGTAGAAATACGTTGAGAACGTTGAGCTGTTTTTAGTACCCGTCACCTATATAAAATTCGGCGTAGAATTTTAAACATTCCAATCTCCAGAAATTAATCACGTCAAGAAAATAAAAACACACACTAAAATTGACACGGTTAATTGAAAATGCAGAACCGTCAAAAATAGGCGTTAACATCAAAAAGAAATTTTAACTACTACAAATTTAGTATTGTATTAATGTCTAGGATATTTATTCTATAGCATCTGACATTTAAAAGCACATATTAATTAAATAAGAGTGTTATTCCGTGATGGAACCCCACACAAATCAAAAGCAAAACTTGAAAAATATTAAAGGTGGTATATATAAAAAAAACAGAGCAAAAGAAGAAAATTGTGAATCTTTAATAAAAATTTATAATAACTGAAAATGAGCTTGTCTATAATATAATCTATTTTTTCAATAATTGAAAGTATTGTTCATCAACAGCTGTAATAATATGATTAACAATTTCTGGATTTGCTAAAGTTGACATATCACCTAATTGATCAGCTTCATTTGATGTGATTTTTCTTAAAACTCTTCTCATGATTTTACCTGATCTAGTTTTTGGTAAATCATCAACAATAACAACAGTTTTTGGTGCAGCAAATGGACCAATTTCACCTCTAACTTGTAAAATTAATTCTCTTCTTAATTTATCTGGTGTAATATGTTCATTTGAATCAGTGATTTTTTCATTAGCTTGAACTAAATAACCATCTTTTAATGAAACAAAGGCAATAACAGTTTGACCAGTTAATTCATCTGGAACACCAACAACAGCACTTTCAGAAACACCTAAATGTTCAGTTAAAGCAGTTTCAATTTCTGAAGTTGATAATCTATGACCTGAAACATTAACAACATCATCAACTCTACCTCTGATCCAGTAATAACCATCATGATCTCTACCAGCACCGTCACCTGTGAAATAATAACCTGGATAAGGCTTTAAGTAAGTTTCAATGTAACGACCATGATTATTCCAAACTGATCTAGCCATTGATGGCCATGATGATTTAACAGCTAAAACACCTTCAACATCATTACCTTTCAATTCTTCACCAGTAACTGGATCAATAATAGCAGCATCGATACCAAAGAATGGAACAGTAGCAGAACCTGGTTTAGTATTAACGGCACCAGCTAATGGGGCAATTAAATGTGAACCAGATTCAGTTTGCCAAAAAGTATCACAAATAACACAGTTTTTGTTACCAATTTTTTCATTATACCATTCCCATAAATCAGGTGCAATTGGTTCACCAACAGAACCTAAAGTTCTTAATGAACTTATATCATATTTAGAAATTTCGGATTCACCAACTCTTTTAATTAATCTTAAAGCAGTTGGAGCAACATAGAAATGAGTAGCTCTATGACGTTCAATAATTCTCCAATATCTACCATAATCTGGATAAGCTGGAGTAGATTCAAAAATAATAGTAGCGGTACCTAAAGTTAATGGACCATAAAGAGCATAAGTATGACCAGTAATCCAACCAACATCACCAGCAGTGAATAAAACATCTTCTGGATGAATATCGAAAACATATCTAGTAGTTAAGGCAGCACCTAATAAATAACCACCGGTGGTATGAACAACACCTTTTGGAGAACCTGTTGAACCTGATGTATATAATAAAAATAATGGATCTTCAGAATTGACTGGAGTTGGTGGTAAATAACCTCTAGATTTAGAGGTTTCTTCATGCCACCAATAATCTCTACCGCTGGTCATTGGGATACCTTGAGAACCAGTTCTTTGGAAAACTAAGATTTTTTCAACTTGAGAGACACCATTGATACCTTCATCAACAATTTTTTTAGTATGAACAGTTTTACCACCTCTTTTACCTTCATCACAAGTAATGATAACTTTTGAACCAGCATCAACAACACGGTCTTTCAATGACCCAGCACTGAAACCGGCAAAGATAACTGAATGAATAGCACCTAATCTTGCAACCGCCAACATGGCAACAACAGCTTCTGGAATCATTGGTAAGTAGACAGCAACAGTATCACCTTTTTTAACACCCCAGCTTTTCAAAACTGAAGCAACTTCACTAACTTGTCTTAATAATTCACCAAAAGTGATAACTCTGTTTTCCTTTTCATCATCGGCTTCATAAATAATAGCTGGTTTAGCTGGGTTAGCAAAAGCATGTCTATCAACAGTGTTATAAGAAGCGTTTAATTCACCATTCAAGAACCATGAAACATCACCGTTTTCTAATGACCCATTTCTAACTTTGGTGAATGGTTTATCCCAATCTAAGTATTCTTTAGCTAATGGACCAAAGAAAGCTTCTGGATCTTCAATAGATTTGGCGTAAAGTTCTTTATAATGATCTAAATCTGTAACAAAACCTTTGTTTGGTTGAGATTTGTAGAAATGTTCTGGAGCTTGACGAGCTTCAACGTTGTGAGCTTCGTGAACGACTTTATGTTCAACTTGTGTCATTTTTGAGGGGTTTATTGTTTTGAGATTATATTATATTGAGAATGGAGAAGACAAGAGTTTTGGAAATCTTGACGTGTATAAAACCAGGAAGAAATCTTTTTTAAATTCTTGAAATAAATGAAAATTGATTGATGCTAACAATTATATTCACAAACTGATTTGCTGAAAGTTGTTAATGATTTGGATTCAAAATGAAAGGTTTGTCTAAGTTCTTGATCTTGACCCAACGCAGTTGATTGAATATTCAAAAATTGATGAGATTTTAATATTTATATATCAATTAATTGGAAAGAGCGGTTAAAGAATAAATCAATGACCAAATATTGTACTTCAATCCAAGTTCAAATTAATTTTTGCTACTTCAAATTTCTTGAAATGCCAATTCTAAGGTTTAATGGTAAAAAGAAGTCAAGATGTGCTTTTGAAGTTGAAAGGTTGAAAAAAAAAGTGGTCGTTCACCATCAAAGCGAACGAGAATCATGAAAACTAGACCCATTTATAGTCTTCAAGTCCGGCGAAAGCTCTTAACTGTGGTGCTTACTTAATCATCCTTTGTTTATCTCAAGTTAACTCTGGCGAACAAATATAGAAGTTGCAACACCAGGTCCTTTTTTTCTGCCTGGAGAGACTAGGAATGGGAATTTTCGTGTCGTTTGGTTGGAACTCGTTATTATAAAGTGTGCTCTTTTGACTCAGCTTCATTTTTTAAGAAATCTGGAAGATTTAATACGAAGAAATTATGTTTATATAAGTATAGATATTGAATTGAATTTTGCTACTGATGGTATTGTTGAACGTTGGCAATTGGTAATCAAATTTATGTTTTCGTTGGTGCTTTTAATTTTGGCGTTCTTGTTTGTTTGTCGATACAATTTTTGTTGTGCAGTCTACAGAACAGTTTTTTGTTGGGAGTTGACGGTTGACGGTTTAATTTTAAACGAAAAACGGGTCTAGTGGGATCTCAACTCTGAAGATTGAGACTATAATCAGTTGAGTATTATAATTAGTTTGACATGAAGAGGAATTTAACAAAATCCAGCTCAAGTAGAAGGATATACTTAGAATCAATTTCATATCTGATGAGGATGTATGCTCAATTCATTCGATTAGCAAGAAAAATTCACGTAACTAAGCTGTTTAATCGTGTATCGCTAGTCAAGAACTAAAGGTTATAATTGATAATTTGTACTTGAAGCAATTTCTTACGAATCAACAATCACCATTGTTCCATTGGTTATAACTTATAACGGGTCATATCACACATGAGACACATTATGATTACATACTATGTACAATCAGACACTTCAATTGATTCGAAACTGTTATCAATGATATCACTTCTGATGAATGGAGATTGAAAACAATCGCTTTCCGATACTTATACCCCAGACCCCAGTGTATAACGTTATAACCAATTAACATATTTTATTTGCAATCTACGGAGTTCTGGACAAATTGATTTGTTATAATCCACATACTGTTACATTAAAGGGTTCATCAATTCCACTATCAACAAGTTGCAAATAACAATCGAACATCTTAACGTCACTATATATATCACTACATTGGTCAATATTTGTATAGTCGATTATTGAACTCTTAATTAAATTTTACCAACAATTGAACTGCCTATAATTGCAACGTTGCAATTGAATATGGATTTAGTTTGATGTATCAACATACCTTGACCTGAGAATAAGACATTAACCAAGGATAACCCACTAGTTGGTATATTATTAACCTGTATAATAGTTAAATCTTGATGTGGCACAGATTTCTCTTTTTCAATTCTGGGACAATTTCTCCTAAAATGCTATATATTTTGAACTGATCTAATTGTCTTCCTCCGTGATTTAAGATGACAAAACCTTCAAACCCAAGTTCAACAGAGTTAATAACGTATTCAACACTTTGGACTCCTTGGAATATAATTTCAAACGTTTGTAGACTCAGTGATCCTGATTAAATCATCCCAATTCAAATCTTATATAAAGATTTGCATTTTAACGTAATCTAATTTATCATAGATACGCTTCATGTTCACTTCTATCTAATTGGCAACATCAACGATAAAGAAAATAGCTTTAGTTTTACCAATCTCTTCTGTTTCTTTGGCTTTTCCCAGTGCTTCATCAAAACTCTTTTCAAGGTTTATTTGTAACTATTGATCAACTTCTTCATTGCCATGTGAATTGGCTCTTTATTGTAAAGGAATGGTAACTTAACCCTGGAATCACTTGGATCAAATTGTTTTTTCCCCTACGTGGGAGGCAACTCACCTTCATTGACACCGTCAAATAAAGCTCCATGAAAAGCAGTTATATGGAAAGGCAAAGGCGAATATGAGCCTAAGGCATCTGTATTTAATGAGATTTGTGAAACACTTATCAACACTCTTGCTTTGAAATATATTCTTCTGAAAGCTTTTTGTTTGTCCCTTACTGTCATTTTAGTTCAGTTTCAGGTTTCAATAATTTCTAAGGCATCGGTTCAAAAAATTTCAAGGTATATCAAGTTTGGTATAAGTTTGGTAATGTTTAGATTGAAATTCTTGAATTAATTTGAATCTCAAATCTGCAGGAAAATTTGATAACTTGTAAGCCCAAAGTTTATAGCGATATCATTTGACATGTATATCATTTACCATCCGTTGAATTAACAATACTTAATCTATGGTTATTTTGTTCTTCAGTCATTTATGAGCGACACCGAAAGAAACGATCTAAGTTCCTTCATACCATGGATTGATTCAAGTAAACTAAGGGGAATATCACAGTATCATCAACCATACTATACGTCCTGGGACATCTTTACCACAAACCGAGACATTAAATATTCTCATCGGCTTGTAATTCAATTGCAATATAATCTAATCAACCTTTCAGATGGTATTTAATGTAGGAATGTATCTCAAATCTCAAATCTCAAATCTCAAATCTTACCCTTTATATGATATAAGTTTCTGCTTACCAATTTATTATGTAATCATTGCCCAAAATTATGAATAATTAGGTATAATTCAAAACATTTCTAAGAAATCATAGCGTTTTTAATATAGTATAGTATTTTTAAAAGTATCTAGTATTTATTTTTAATATTTTTGGAAGAATTGAAGAGGTTTTAAATTTTCACTTTTTTCTAAATATTTCATTCAAAGGTAACCAAAAAATTTTGGATGCAGTTAATTTTTTTTCTGAAATTTGATTAAATTAAACAATATTTTTTTTTGGAATTTAACTTAAATAAAAGTATTTAAAGATATTAGAGACTTAAAATATACCCAATTTGTGATTTATTTATGAAAATATTAGCTTTGTTCTATTAAAATTTATGATTCAAAAATCATAATATTATATAAGCCATTACATAATATCACACAAATCAATGACGTCACATAAGATTAATTTATAACAGGATATAAGATTAAGATATAAGGTACAAGGTATAAGACTTAAGTACTACTCATGATGGTTCAGATTCAGTAGGTTCAACATGATCGAATATCCGTTTACTTTTAGCAAGAGCCCTATGATCAAGTCTTAAATATATGTGATGGGCGTACCACTCTGATTCAAGATATATCATGATATAATTAATTATCAGGAGTCATACACAGACAATTATTTTAACTACAAAGTACCTTGTGTATGTATAGCTAATTAATAATTTTGAAGTATAAATACTGACACTAAGGGGAATTCAGTAGATAACTTATATAGCTTTCAGTATGTCGAATTTTACATATCATGGTTCAGTATTTCACCAGACTGTAATTCATCAAACACACGCCCGCTGGTAAGTTGTAATATAAGTGAAGAAACCTAAGCAAGGTTTTGAGTAAATTAATAAGTATGCCACTATGCCCATGCACTCATAGATCAAACCCAAACCTAAGCCTCATTTGTTAAAATCCATATTTTTGTTGCAATGATTCAAGATCTATTTGATATATGCGTGTAATTAATACCAACGGAGCTGACTTAGCCTTGATTAATGGGCATCCAAGTTGTAACGAAAGAACATATAATCTGTACACTGCAGTGTAAAGTTTAAACACACTGGAAAGATTCAATGGTAGCTATGATTTATGGATATTATTCTTATCAAATCTCACTTGATTGTACATCTCAAGTTTCACACAGAGAATACTAGTCTCTAATATCCAAAAAAATAGCCTATAATGAATCAATATCCTCCATGAGCCATCTTTCAATATGTCACCACTCCATAATCAAAAATTAATGGACCAAATCTCTGACTTCAGCTGAATTTCAATGTCACGTATTCTATCGGTAATAAATATCCTTAGCATTTATATACTAATGAAAACATTGAAATACACAGAGAACAGGCCAACAAAGGAGCCTTAACTATTATCTTTTAACTGGTAACTTGGACCTTGGACCAGAAGAGGCTTAACACTTCCTAGCAGTATGCATTTGTATTTTTTTATGCCTGTGGTTTTGGTGTATAAGCCTCCATTAAAAGTTTGATTCCATATCGGGGTGTTTTGAAAAAAAGTGGTTCTATGAAGTTCTCCTTTATAGATTTAAAAAAATCTCAAATATTACAACTCTTGAACTTTTCCATTAAACATCAACAGATTATCAACAGATTGTTAACTACAATATCATGAAGTTATCTGTCTTAACAGCCTTGGCTTCCGTATTGGTCGCTGCTGATGCTATTCAAGTCTGGAAACGTCCTACTGTGGAAGATGCTGCGGTTAACGCTAGAACTTTGATTCAAAGAGAATCTTTAGCAAACATCAACACTGTTTATCAAGAAGGTGACGATAAAGGTTTACCTGCTTCTTTTGTTGAATACTATACCGATTGTGGTGATGGTAATCCAGTTATCTTAGCTATTGATATGGCTACTTCTTTCAGAAATGTTAAAGGTGGTTCCCCATATTCATTGACCGTTAGAGTTGGTGATCACGCACCACATGAACAAGTTGATCCAAGATATCCTGGTAGTAGACCTCATTCAGTTGCTGGATCTCCAAGAATCAATTTGAGAGGTAAATTTGAAACTGTTAAAGAAGAAGAAGTTGATGAATTACAAAAATGTTTCTTAAAACGTCATAAAGATGCTGCTTGGTGGTTACCAGGTAATCCAATTCATTCATCACATTTTGTTAAATTTATGGTTGATGAAGCTTATTTCTTAGGTGGATTTGGTGATACTGGTTATATTGGTAAGATTCCAAAAGAATTATATCAAAATGCTTCTTCTATTGACAATGGTCGTCCAGAACATCATGAAGATGATAAAGAAGAATTTGTTAAACAATTATCTGAAGGTGATGGTTCAAATTGGGGTTATGATGCTTATATGTTACAACATAGTTTAAAATCATCAATTAAATCTACATTCAAGAAAATTGATGGTGAAATCAAAGCTTTAAAAGAATTATTGAATGAAGAAAAGGAAATTAAAGAAGGTCAAACTTATGCAGATGAAGAACAATTAAAAGAATTTATCAAGGCTTCTAAAAATAAATTTTCCAAAAGAAATGAAGAACAAGTCCCATTAACCATTCCAGAAGTTAATCTTTCATCTGAACAAATCAACAAATTGATTAATGAATTAGAACAATTAAAGACTGATTTCTTGCAATTTGGTCAAAAATTAATCGAAAAAACTACTGGTGATAAAAAAGTTGAGGAATTAAAATTAGAAGAAGTTGAAGAAAGTGATGAAGAAGAAGAATTTAAACCAAGACACCGCAATTTTAAACACAAAAAAGCTAAATGTAATGGTAAAGGTAGAATTGGGAAAGATCATAAAGACGTTGGCTTCAAGAAACATCATGAAGGAAAACCAAACCATCATGAAAGAAGACCAAAACATCATGAAGGAAACCCAGAGGATCATGAAAGAAGACCAAACCACCATGAAAGAGGACCAAAACCATTATTAGCTATGATTTTTGACTTCTTCACAGGTGGTAACCCAGAACACTTAGGTCCAAGACCACATCATTCAGGTCCAAAAAAACCACATCATTTCAAAGATGATAATGAAGATGAATTGAGTAAAGAAGATTCAAAAGAGTTCAAACATTTTAAACATCATGATTTCAAACAACGTCGTCCAAAAAATGTTAAATTTGAATCAGATTTTTCATCAGAAAAACGTTCACCAAAGAACATCAAATTAGGTCTTGAAAATATTAATTTAGATTAATTTTCTTCTTTAATATTGAATCTCGATGATTTGATCTAATTAGATTAAAGGTGTATGATTACCTTTTTATTATTATGCTTTATGAAGCATGTCAACTTGTAATTTTTATATCGTTTAAAGATTGATTTTTTTATTTTATTTTATTTTAGGAACAGAAACAACAACAGGGAAGAATTATTGGGATTTTTTTTAGCTTTTTTTAAATATATGTTATTCAAATAGTACAAGTTGAAGATATAAATATATGTTTTACTTTATGATATGATCTTTTTGACTAATATACACTATTATAGTTGAATTCTAGCTTCTATTGAAATGTTTTAAGCACCTAAGACATGACCTTGACCTTGGAAAGTAGGATTAGATGTAGCTGGTGTAGTAGTCGATGTAACATTTGGGTTTGTAGTTGGTAAGATACTTTCAGATTGACCCAACAGAGAAACATAATCAGTATTTTCTCTTAAATTTTTAGCTTCAACTTCTCTATAATATATGAAAATTGATGGGATAAGATTAATTAATCCATCTAATTTTGTTTCAATCCATTCAATAACTTTGGAAGGTGGTGCAAGTTTACCTAAATAACCAAAAGCAAGGGCATAACCTGCAATTAAACCAAATAAATGACCAAAGAAACTTGAACCTGGTAAGATAATTGAAATTAAGATTAATGGACCAAAAGGAGTGAAAATTGTTGGTAATGAATAAGTTGGAGTGATTTGGAAAGTTGGTTTAATAAGACTTTCCTTATATGCAAAATAACCAGCAAATGAAAAAGCCCAAGCACTATAAATTCATGAATTGTTAGTATATTTCATCTTGAATCAGATTTAAAAACACATACCTAGCGCCTAAAACTTTTGTATTTGGAAATAATAAAACACCTAAAAATGAATATGGCAAAGCGGTAGCAACAGCGAGCACTATGAAAACATCACCAGTTAGTATCAATTTCCAACAAGAGTTAAAAGATCAAAAAGACATACAATTTAATATCACACCGGTGTAAACTGTCCCATGTCTTCTTTCAAATTGTGATAATGGAGTTATCAAGGCAAGAACATTCATCAAAACATGGAAAATAGAAAGATGACCCAATGGGTATAATGAGACTCTGTTCACTAATTTAACACATGTTAGTATCAATAATCAATAGTATAAGGTTCATGGCACTCACAATCTAATTTAAATAAATCACTTGGTGAAAGAGAAATGAAATCATTAATATTGATGAAAAAATTCAAAATGTATAAGAACGGTAAGAAGATTGTTAGACCAATTGTTAATGCTGGTGGATAATCACCACCGATTGGGAAGTATTGACGAAGAATGGCCAAGTTGGAACTCATGATATTCCCTTTTGTAGTTTTTGGTTTCAATTGGATCTAATTGAAATCGTTTAATGCTGATAAAATTTGGCGTGTTTTTTGTTGATGTTTTTCAGATTTTTTTAAAAGCGAGATTTTTGATCTACTATATAAAAATTTATATCAAAACAATGAGATCAGAAATCTTCAATTATAAGAAATAAAAGTATCATAAGAAGTAATGGAGAATGGATTGTGTATTTAAATTGAATTATTTGGGAGAAAGAGGCAAAGAGTGTTAAAAAAATTCAATAATCTTCTGTTTATGTGGTGGCATTTACTCCACGATTGGTTTTGATCTTCCCAAATCATGATCTAGTAAATATCTTATAAGTGACAGTTCAGTTGCAGTCATTCATTGATGATATTCCTACTGTTCCAATTATTGATTGTGAAAACCACCTTTTTGTTTCCCTCTAGGCTTATAATTAGACATTATTGCAGAATCCGGATACCTATTCTCTCAGAGTGGTGAGCTTAAATTATAACTGATTCTCTGGAGCTTCAATTCATGAACTAGTCAATAATAAGTGGTCATCATATAGTCTCTCATGGATAACTCCAATTGAACCTTTATTCAAATCCTTTAGTGTATTACTATCTCTCACCAAAATTAATCACCATTCTTCAAAAAATTTATAATATGATTAATTTTTTCAATTTCATTTCTTTCTTTTGGTAATTGCTTTAAAGGAAAAGTTAGTATAAAAAGCAGAAGCAAAACAGCTGATAATAAAATATACATACGTCTTTAACTGTTTTCAAATCACCTAATGATTCTTCATAATCTGCTATAAGATCACTCAAACGAAGTTTGACACCTTCATTGTATAACTTTTCATGTTCATCTAGTTCATCTTGTTCATTATTATCATTATCATCATCACCCCCGTTTTGTAATTCATGTAATTCTTTTTGTAATGAATCAATTTTTGATAACGATTGATTAAATGAATCTTCATAATTTTGTTTAATTTCTAAAGGTTTTTCTCTTCTCATTTTGGTTAATTTAATTGTTTCTCTTTCAACTTCTTGATAAGCTTTACGAACCTGGTCTTGTAAAGAAAAATCAAAAGGTTCAACTTCATTTGTTGGATTTTCTAAAAGAGATCTTAATGTATTTTGTTCACCTTCTTTCAATTCATCAATATCCAAAGAATCTTTTGAAGCTTCAAATATCTCATATATGAAATCATTCACCAAAGATGAGACTCTTCCTTTCAAAGGATCACTCTCATCAGCAGTTGGAAGATATAAATTTAATTTATCAGTAGCAGCTTTGGAGAATTGGACCTGCAGATGCTTCACGTCTTTCAAGCTCAGATTGATCTTCCCATGGTTACCAGAGGACATCACCAACAACAATACCAAACAACAGCCAGACAATGAACTTATCAATCAAAAGATTGTTCAAAGATTGTTCAAAGATTGTTCAAAAATTGTTCAAAAGTGTCAAAACTTCTTTGAAATATAAACAATTAAAATTAAAATGTAAACAAAGAGATTCGCGAATCGGAAATAAAATATACAAATCCGGGTAAATAATAAATTATTATTACATAATCATATTCGCGAATGATTTTTGGATTTGAGTACGTTTAAATGAAATACAACCATTTAAATTTAAAGAACTAATAAGAGAATTATAATTTGATAACTTCAATTAATCAATTGGATTTGAAAATGTATGTGATTATTGATATGGGATGATATATGAGGAATTCAGACTAACATATTTCAATCAGGTCTGAAGTTGCAAACGAATTTGCTCCAAATTTTGCTCCTTTTTTTGGATTTGCAGGGTGAGTTTGATTACAATGTTTATCTATCTAAAGATAATATACTAACTGGGGCCTTTAGATGTGCCGCTGCTATGATCTTAAGTTGTGCAGGTGCTGCTATTGGTACTGCTAAATCAGGTATCGGTATCTCAGGTATTGGTACTTTTAAACCAGAATTAATTATGAAATCTTTAATACCTGTTGTTATGAGTGGTATTTTATCAGTTTATGGTTTAGTTGTTTCTGTTTTAATTGCAGGTGGGTTATCACCAACTGAAGAATATACTTTATTTAATGGGTTTATGCATTTAGCTTGTGGATTAGCTGTCGGATTTGCATGTTTATCAAGTGGTTATGCAATTGGAATTGTTGGTGATGAAGGTGTACGAAAATATATGCATCAACCAAGATTATTTGTTGGTATTGTTTTGATTTTAATTTTTGCTGAAGTTTTAGGTTTATATGGAATGATTATTGCATTGATTTTAAATACTAAAGGTTCTGGTTAATCTTAATAAAATCTTATCAGTTTATATATATAAAAAATTAAATTTGAAATTTTTAATTTATTTCATAAAAAGTATACAATAAAAATACATATCAAAAGAAGAAGTTTTAGATTAGTTATAAAATAATAATCTTGAATAAATTGTAAACAGCAGAATAAACTAAGAATAAACTAAAAACTAAACTTTTCTGTGTTTCTAATTAAGAATCTAATTACTGGTGTCCATAGCATCACCATTATTTGTAGTGGTTGCTTCTTGTGGTTGTTGTGATTGTTGAGTTTCAGTTTGTGATTTTTGACCACCAATGTTAACATTACCAGAATCATCAATATATTGATCAGAAAATTCTTGTAAATATGAAACAGATCTTGCAGAATCTAAAAATAATATATAACTTCTATTAATATCTTGTAATTCCACAACTTCACTTCTTCTTTTCAAAGCTAATTGATTTGAAACTGAGATTAAATTTGATGCATAACGTAAACTTGTTTCTTGGCCAATTTTAGTTAAAAGATTTAATGCATCAGATTGTAATTCAACTTCTTCTTCTTGAGCTCTAATTGATAAAATTTGTTTAATTTCTGATTCATTATAATTTGAAGTTTGAATAATAATCGATCTATCTAATAAATCTAATGGTAAACCATGAGGAGATTTATAGTTTGTACCTCTGGTCTTTGTAACACCTCTATTAGTTGCCATTATAACAATTGGAGAAAATTCATCTTCTAAAGCTCTATTAATAAATGAAAAAGATTCTATATCCAACATATGGACTTCATCAATGAATAATACACCTGGAACAATTTCAGCTTTACCTTCTTCTTTCCATTCTGCAACTTTTGTATTAATTTGATCTCTAACTTCAGATCTAATTTCACCTGTATCACCACTAAATAAAGCTAAAAATCCTTGAGATCTTGAATTTATAACATCAATTTCATGTAATGAAACTGTATGAACAACGGTTTTACGTGATTGTAATTCACCTTCAGGACATTGAACAAATTTTGTATCAGGACCCATTGCATCATAATCTCTTGATCTTGTAAAAGATCTCCCCAATTTAGTGATTTTACCTGAAGATTTATCAATAGAAATAACATCACCAGCTAAAACTTTTTCAGAAGTTAATCCATCAATCATCTTATTACCTAATTCATAAATAGTTTCCATATCTGTAGTTTTAATTGTTAATTTACCTTGTTTATGACCACCAGTTATAGATCTATCAATTTGAATTTCAACAACTTCACCTTCAATCAATTCAGTTTCTTCTTTAATTTTAACACCAATAGATTTTCTAAAAGCCTGGGTTAAAGCTTCAGTTTTACTTAATTCTAATGAGAAAATTTCTGAACCTGCAATTGCAGTAAATGGAACATCTTTACCTAATGATTGTGAAAGACCCATAGCAATAGCAGTTTTACCTGTGGAAGGAGGACCAGCAACCAAAACAGCACGACCTGCAATGGTACCATTTTCCACCATTTTCAAAATCACACCAGCAGCTTTTCTTGCCTTGAATTGACCAACCATACCTTGACTTGATTGATCTCTTGGTTGTAAATTATCATCAAGACCTAAACCTGAGATGTGTGAGTGTGCTGCTATGAGCGAGAGCCCTTTCAAATCCTTGTTCTGGTTGATTGTTTGGATGGACATTCTCTCTTTTGTATCTTGATCTTTATTGGTTGATTGATACTTTTTGTTGATTGTTTGTTCTTTGTTTTGTTGATGTTTAATTGATTTTTTTGCCTATGTCTTTTTTTTTTCTTCCTGACTTTTTTTCATTTTTAATTGGAATCAAAAAATCTGTCAAAATATAAAAAGACACAAAATTCCGTGGATTTTAATCAAACAACGAACAACAATTGAACAATATTAAACCACGATTTCAACTACAATTGGTCAAGATAGATTAAGGTTCTTTTGTCACAGCTGGATTTTACACACCCACTTTATCTTATGTCGTTTTTATTGGATTGTTTCCCCTGTTTTAGTTCCCAACCAGAGCTTAGAATAAATAAATCAAAATTCAAGATTCTTAAACTATTAGGAGAAGGTGGGTTTTCATACGTTTACCTCGTCGAGGCATCAAATGGTGCTCATTATGCCTTGAAGAAGATCAGATGTCCCTTTGGTGCTGAAAGTGTCAAGATTGCCATGACTGAAGTTGAAAATTATAAAGAATTCCATTCTCCTTATATCATTAGAGCAATAGATTCAAATATTATTCAAGAAGATGATGGATCCAAAACAGTTTATATTCTTTTACCATTTTTCGAAAGCTCATTACAAGATATAATAAATTCTAATGTTATTAATGATACAAAGATGGATGAAGTTGAAGTTATAAGGATATTCATTGGAATTTGTAGAGGTTTACAAAATATGCATAGACATCATATTAGTGTTAATAAACATCCAACTTTAACAGATTTGGACTCAAATAATATTGATGAAGGAGATGAACAAGATAATTTATTACTGGACAATGATGATGATGATGGTGAATCTGAAATTGATACATTACCTGGTTTAGTTAATAGTGGGAATAACCAAGGGAATGACGAAGACGATGATGAATTTAATGATGCTACAGAGCTAACTTCTACAATAGCATATGCTCATAAGGATATAAAACCATCAAATGTCATGTTATCAAAAGATGGATTACCAGTACTTGTTGATTTAGGTAGTTGTTCAAAAGCTAGAGTTAAGGCTAAAACAAGAAGTGCAGCTATTGCTATTCAAGAGTTAGCTGCTGAACATTGTACATTACCATATAGAGCACCTGAATTACTTGATGTGAAAACGGGTTCCAAAATTGATGAAAAAATTGATATTTGGTCACTTGGATGTACATTATATGCATTATTATATGGATGTTCACCATTTGAATATGAAGAAAATGAAAATGGTGCAAGTATTACATTAGCAATAAGTAATGGTACCTTAAATTTCCCTAAAAAGGGTGATTTATATTCAGATGAATTGAAAAGTTTGATCAAGATGTGTATAGTGATTGATCCTGAAGAACGTCCAAGTATTGAAGATGTTCTTTCTAGAGCCTTAGAAGTTCAATCACGAATCGGATAAATATAAAAGGGGTATTTCTAAACACGAGGAATTCGAATATGACATTGCAATTGTAAAAAAATCGTTAGATTATAGAGATAATTGTCATTTGAATTGTTTATTTGTTTGACAGGTTCATCACCATTTGTGTTTCGCGAACCGTGTTTTGGAATCTCTGAATTATACAAAAACAGAAATTGGGAAAAAATTATAGTATACGTTTCATCTTTTTGTGAACTATTGGTTAATAAAAAAGGTTATTGACTAAGGTAGTGATGACCAGTTATCAAAACGTTCAAGAGTCCCAGATCAAAGGGTATAATGACTGTCCAATTTTGGATTATTCTTCAAAAAACTCAAGTTCAACATCATTAAAATCGAGAAGAAGGTTGGTGTCACAATTAAATAATACCATTACAACAAATCTTGATGGTTCAATACCCAAACCTCCAACTTCTTTAAAACCACCATCTTTCAAAACTCATGAATCCAATGAAACTGGTGAAACAACCACTGATCAACCTACTACTGAATCTATATCAGATGAAGAATTACTAAAATTAGTGGAAAAAATTATAAAGTTACCAAATTCATTACCAGAACGTGAATTTAATCATTATTCTAAGAGAATATTGGATAATTTTCAAAAGGGTATTAATAATGAACAATATAAATTGATTATCTATAAAAATTTACAAAATTATTCTAATAAAGAACAAGTTAAAAATGAATTAATTAAATTTATTCTATCAAATGATGGTGTATCAACTTGGTGTTTACCATTAAGAAAAGTTTTAGAAAATATTAAAATATAGAGATTTCTTTATAATATTTATTGTGCTATTAAACTATTATTATTACTACTATAGGAAGACATTGGATGTTGATTGGGTACTTACAAATTGGGATATTATCTATAATAAAAAGGTCATTAATTTTTATATTTAATTGCAAATAAAATTTAATTTATAATAACTTGAATGTAGCCATAAGTTTTTGATATATGAAGGAGAAAACCCTATTACATCTTCTTTCTCTTACCAATTTGAGCACTGAAACCAGTTTTAATTGAACTAACAGATCTTGTTGAACCACAACTATTACAAACCAAGAAAAACAATCTGTTTGAACTTTCCTTTTTCAATTGTGTGTTGATAGATTTACATGTTTTACATGTAACATATTCAATAATATATCTTCTCAAAACATTTTCCAATTGTTTTGGTTGGAAACGACCTTTAATAATTAATCTTTTTTGACCATCAACAGAACCTGAAGTACCTAATTCCGCAAATAAATATGAAATCAAATGTTCAGGAGATCTTTGCAGTTTTTCACTAATTTCTTGAACATTGGCAAATGCAGTTTTTTTATTACCTTCTCTTTGACAAACTGGTGGAGGGATTTTGAATTTTGTACCTGATCTTTCACCAGCTAATTCTGGATTGTTTTTCTTTAAAATTTGGAAAAATCTTGATAATAATCCATCATAAGGTAAACCATATTTAGATTGTTGAGCATTAACATCATCATCTGTTATAGTTTCTGCTGTATTTGTATTTGTTGTATTTGTTTCATCTAAACCTAATTTTTCCAATTGTTTATCAAAATCATCATCAGGAACTGGCGTACTACTCTTCTTCTTCTTTTTTTTCAATTTCAATTCACCTAATGAATCTGTAACATCATCAGTATTTATTTCATCAGCATCTGGAGTTGATTTTGAATCTTTTGATTTCTTCTTCTTCTTCTTCAAACCTGATAAAACATCATCAACTTCTGGAGTAGCTTCATTGGATTCTTCAACCGTTTTAGTTGACTTCTTCTTCTTCTTTTTCAAGGTTGGATCAAACCCTAAATCGACATTTGTTTCTTCAACAGACATGATCTTATAAATTAGTCTTATCTATCTATATCTTTTTGTCTTGTGTTATTAATTTTTGTTGATTTACTCACATTTTTTTTTTAAATTTGCCATTTTTTTTTCCACCAAAAATTAAAACTCGCAAAAAAACAAAATGCGCGAAAATACAAAACGAAAAAATCATGAATTTCCGGTTTTGTGGCTTTACGCCATTTTTACGAAATATACTTGCGGGTAAAAATGCCAGAATTTCCTAATTTGGATAAAGTAGTATAACATCTAATTATTTATTCAAAAACACACTTATAAACTCAAATTCTTTGTTCTTTCCTCTATAAACTCTTCATTTGATTGTAATGATGCTAATTTTTCTTTAGAAATTTGTTCGATTTCTTCACCAGGTTTAATTTTAACATCACTTTCATTATTAATATTAATATTAACATTACCTTCTTCATCAGCAATTGGTTCGACATCATATTTTTTCAAGAAATAAGTTTCTACTTCATCTTTATTATTATTTTCAGCTTCAAAAATTGGATCATGTTGAAATTTATTTTTAATAAAAGCATCTGCTTCATATTCATCACATAATAATTTAACAATATCCAAGTAACCATTTAATGAAGCCCAATGCAAACAAGTATTACCTTCATTATTTTGTGAGTTTATAAGCTTTGTAGCTTGATCTTTAGATATTTTGGATAATAAGTATTTAACAACTTCTAAATGACCATTCCCACAAGCCATGTGGATTGGATTTGTTAATGTATGTTCATCTTTAATCTCTAGTAATAAATCACCATCTAATTCTTCAAAAATTTCTTTTAAATCGTCTAGATCCCCATGTCTCGCAAGATCGATTATCACGTCGTATTCCTCTTGTGTGAGCTTTTGTTGAACCATTCTAAAAAGTCAAAAGTTTGAATAGAAAACTCAAATTACAATGAATTTTTTGGTTCTTTTCATACTTTTTTCAATTTTGATATTTAAATTTAATTTTTTTTTCTAAATGTTCGCGAATATTTAAAGCTCATCGATTTTAAACGCCATCATGAAAACATAAACAAAGATGTTACGAATCTAAGAAGAAAGTACAATTTAAGAGGTTTTTTGAGTGACTGCTTTTGAAGGTTGTTGTTGGTTGAATTGGCAGTCGTGTTAATACTTGGTATTTCGGTGATCTGTGGTGCTTTTTGGTTTTGTTATTCTGTTTTTTCTGGCTTTCTTTGGTTATATTAGGCTGATCTAGGTTAAGATGCCACCTAAAGGTATAAATGTTCCACAATTTACAAGAGAAACTAAGCTAGATTTATTATTCCAAAGTCTATCACAATTCATAGAAATTGATGAAAATGATTCTAATGATGCTTTAACACAACTATATGATAAAATTGATCAAGATGGAAATCAAGAAGAAACCAATAGATTAGTAAAATTACAAATTGTAATGGATAAATGTTTCCAATATTTAATTCAAATTCAAAATCATTCTTTAATTCAAATGGAATCAAACAGAAAGTCAAACGATCCGGAGAAATCTCATTTAATTACAATTTCATTACATGATATGAAATATTTTAATGAATTATTAAATATAATAATTATACAAGGTGTTTATTCTTGTTTACCGAAAGGAATTGGTATACCTTTAGAACAAAGAAGGTTGAAAAATTTCAACAAAAAAACCAAGAAATTTTCATATCAAAAAATTCCAAATTCAAATGAATTACTCTTGTATATAATTAAACAGCTGGAAACTATTTTCGATAAAGGTGGGGATGTTAAAGAGTTATTACTTAAAGGTAGTGGATTAACTGATATATTTACTGGCTTAATTACATTGATATTAGATCATGATTCAAATTTGATTAATGTTTTCAATAAATTTGAATTGAAAAGTGATACATATAATTTGTTTAGTATCTATACCATTTTATTACAAACCACTACAAATCCTAAATATCAGTCATTTATAAGTGAAAGACTAACAAATTTAACAATAAATCGTTCAAATGGTGTTATAACTTTAATTGATTTCATAGTGGGGATAAGAGATGATGAAGAAATTAATATTGATAAATTTAATAACGTTAATAGAATTTTAATGTCAAAACCTAAAAATTTATCAAGTGTGATATATTTCAATAAATTATTTGATCAAATTTATGAAATTTTAGTATTTGTTAATAGACCAATTATGTTGTCAGTTATTGTCAATTTTATAAGAATATTATATTTTAAGAACAAAAAAATTATTCAAGATTTTCTATTTAAAAGAATTTGGAAGTTACTGAATCCAATAACAACCAATTTCCATAATGGTGATACTATAGTTGATGCAAAACAGTTAAATGATGTTATAAATGTATTAATTTCATTAACAAAAGAAACAACACCAGAATTTCTGAATGAATTATATTCACAAATTATATTAAATTTATGGGCTTATTATTTATACCTAAGGAAGAAGAATCATGATTTTGCTTCAATTTTAGAAAATTTATTAACTTCATTCTTTACAATAACTTCAAATAATGAATTTTTGGAAAATATTATATTAAATTTGGCTAAAACCTCTGGAGAAAATTGGGAATTTCAAACAATTTTAGAAAATAAATTATCCAAAATTGTTAAAACTAATGATTTAGAAACTATATCAAGTGAAGAAATTTTTGATGATTTAGATGTTGGATTAAATTCAATAGTTTCAATTTTGAAAAATTTAGATAATGATATAATAAGGAAACAATTTTTAATTGTTTTGAATAGATGGATAACAAAACAAACCACCACAGTAACAACATTAAATGATGAAAATCCATTTTTAATATTAATTGATTTGAAATTTTTAGAGAAAATTAATGACAATTTTAAAGATTCTTTAATGGATAAACCTGAAGACTTATTAATTGTCATTGAAAAATTATTGGTTTCCAAGTCTTTAGGTAAAGATGCATTAGAAATTGAAACAAATGATAATCTTGAAGAAAATGGTGAAGTTGATTCTGATGATGAAGATGAAAATGATGATCAAGTATCAAGTTCTGGTGGTGGTATAGGTGTCTTATTAGAATTATTATCAGCTATATTATCAGAAACTAATGAATCAGAATTATTTAAACATAAAACAACGCTAGAGAAAATTTCAAAAATTTTAACCAAATTTTCAGATGATAAACAATGTATTGCATTACATAAAAGAATTGAGTTTTTCCTAAAAACTGATCATAAATCTACACCAATCAATGATGAACTCAGCAAAGATAAAGAACTTTTAGAAAAAGCTATAACTAGTATCAATGATCCATTAACTCCTATAAGAGCCCATGGGCTTTATTTATTAAGACAATTAATCATCAAAAAATCATCAGTATTGACTTTAGATTTTGTTTTAGAATTACATATAGTTCAATTACAAGATCAAGAACCATTTATTTATTTAAACGTTATAAGATCATTAAATGAATTAATTGAATTTGACCAAGAGGGGACCTTAGAGTTTTTATTAAAATTTTATAATAATTCTGAGGAAAAATTAGATGATCGATTAAAAATTGGTGAAGTTTTAATTAAATTTATTGAAAAATCAGGTGAATTGTTTATGGGTCATTTGGCAAATAATGTTATATCAACAAATTTACAAATTATTCGAGATTTCAATCAAGATAATAGAATTAGAATGTCTTCAATGTCTATTATTGGTCAATCTTTAAGAACTAATGCTATTGGATTGGATTCTTTCATTAAAGATGCATTAGATTGTTCAATTGGGATTTTGGAATTTGAAAAAGATGTTATAATGTTGAGAAGTTCAATTGTTTTAATTAATGATTTGATTTCATTTGGTGGTTTAGAAATTGTTCCAAGGGGGTATGGAGAAAAATTGAAGAATTTATTAGAATATACTAAGATAAACCCTGAAGTTGATTATTTATTATTAGAACAAATTAATAAAGTTTTAGAAATTATCAATGAATTAATTTTGATTAAATTTAAACCAGTTCTAAATAATCAATTTGATAATTTAAAAATTCAAGAATTGAAATGATGAAATATATGAAAAAAGCTGGTTATTCAGCTAACCATTTTTTCAATTTATCTTGTTTTTTCAAATTTTTTTGGATTTTAAATTGTTTAATTTGTTGTTTTGATACTTTATTTTGATTCTTATTGGTCTTTTTGGAATTTTGGTTATTTAATGTATGTATAGACTGGTTCAATTCTTGTGAATATAAACTTTTTGAACCATAATCATTAAAATTAACATCATCTTTAAAAGGTTTTATATCTTTCAGTTCATTTTGTAATTCAGTTGATGTTATATTAGAGTTGCTTTGATCATCTAATTGATTATCTTCAAATTTCTTTTTCAATGATTCAACTTGTTTATATTTTTCAAACGTTGATAATTTTTGGAAATTGGAATCATTTTTCAATTTTTTCAATTCTAATTCATATGGAGTGGTTTCTTCAATCTCAAATGATAATTTTGGTGGTTCAAATGTTGGTAAATTTTGATTACATTCATCATTTAAAGTAACTCTTGGATTTATCCATTGTTTTATCTTTGTTTTAGTGTTATAAAAGAAAAATCTTTGTGTTTGATTATCGAAATGATGTTCCCATCCATCATCTTCCCCTTTTTCAATCACTCCATTATCTTCTTTTATTGTATCTTTATTATCATTTGTGTCAACTTGCTTAGTATTCTTAATTAATTCTTTTGAACGGGGAAGTTTACTCTTTTTGTGATTAATCTTTCTTGTTGGTACTGGTTCATTCGGGAGTGGTGGATTCATTATAATATTTTATCTGTATATCTAATATAAATTACGGTTTCCAATTCAATTTCCAATAGATCTTCTTGATACTTAACTATAAATCTTGATCTAATGAGTATATATAAAAGAAAAATTAAAAACAGCGATTACATAATCCCGAACCCCGATTAAAAGCGCCTTTCGCGAATCTTTCTTTTTCCACCAAAATTTCTTTTTCTTCACACTTTTCACCCGAAATCACGTGAATTTTAATAAATTTGTATACGCGATGAGAATTTGACACACAATTATTGAAATTAGAAATTAGGAGATTCAAATATTTATAAATACTGGGATGGAAGGCGTATTTTCTTAGTTTTATAATATTTAGAATCATTATTGATCAACAGAAAGTTAGTTCAAAAACCACTTAAAACAACCTTTAAAACAAATATACCCATATAATCACAATGTTCGCTCAAGTCATAAAGTCCTCCACAAAACAATACACTTCAATCGCCACAAAGCAAGTCATTGGTGCTCGTTTATTTAGTTCATCTTCAGTTGCTAAATTTAGTGAAAGAGATTGTGATTGTACTTGTAACAGAAAAATCCCAGTTATGATTTCTAAAATGCCAGAATGTTCAACTGATTGTTCATGTGATAACTAAACTGGATGTTATCACGTCTTTATTTATATGAATATTTGTACAATAGGGAAAATATTTAGGAATAATTAAACTTCTTTAATTGCATTTTTTACACTTGGTATTTATTAATTGGTATATGTTCATGGTATATGTGCTGATGTGATATGCTGCTGCTTATATAGATACCCTGATCAGCTATATCAACTTTTAATACTCTTTTTTTTAACTTATATATTAATGATGGATTTTGGTTTAATATCGGATAAGGAATATAAAGATTATAATTTTTATTTAAAATACAATGTAGATTATATGCTTCATAATATTTAATCTTAAATACATGTTTTTGGTTTCCCACTATATACAAACATCATACTTTTCATTTGAATCATGATGAATAATAAGTTTTACGTAAATCAACAACTTTTTTACCACGATTTAATGATAATTCTTCTAATGTCTTTTGTGAACTTAATGCTTCCACAATACCTTTAGCAATTTTCATACCATTTCTTGATTTATAAATTTTTGCACTAAGATCTTTAATACCTGCAATTTCACAAATTTCAAAAAGATAATGATTAACTCTTAATCCAAAACCTTTAGGTGCTGATCTTAAATGTAATTTACAACCATGATAATTATGATCAATATCACCAATAATTGTACGATCTTCAAATCTTGGAATATATGTTAAATTTTTAACTGCATTCCAATGAGCTTTACGTACTGCACCAGACATTTCTGCTCTATCTTTACCTTGTCCTACACCAACCATACCATTTTTATCACCAACTATCACAATGGCAAAACTTGATCTAATTTTACCTTTAGCAGTTTGATTTGAAACTCTCTTCATAATTAATGGACGAACATGTAATTTTTCAATATATTCTTTTGATAATCCAGTTAATATACTTAATCCTTTAGCAATTTCACTATTTTTATTTTTTCTTGTAGATGCATCAGCTGGTGGATGATAACCTGGAGGTGGTGACATATTACCAACTTGTAAAGGTTTTCTCCAATCAACTTTATGAGGTTCTTTAATTTGTGCATGATCCCAAAATGAATCAAATTTTGCAAAATCATCTAAATATTGTGGTGCAAATTTAACTTTTTTATGTTTTTTTTCATAATAATCTTTTGGTGAAACAACAGTTTCTGCTAATTTAATACTTTCTAATAAATCATCTGAATAAAAATTTCTTAAATAGTTTAAATGTTGTTCTTTTCTTGCTTGAGTTGATTGTGTTGTTGATTGATTTTGATTGAAAATTGTTGAATTTGAAAATGCTCGTATTGAATTTATATTATTTCCTAATCTTTTCGAAAGACAGGATTTGAATGAAGGAATCATATTATAAGTCCTTATACCTTTTTCTATTTTACCCTTGATTAGATCTTCAATGTTTTTTTTCACCATACACTAGTTATTTTTCAATTTTTCATTTTTCAACATCTTTTTCATGAAAATTTCCAACTTTTTTCAATCACCAAAATTACATAATCACAGCGCAGATGCTTAGTAAGAGCCATACAAAATTATAATGAAAGGTAATAAATTATTAATTGTTCTTTAAAAAACGCCATCTGAGAAATGAATATAAATATATAAATGTATAATAATCCAAGGGAATGAAATAAAAATAAGCCAAAACTGAAATTAAGAAAAAAAAAGTAATTCTATATCTTCTTTGGTTGAGAAATTGCAGGATGTTTAAAAACTGAAGTTGATGCAGCTGTACTATTAAGTGGCACATCTTGATTTTTTGGAGAATTTGATGCATTTGAAGTACTTGGTGTAGTTTTATCATCTTCAATTTCTTCAAATGTTTCGTTTTCACTAGTTTGTAATTCTTCAATTTCTTTTTGTAATCTTGCAACTTCTTTTTCTAATCTTTTACCATAATAATCAACATAATAAGTTGCACCATTATAACTTGCCCAAAGAAAGATAAAAGTTATAAAACTTGAAGCTAAATGTCTATATGCAAACCAAATTGGACAAATTGACATTGTTAATAATTGATAAAAGTATTGAATTAATGTAAATGCAACAACTGGAAATGGATCAGGTAATGAATTTACAAATTTCCCTAAAATATTTTTACCAAATGATTTTCTTAACCATTCAAATGATGTAATTCTACCAGCTTTAATCTTTTGAGCTCTTTTAACTGTGATGAAATAATGATACAATGATTGCCAAATTAAATAATATAATGATGTCCATAAGATACCTGATATGAAATTCCATTGTGTTAATTCCGCTGCACCTGGGAATCTAATCAATTTATAATCTTGTGGTAAATGATGAGTTATAACAAGCATAACAACTGGTGGAGTAATATGAATGAATGAACTTGTTGTTTTATCAATTGAATGTAAAACTAATGAATTTCTCCATGTAATAATTGCCCATGATAATGTACCAAATGTAAATGCAAAACATGAAATATATAAATGTTTTGACCAAGGGAAAACCCAAATATATAATAATAATAAGATATTAACATAATAACATAAATCTGCAAGGAAATAATGATATGCCTTCTTATAATAAACATAAAATCTAATTGGTAATAAAATTGCAGATAATACTGTATAGTAAATATGGAAATATTCTGGTGCAAAACCAACTATAAAACCAGCTGCAAAAATGGCATAAATTGCCAGGGAATAAAAAATCTTTTCAGTTGCAGAAGCATAGAAAACATTATATAATCTTTGATCTAAGTTACCAACTTTATCTAATAAATTTTTTTTGAAACGATCTAAATCTCTTAATTCTTTAATATATTTTTCACTTTTTTTTGAAGTATTATTTTTCAAATCTTGTAATTTATTAAATGATTTTTGTTTAACTTTATTATATCTTTTAGAAATTGAATTTGTTGTTGTTGATAAAGGATCTAATAACTCTAATAATGAAATTTTCTCTGTAGGAAACTCCACAGAACTATTATAAGCACTATTTGAATAAAATAAAGGCGAACCTGAAGGTGTTATTGAACTTGAAGAACTATTTGATCTTCTTTGACTGAATGATCTTCTTTGTGGGGTATTTGAACCATTTGAACTATTTGAACCTGTATTTGATTGTGTTCCATCATTGGCAAGTACTTGATGCTCAGGTATTAATCCCTCATCTGGCGGTTTAATAGTGGAAGATGAATTAGCAGACATGATATCCTTCTATGTCTCTCTTGATAGATAATCTTCAATATTCAACACGAGTTTACTGAAATTCTTAGTATCAATTTCAATGCTTTCAATTTGCCTTTGTTTTATTTTGATTTTGAATTTGATTTTGAATTTCAAAGAACTCGTGCTTTATTTTGAAATTCTTCACATGTCACAATTGCTCATCGCGTCCCAAAACGGAAATCCCGACGCACGTGATACAACTTGCATTCCAGTGACACGGAAAGTGATGACAGAGGGTATGAATTTTTTACTATTTATCATGAATATTTGAAGTATTTTGCAAGTATTATAGTATATATGTAAGAGTGTGTTGAATATACGAAAGTTTAGTGCAACGTGCCAAATTTATGATATCCGAAATACCCATATATCAAGGCTTATGGTATAATGGTATAATCATTTGGTCTTTATCAATGTTCAGTTGCTGTGCAGCATTACTAATATTAAGGACATAAGCTCGATTACTAAGTTAAGCTTTAACTAAATATCTACTAAACTTAACTTCTATTTTAAATTTAAATACTTTAGCAATCAAAAATAAAAGTACTTAAACCAGATTATGTTTCCAATATAATATCATCTAAATCTTCATACACTTCAATATCGTTGAAATTCAACAATTATAGGTGATCATGTCTGAACAAGAAACTCAAGCATTAGGCCAAACAAAAGCATTCGAACCAATTAAAGTTGGTACCAAAGAATTATCAACCAGATTAGTCTTAGCTCCATTAACAAGATATCGTGCTGTAAATGATCATGACCCATCAGATTTATCATTAGAATATTATACTCAAAGAGCTCAATATAAAGGTTCATTACTTACAACTGAAGCAACTTTCATATCAGAGGAAGCTGGTGGTTATCCAAATGTACCAGGATTATGGTCTGACACTCAGACAAAAGCATGGAAAAAGATTGTTGATTCTGTTCATTCAAAAGGTGCTTTATTCAATGCTCAATTATGGAATTTAGGTAGACAAGCTGATCCCGAATATCTTTCAACTCAAAAATTACCATATATTAGCGCTTCTGATATTTATATGGATGACGCATCTAAAGAGAAAGCTTTGAAATTCAATAATAAACAACGTGGTTTGACCAAAGCTGAAATAAAACAACATGTTGAACAATATGTTAAAGCTGCTAAAAATGCTATTAACGGTGCTGGTTTTGATTTTGTTGAGGTTCATGCTGCAAATGGTTATTTAATTGATCAATTTTTACAACCAATTTCAAATAATAGAAAAGACGAATATGGTGGCTCTGTAGAAAATAGATCAAGATTCCTCTTGGAAGTTGTGGATGCAGTTTGTGAAGCTGTTGGATCTTCCAAAGTTTCAGTTAGATTATCACCTTGGGGTACATTTGGGTCAATGGGAGGACAAGATGATCCAAACATAATACCAACTTATTCATATGTCGTATCAGAATTAGAAAAAAGAAGAAGAAAAGGTAATGAATTAGCTTATATCTCCCTTGTTGAACCTAGAGTTAGTGGTGATAATGATACTGATAATCATGTCAATGCAAATAATGATTGGATTTTATTGATTTGGAAAGGTATAGTTTTAAGAACAGGCGGATTTGCTTCAACTACACCGGATTATAAAAGATTATTTGATACAATTACTATCAATGATAGAACTTTAATTGGTATTGGAAGATATTTCTTATCAAATCCTGATTTTATTACCAAAGTTCATGATGGTTTACCATTAAATGCTTATAATAGAGATACTTTCTATACTCGTGGTAGTTTAGGCTATACAACTTATCCTAATTATGGTGAGGATGCTATATCAGATGATGATCCAAGAGCTCAAAGAGATTCAAATACAATAGTCTAATTATAAAAATAAAATATATAAATAATTTAAACTATATATAAATATATGAATTAGTTAAACATATAAGTTGTTGATTTAAACCTTGTAGAACAATTCTTTATTAAAATTGTCAATTACTGCCTTAACACCTTGAGAATCATTCTCATCATACTTGATTGGTTCTAATCCTAATTCTTGTAAAGCTTGTAAACCGCCAACTTGATAAACAAATTTAGAATCAGCTCTATTTTGATGATTGGTTTCAGCTTCACTAGTAGGAAATCCAGGGAAATCAGGACCTGTTAAACCTTTTAACAATGCTTCTCTTTGTAATTTTAAATATTTTGTATTTAAATCACATAGGGGAACTGCTGGAATATACATAACAGAAGAATCTAATTCACCTTTATGAACTGGATCAACTGCATGAATTAAATCACAATGCCAGAAAACAGCATCACCTGGTTGAACTTTTGGAATTGAAGTCATTAATTTAGATAAATTTAAATCTGGATGAGATTTTTCATTGAATTCTTGATTTTTACCTAATTTAGAACCTGGAAATTTTGATGATTGTAAATCTAATTCATCAAATTCATCGAAAAAAGGTTTTAATAAGAAATAACTTGTGATTTCTTTAATAAAAGGAGCTAATAAAATTGTACCTTCACTTGGACCAACTGAGGACATTGATAACCAACCTTGGAATGATCTGAAAACACTGCATGCATTAGCAACAGGATAAATATTCATATTTGCTTTAGTTCTATGAGTAACATCATAAGAATCATAATTTTCCCAATCACCATTGAAAACATCTTTATAACATTTACGATATTCTTCATCTTCCCATCTTTCAATACATCCACCATCAGCATGAGGACCTAATGTAAATGAATCATCACCAGGATTTCTAATACGAAATCTATCAGCATAACTTAAATTATGATTTAATGAAACTTCAACATTTGGGTCATTTGTATGCCATAAATTATTAATAAATTTCATAGTTTCCATCATTTTTGGATCTGATCTTGCATTAACTTGAGACTTTGACCAATATAATTCATAAACAATTGGATCTGATGCAGGATATCCTTTAGTTTGAGGATTCAACTTGATATATTCTTGAGCATCTTTTTTAAATTCAAGTGCTTTTTCTTTTGGGAAAACATTACGAATAATAACACAACCTTTTTCCAAAATATTTTGTCTTTTTGCAGGATCTAATTTTTGAATTTCATTAAATGAAATTTCTGGAATAATATTTGAACCTTCTTGTTCAATCAATTTAATTTTATCACCTAATACCAATTTTAATCTTTTCCAACTTTCAACAACTTTTTCAGGATTTTGAACAAGTTCTTGCTTCAATTCAGCAAATCTTTGAGGTAAATAATCAGCTTGATCACCTTCTAATGGTTCATCAAAAGCAGTAAAAGCAGAAGAAAAATCATTACCAGGTCTAGCTTCAAAATTTGATAAATCAATTCTTTTCAAATTATCTGGTCTTAAAGTTAAAGTTGGAGTTGAAGTTGTAGTAGCTGTTGACATATTGTAAATTCACTTAATTGTTATTATTCCTATGTTGATATTGAATACATTTAAAAATATTTCTTCAATTTTATGGAGAAATTGCATTGTTTAAATACCCATATTTTCAATGTACCCCATATATTTCAAAACTCATCAACAATTCAAAAATTTACATCTAATTCAATTAACCGATTCAGAAGAGTTCCGCAATTTTTGGATTTTGTATGGTGAATGTACTGAGCCAGGCGGGATACCCAATTCGGTAGTTCCGCATTTTTCTTCCCGCACCGCATAGTAAGGTTAAGGGCTAATTTGATTATCATATCAAATTCAATCTTTTAAAACCATTGAGATAAATTTGAATTTAAAATTGAACCCGCTTGATTTAAATCTTGTTGATTATTAAATAAATTTTCAAAAGTTTCTTTTGGTTGAGGTTCAATTGAATTTAATTTTTCAAAAAGATTAAATGAAGCAGCAGCAAACCAATATTTATTTTTAAAATTTTTTAATATTTCAAGACATTGATTATATTGATTTTCTTTTTCTTTTAAAGTATGTAATTGATCTTTTGTTAATGTTGTTTTAGTTTGTGTTTCTGTTGTTGAAGTGGATGATGTTGTTGTTGTTGTTGATTGACCATTGGTATCTAATGAAGTTTGTAATCTTTTAGATTCAATTTCTAAATGAATTAAAACTAAAACATGTAATGTACTATGAACATTTAAAATATGTTCAATACAATCATTATTAAATGAAAATTTCAAAGATTCAATAATATCATTTGAAAATTTATAAACATAATACATTCCTGCAGTTGATAATGGAGATTCATTTGAATGGAAAACTGGTTTATTAATATTATTTGATTCAATTAAATCTAATAAACCAATTTTACAACGAAGATATAATAAATTGCAATAAGCATGAGAAACTTTTAAAAATCTTATAAATTTTGATTCTATTGGTAATGTTGCATTCAAATTTCTTATCCCCCAATTTAATAAATCTAATTCTAAATTTGAATCATTAAGAGCTCTTCTCCCTGGAGGTCTATAAACAGTTTTAATAACTCTTTCAAATAATAAAATTAATGAATACCATCTTTTAAAAAGTTCATAATCAGAAATTTGATAGTTTTCAAAATCATCAAAATTTTTCAAGAAAGGTTCTTCAATTATTAAATCATCAATATTATAAAGCATTGCAGAACAACTTGTTGCTGAAGCAATTCTATCACAACAATATGAAGTCCAAAATAATCTAACCATTAAATTTCTATCATAATTTAATCTAAACATTGTTTTAATATCAGATTTATCAGTTTTCATCATATCAAAATGTTCAGCAACTGCCAAGTTATGTATTCCCAGTTCCATAATTAATAAAATAGCCTTAGAGATACATTCTCTTGCCAAGTTTGCACCTTCTGGACCTTCTTCATTTATAGATAATAATAAATAAGATTGGATTAATGTAACTTTGTTTGTTTCAATCATTTGTAAATATTTACATCTTGATTTAAATTCTTCAGCTCTAATTCTATAATCATAATTTTGTAAAAAAGGATCATATTTAACACCAGCAAGCATCATTGAATTTATTAATAATAAAGGTTCATTTGATAAATTTTCCAAGATATTTCTATTAACAACTGGATATAATGGATAAACATTATCTAAAAATAATTTAATCAATCGTCTTTGTTCTGAAATTTGTGGTATTATAAATGCACCTTTTTTATTCAGATAAGATTTCAATTCTTTATCAATTTTATATTCATCTTTATCTCTTGGTTCAAAATAAACATTTCTCCAAGGACAATAAAGTCCCAAGACTTCACCATCAAGACTTAATACTGAATCACGAGATAATATAGGAGCTAAAGGTTGAGTTGCAGTAATGAATTGAGAAGTTGCTCTACTTGATTGTAAGACATTTGCATATAAATGTTCATCTTTAGATAATTTCATGATTATTTTTTGCTTTTTGGATAATTTATCAGCATTGTCAGCATTATTGTCATCATCAAATTGTCTCTTTTGATGAACAGATTCGGATTCATCACCATTAACACCCACATCACCATTACCATCACCATTTTCCCATCGACACTGGGCCTTAGCCTTGATACACCGTTGACATACTTTCTCTTCATCTTCTACCAAACATTTCCTATGTAGTTTCCGACATCTAGCACAGGCTGGTTGTTTTTTCTAAACCAATGTTAGTGTCGATGTACCCCAGACAATCCAAAGTCCATTGTATGACTTTTACCACCCACTCCACACTCACTTGATCTTTCCCTCTATGTGATCCATTTCCTGATCCTTTGCCACTGTCTTCTGGATCATAATTAACCACTTTCAAGGACATCATGTGACTTTGAACTCAGCGGTTAATCAAATCAAAACAAAACAAATCAATTAAATTTATACGAATTCATTTTTTCAATCTTCAATTTTCGATTCAACAATAAACAAAAAACTAAAATTATTGGAAAAATAATGATTATGTAAATATTATGTCATCTGAATCTAATTACATAATCATACTGCTCACTTTTCCGCGAAACGAGCATTTAAATTTTTTTTAGTTTTTAGTTTTTTCAAAAAGTGAGCAAATTATCTCGAATAAAAATCAATTTTAACCGCTGTGAGATTTTAATAGATCTGTGCATTCAATAAAGGGCACCTTGAAAGTAGAAATATATAAAACAATACGAGTTCGTCATGTTTTGATATACATTTAGATCACAAGATCATCAAAGACAATACAATACACAACACAACACAATCACAATGATGGATATGGGTTCTTCTTCAATGTCTATGGATATGGCATCTTCTACCGCTTCTGCTTCAATGTCTATGGATCATCATTCAATGTCAATGTCAATGCCAATGAGTTCTTCAACTTCAAGTTCAATGAGTGGAATGGATAGTATGGATGGTATGGATATGGATATGTCAATGAATACCTTTTTAACTACAAAATATTCAGGTTATCCAGTTATTTTCCAAACTTTAAAAGCTTCAAATGGTGCTAGTGCTTTTGGTATATTTTGTATCTTATTCTTTACAGCTTTTGCAACAAGAGGTTTAACTTTCCTTGGTGCTTATTTACAACAAAAAGTATTTACACCTCCAAAAAAATTTGACCTAAGTGAAAATCATAATCATACAACTACTATTAATAAAAGTGATATTAATGAAAGTAGTAATACCGTTGATACAGAAAGTAATGAATCACATACACAAAAACATTTGAAAAATAGATCAGTTTTAGCACAATTTCTTGATATAACACCAACTTCAATCTATAGAGATTTTATAAGATTACTTTTGGCCTTTTTAAGTGCAATGTTTGGTTATGCATTAATGTTGGCAGCAATGACATTTATTATACCTTATTTCTTCGCTATAATTTTAGGTTTATCATTTGGTGAAGTGTTTTTCTTTAGATTAGCTTCAATTATGGAAATTAATCAATCTGAATCTTTTTGTGAATCATTCCATTAAGAAATGAGGGTTTTGTACTTTTGATTTATGTGCTGTGTTTTTAATTTAATGAAAATAATGAGGAAGAAGAGGAATAATTACTATTTGTATATAGAAAATAATAAAACGTAATATTTGGGTAATATTTGGGATAAACAAAAGAAAAACACACTTACACTCGTAGCTATAATGGTATCATACCACCTTTCTTATGATGCTTCTTCACTAGCTTCAGTTTCATCTTCATCTTCATCATCTTCATCTTCAATTGGAATGGATTCTAAATTCTTAACTAATGATTCTAATTCCGCTGTAGCAGATTTAAAATATTCTAATTGAATTTTAGAAAATAATACAATTAAATTAACAGATTCTGCAGGTTTAATTAATTTTTCCATTGATTGCACCGCAACAGAAGTAGCATTAACTAAATCATCTTCAGATTGATCTAATTTTTCCTGTAATTCTTCTTGTCTTGCTGGGTTTAATTTTAATTCATATCTTAGGGTATCAAAATTTAATCTTGCATTTTCAACATTTTTTCTATTTAATTGAGTTTCTTGGAAATTTTTAGTTAAAATATCTTGTAATTTAGAATTAAATTCATTTATAATTAATTGATCTTGTTCAATTCTTCTATTACCAATTTTTAATTCAGTTTCAGAAAATAATAATAAAACTTTTGATAATGAATTATCTTGATCAAATTTTTTTAATAATGAATGTGCATTTTTAGAAGCTTTTGATAATTCATGTGCTAAAGTCTTTGGTAATTGAGGTTCATTTGAACTTTCTTCATTCAAGACTTTTTCCACTTCTGAAACATTTGAAGCTTTTTGTAAACCTTGAAATTTTTCACTAATAGTTTTAGATAAATCTGAAACTGATTCACTAATATTTGGTGGATAATCATAACTTTCAATTTCATAAGTTGTGGTAATAGTTAATAATTTCTTATAAGCGTTTCTTAAAGCATCAACTTTTTTTTCCAATAAAATATATTCTTCTGGTAATTCACTAATATCTTCAATTGTACCAAATTTTTCTTGAACTAATCTTGCAGTTCTTTTAGCAATTGGAGTTAAATCATTTGTATATTTTTGGGCTTCTTTTAAACCTTCTTCTAATCCTGATTGTAATTGCTTAGAGAAATTACTGAAAAATGACATTTTGTAATTGTAATTGTGATTGACTTATTTTTCAACAAGTATAATACAAAAGTACAAAGGAGATCAACTTTTTTTTATCTACGCTTATTTCAAATTGACAATTAAAAAAAAACATTCAAAAATGTCCATTTTAGGAAATATCGGTATTTAAGGAAAGTGACACATTAAGCACTACAAGAATCATAAACTAAAGTAAAGAAAAGAACATCAATCAAGTTTACTAAGCAAAACACTAACTAATAGAAGTCCGTGTATCTTATTTAGCTCTTCATTGGATCATCAATTATATTATATATAACCTCATATTGATATATAATCTAAAAATTAATCTATGTGGCCGGTAATATCATGTGAAAACCATGATAATTCCTCTAATGGATCACAGATAAAGACTATTGAAACTCAAAGATATATATCAACTATTATGCTTTTATGTGACACTAGCAATTATATTTTTGCATACTATATTTATATTATAGCTCATGCAATTTGCTTTTGCAGGATCAAAATTAACCAAAAATTTGTTTATAGAAATTTCAGATGTACCCTTACATCTGATTGTAAGAACGATCGATCAACGGGACAATGAGACTGGAGTTTGGATGTACCCTTACATCAAACTGATCTCAGAACAGATTTAGCACAGTATAACATTACTTTGTAATTGTTATGTTGTTTTTATCTGTTTAGACAAATATATATATTGCAAAGTTCTTTTCAAAATATAGTTATTTCCGTTGATATTTATACTCATGTAGTCAAAACGAGAACAATATATTAATGTTCTCACATTTTATCATATACATATATTTGAGAATAGAGCTATGAGCAAATTAGAAAGCTAGTACGGATCATGAGATAATAATGAATCAAGTTGAATTACATCTGATAAGCGCCATATATAAACGACAGTAACTATGTTAGATCTACATTAAACCATGTATAGAGTTATACAATACAAATTAATTTATTCTTAAAAAATCACTATATAAAAACACAAACAATATGCTAGCTTAATATTTAAAGTACAATAATACAACACAAACTTAACAGTTAAATCTAATCATAATTTATAGATATTAATCACTTATAATTCTGCAATACTTTCTCTTTCAAAAAATTCATAATCAGAATTCTTAACATTTTCTAATTCTTTTTGAATAGCTTCTCTTTTAGCTCTTGCTTCTAAAACTTTCTTTTGTAATTCTTCTCTTTCTTTCAAAGCGGCATCATTTGAAGTTTTTGAATCATCTTTAACACTAGTTTTAGAAACAGATTTAGAATCATTAACTTGATCTTCTTTCAAAGTTTTCAATTCTTTTTCACCATCTGCAATTTTGGAAGTTTGATGATTATCAGTAGTTTCAGCTCTTTCTTTTAATGTATTTAATTTAGAAATATTTGATTGTTCTTTTGATTCATCAATTTCCTTTGTTGTTAAATTTGATTCTAATTTATTTTTAGAAACTGTAACATCAGTGGTTGTTTTAATTGATTTTGTTAAATCAATAGTCAATTTTTCAATATCTGAATTTAATGAATCAATTTGGGATTGAAATGACTCATCATTTTCCTTTGATAAAATTTCACCTGATTTAGAATTCTTCAATTGAGCTTCTTTTAATTTTTCCAACAATGATTCTTTTTCATCATTTAATTTAGTTAATTCTTTAGTCTTAAGATCTTTTTCTTTAGATAATTCGTCTAATTTTGAATCTTCAGCTCTGATTTCACTTTTTAATTTTTGAATATCAGCTTGGAAAACTTGTAATTTTTCACTTGATTCAACTTGTAATTTTTCTAATTCTTCAAGATCTTTTGATGAAGATTCTTGTTGTTTTTTCAAATCTTCAATTTCTTTAGATTTTTCTTTGATTTTCAATTCAGTTTCTTCAAAAAATGATTTTTTACTTTCTTCAAGTTCATTTTCAAATTTTTTCAAATTATCTGCATGTTGAATTTTAAGCTCATCAATTGATTTTTGAGATTTTGATTCATTTTCAGAAATTCTTTCTTCAATTTCAGAAATTGATGATTTTAATTTTTTAATCTTTAATGCATAATCAACTTCAATTTTTTGTAAAGCTAATTTATTTTTATTTTGTAAAGATCTTAATTTATCATCATGTTTTTTATTAGCTTCAAAAATTGAATCATAAACAGTACTTGCAGGTTTTGATAAAATTGATGCATTATCACTTTGACCATCACCATTACCATTCACATTTGAAGTTGTTTGAAATAAACCAAATAATTTCTTCTTTTGTGGAGTTGCTCTACCAGTAATACCTGAAGATTTTGAAGTCTTGATTGATTTTCCTTCTTCATCATCATCTTTACCCAATTTTGATTCTAAATCAGCAACTTCTTCCAATTCTTTTGTTTCAGCTTCTTCTTCATCTAATTCTTCAGCAACACTTTTTCTACGACCTTGAGTAGATTCTTTTGCAGTCTCGACGTCTAGCCTCGCTTCAGCGGCTGAAGCTTTTCTCAAGTTTTTTAAATCTTGTTTAGCTTCACTTTGACTTAAAGTCTTTTCTAATGCAACAGCTTCTTCCAATTCTTTTTCTTCAGCTTGTTCTTCATCAGCAATTTCTGCAACACTCTTCTTACGACCTTGCAATGATGCTTTAGCGTCTTCTTCATTTAATTTAGCTTCAGCTGCAGAAGCTCTTCTTAAACCACGAGCATTTTCATCTTTACTTGATCTTCTATCCTTGGTACTAGTAACTTTTTCACCAGATGAACCAAAAGGATTAGTGAAAACACTTGTAGCTTTACCTAATAAAGAATTATCATTAGTTGCAGCATTACTTGTAGATTTCTTACGTTCAGCTTCTTGTCTAGCTTCACTTTGACTCAAAGTTCTTTCCAAGGCATCAGCTTCTTCTATTTCTTTAGCTTCAACTTGTTCTTCATCAGCAATTTCTGCTGCACTTTTCTTACGACCTTGTAATGATGCTTTAGCATCTTCTTCATTTAGTTTAGCTTCAGCAGCTGATGCTCTTCTTAAACCTCTAACATCAGTTTTGTCAACTTTATGATGTTCAGTTTCAGAATTAGCACCAAATGGATTCTTAAAACCATCAGATTTTTTCTTTAATGGAGGTTCTTTAGCATCTGAGCCTAATTTTTCTTCTAAAGTTTTAGCTTCTTCTAATTCTTTAGTTTCAGCAACTTCTTCATCTAATTCTTGAGCAATTGATTTTCTTCTATTTTGAGATTTATCTTTAACATCATCTAAATCTAATTTAGCTTCAGTTATTGAAGCTTTTCTTAACCCAGAGATATCATTTGCTTTTTCATCTTTTTTATTAAAAGGATCCTTCTTGAAATCTTCAGCGGTATCAGGTTTTGTTAATTCGGTTTCATCAGAACCAGCGGTTAAATCAGTACCAGCGGTACCAGCGGTTAATGGAACTTCATTAGCAATAGCAGATTTGATTGGAGAGTTATGTTCCTTGTTTAATGGGACTTCATCCTCTTCTTCATCAAGTAATTCATCAGCTTCAGATTGAGCTAAATCTTCAGTTTTAGAACCTTTTGGTAAATTCAATTCATTTGTTTTTTTGGTTTGATATAATGAATCTTCATCAGCGTTAACATCTGATAATGATTCAATTGATTCAGTTTTATCTTTAGTATCTTTAGTTTCTTCTTTAGATTGTTTAATTTCTTTAGTTTTTTGTTTCAATTTGTCTTCAGCTTCTTGTTGAGCAATCTTAGCAGCTTTAGCTTTTTCAGAAGCTTCTTTTTTCAATTTTTCTAAATTTTGTCTTCTTGTTTCTTGATCAGCTTTTAATTTTTTTTCAGCTTCTTCAGCTAATTTAACTTCAGATTCATATTGTTGTTTTAATAAATTTAATTTTTCTTCTTGTTGAGCTAATTTTTCCAATTCTTTTTGATTTTTAGTTTCAACTTTATTGAAAAATTTTGATGGTACACTAATTTTATTATGTTTTGAATGTTCACTTGGTTTAATTCTATCAGTTCTTTTTGAAGAACCTGATCTGAAAGGTGATCTATAATCATAATTTGATGAAGCTATTGATTGTGTATCATTATCATCATTAGCTGTTGAATTTTTACTAACAGCATAAGATAAAATTGATTTTGTATCTTCTTTATCATCAGTTTCATAAAGAGCAGCAAATGGATCTGGACGTGGCATTTTGTATAGTATTGATTGATTGTATTACCAAAATAATTTAAATTGAATGTCAATTGATGATATTAACAATGTTTTATACTCAACTTTTAAAATGACAACCTTTATAAAATTGATTGCGGTAAAATCTTTAGGGGGGTTGAAAAGTATGGGGCTAAAATTGAATATCAGGTAATGGACACGCTTGAATCTTAGCAACTAAAAGTAAACTTGATAAATAGTAAACAACAATTGAGTTACTTTAAGATACCTTCTTTGATAATAATTTAAATATCAATTGAGTGTTACTTCAAGTTTAAATATAAATGAAAACTGTGGGATTAAATTGGATGTATTCCAAAGATGAATTTCACTTAATTTGGGAAACTAGCGAATGAAATTTCCGAATTGGGATTATTGATAACGTGCAGGAAATGAAATTCGCGGGCAAGCTATGAGCTTACTAGCTAAAGCCTGAAAAGTTACAAAGGTATAAAGTAATACAAGAAATTAGAAGTAAATGAGTATCAAGTATTAGTCTATTAGTATTGGTGTATAGTTGATAGTTGATTGTATGATTGCCTAGTATTTGCTGTGATTAGTTGTATATATATCATTAGCAATTGAGGAGTAGGCTTTGTTAAGCAAGTACCATGATCTATATTCAAATACCATGATCAAACGTCAAAAAGCAATTAGTTCCCCAGATTTAATTTTATTTGACAATTTCAATCTTATGTATTAAATCATAAGTTTTTATGATCTCATATTTAATTGCTATATACGTCACAATATTTTGAAGCGAGTACATAAAGTAAGAAATGGTAAATTTATATTCGCGGGTGCTATTGTTTAGAAAAAAAGTCAACAACTATGAGTACTTCTAACAACTTAGATTATAAAGGTTACATTCTATTCACTTCAAAAAATGACTGATGTTACTTATATAACTTCATTAGGTGTTGGTATTTCAACTTTATTAATCTTAGGATCAATATGGTATTATCGCTCATTAAATAACCCTTCAAATAAACAAACTAAAAAGAAGAAGAAATCAACAAAGTCTAAAAAAATTTATTCAATAACTGAACAATATCAACAAACAATTTTCCAAATTGAACAAACTGTTAAAACATATCAAAATGAAATTGATGAATATTATGGAAATTTTGAAACTTTAGCAAAAGATGATCGTTTATATAAATTTAATTATTATCAAGAATCCTTATTAAAAGAATTAATTAAACGAGCAAGCTCGGTTGCTCGCTTCGCTCACAATGCTTAATCCCAATAGTCGTACACAATGCTTAATCCTAATAGTGTAGAAGAAAATTTACCTTCTAAGAACGCTAATACTTCAATCAAAAGATCAGGGTAAACAAATAAATATTGATATTGATAGTTACAATTTGCACGTATTGAATTAACATAAGTATAAGATGCGTGTGTATAATGGAATGAATATAATGTGGAGATAAAAATATAATAGTGGTAAAAACTTAATAAAAAAGAATCAAGCTTTTATGCTTATTAAGATGAGAAAGGGCTTCCTTGAAAACGACATTTACCAAACCTGGAGCTGCACTATCTTGAGGAGCAGCATTATCATTAGCAGGAAGTTTAATGTTTAAAAAGAGATCAATTGGATTGGTGACTCTTGTTAAAGTAAGTTAAAGCAACATGCAATTGACCATGACTGAAACCAACTTTTGAAAGAGTTTGACCTTGAGCCTTGTTTATGGTAATGACAAAACGTTGTCTTATAGGAAATTGCAATCTTGAGAAGGAAACCAAAAAATTATCAGAAACCTCATGAACAAACAATGTTCTATGAATAAATACCTTTTCATAAAATGAACACCTGGATTTATAATATACTATGTTTTTTCAACAGCAAAACTCATAAACACCATTATTAACATCAATGTTTCTTGTAATCATAAAAGGAGTCCCAGGTTTGAATTTGATAATACTATCAGGAAAACGTCCAATGTCAACATTTGCCAAATCATTTGGTGTATTCAAATTCCGTAGCATTTGGTGAAACTTTCAATATCCAAAAGGGTTCATATTTAATTGAAACCGGCATCTTGAAGTCAATATAACAATAGAACAACTTTCATAGAGGTAGAGTAATGGGGGTACATCTCATATACTTCAAAACGATTTTATATCCATAGGCAGTCAGAACCGTAAAATAAAACTGACCTTCAATCCCCTAAATTGGGTATCAATCACCATAAACCAATATGCTATTTTAAGCCATGTAAGCGATCCAAGCTTCAGCCAATACAGTAACTTATTTCGCAACATTCATGAACACCCCGAAAACATTGATATCAAATCCTTATGACTTCAAAGAAACAACCAAACCCTTGAATCAATAACAAAGGACCATATATGACCTAAAGTGCAATTGACTGAAATATGATACCCTAAAACATCTCACATAATGTCACAAACCTGATAAGTTTGACATCTTAGTACAAAAATTGACATGCAACTTAGTTGAGTATCCCAGTTTCCACAGTTTTGTATACATCCTGAGTATAGGTGTAAAATATCATTTGAAAATTAAATATTTTTCCTTAATCACCGCCAAATCTAAAAGTTAAAACCATTTTTCTGGATGGTATTGTATAAACTTTTGAGTGTAAAGCTGAATTGAACCCAAAGGATCATCTAGAATATAGAGTATAGTATCATAACAGAAGCCAAATCGGGAATAACTTTGAGTAAATTAAATGCTGGAGGAGATGGCTATTGACCTTTCGGATTCTTTCCAATCACCAACAGATGAGCTTCATGACCTTTCACCTTCCAAATTCCAGCCTTTTTATGGATAATTGACCCGCAGAATGTATAAAGCCAGTGTGAGCGCACGGGGGATTTTGGATTAAAATAAGAAAAATTATTCAACTCTTTAACAGCAGCATTTGTTGGAGCAAGTAAAATGTGTTTTTTTTTGAATAGTCAAGGGAAAGCATAACCAAACACCTTTTTAGTCAAATCAACCTCATTGAAAACAACATTATTCAAAAGGTTTCCAGAAGTCAGAGAAGTTGAAGAAGATATTGAAGGATCGGCAGAACCAACTTTTTTCTACCCAATTGACATAACCAGGATCAATCTTCTATTTTCAACCATATTGAATAATTCAAAAGATGGAAACAAACTTGAATTAAACAAACATAAATTCAAAGAAGCAGCTGAAGCTTTGGCAGAATTTGTCTATAATCACAACCTAGAATGATGACGTTAAATATCAGTATATCAGCCCTTATCAAGAGATCACCTAAATTGCTGAAGATAGTTCAAACTTAAAAGCATGGCCAAAAAATAGATGTCGACGTCAAATCAAAAGATCTTATAGCTCAAGGGCATGATGAGCAAAGAATTAAATCACTTATATCAGAGTCCAATGAAGCTTTAAAATATGTGACTAAATATATAACCAAAGGAACAACCAACAATGATTCTAAGCAGGTGGAGCAGGTGCCAGGGCTTTTTGAAGTTGAGTAAGCTGACAATTAAATACGAACGTATAATATAGTGTAGATTAAGCTGCTAGAACGTATTAAAGTATACCTGTATAGATTGAACAGACCCAAACAGAAAGCCAATAGTATGATCACACACTAATATAACATAGCATCCAACAACACCTAAATCCATGTAAGCCACAGCGTACGTACTACTTAAAAACTGAGAACCTCTGAACCTCTACAGAATTAAGTAAAACAAAATTTTGACAATTCAAACAAAATTAAAAAAAAAACGAAAAGTAAACAAAGAACCATTGAAAAAATTAAAAAAAAAACTGAAAAGTAAACAAACTGACGAAAAGTAAACAAAAGATAGCTAATTGACCAATGAGAAGGCTGGAAAGGCCAAACTTCAAGACACCATAACTCACCAGGAAGTGAAGCTACAAACTTCTAAGTAGTGGGAAGTGAAGGGAGTCGTATATTTGCTATCGAATGGTCATAGTGTCGATTCTGCACGGTCCAAACTGAAGGCTGTAGGAATAGAAATATAATAATAATTAGATGGAATTGATTTAACAATTTTAACTGATCAATTTATTAAATCTGCTTTGAAAGATGAAAGAAAATTAATTATTAAACATATTCAAGGTTTACAAAAACAATTGGATTTATTTAAAAAGGAAAATATTGATAAATTTCCAAAAGATTAATGATATCATTTCGTTGATAATATTGATCTAATTTGTTTATTGTTTTGATTGAATTGCATATTATGTATTATGTACCAGGTATTGAAAAGATGTAGAGAATAATTTAGACCAGATATATACGATATATACATCGACTTTGATATTAATTTTATATCAAGTACTTCTATTATAGCATGAGAAAACCCTTTAGTGCTTATGTAAACTATTACATAATCACATATACTACATTCGGGTATTTTCCGAATCAGGGATATATTTCATAATTTCTTATATTTTCTATAATCAACATGAACAGCTAAAAAAGAAGTAGTAAAAGATATAATGATCTATGACTAATACAATTACCCAACAGATATTCAAAAGACGGTACTATCGCATATTCTAATTCAGCCTTACATAAAGCCATGTAAACCTTCAACCTAAAATCAACAACTATAACAGTACCATTCTGGATCCAATATTTTATACCTCAATTAACCTCAATTAACGCACTTTAAAATTTTCAGGCGCGCATACAAATTTCCGAACTTCACGTACTTGTTAAAGTTGACATGACATGACATTGATAAAGAGTCAATACCGGACAGCGAAGAGGTGGAAGACATGTTGAAGTACTAAAGAAGACTAAATAATAAGAGTATCATCGTATTATCATAGTACTATAACTTATCATTGTATAAATATAATATCCACTGTTTTCTACTCTTTTAAGGGCTTCCGGATGTGCGTCCCGAATCACAATACGCTTTATATCGCAAAACTTGTTTGACACTTTTAAAGAACGCGCGAGTACTAATGAAGAGCAATCAACTAGTTTAGATGGTTA